TTGAAACTTATCTGCTCTAAATTCCTGACCCGGGAAGGCCGTGGCCGCGGCCACTGGAAGGACAAGGCCCCGATCAGACCGCGTCTCACCTTGCAGGCCCTCCCGTGAGTGTGGCGTCGATCACGTGGTCATTATCCATGCGGAACATGTACACGCCGCGGTTCTGAAAGAGAAACAACTCTAAGTCCTCTCTCCCGTCCTGCCCACACGAGAAGCCTGGCCGATGGGACGTGACATGCCCCGGTCACCCTCTCCTGGATGTGATGGCAGCCGGCCGGCCACATGGGCTGTGAGTGGGAATGAACGAAGTGGGAGATGCCTGGAGAAGCAGCCAGGCTCCTTAGTCCACACACATCTCTCTGCAAGTAACGACACGGAGCGCAGACGAATGGGAAGATGGGCCTTTTGTTCTAAACTGGACCCAGCCCGACAGGCAGGCTCTGTCTCTGGGGCTGCTTGCGGCACAGACGGGGGGCTGTGACACTTACCTGGGACTCATACAGCTTCTCTTTCCTGTTCGCTACTTCATTTCGGATGATGGTCCCGATGTACTCAATGACCATGGTGTGCTTCTCGATGTCTCTAGCAGCATACAGGCCCAGCCCCTGCAGAAAGTATGTGTGTGTGTATCTCCAACACCTTCAATATCTACTGGATGTGCTGTCTGCAACCTCTAAAGCTCCGTCCTCACCACCTGCTTACTGTCTTGTTTACACTAAATCCTTAGGGCCTTACAAAGCAGCCGCAATTTCTGTCCGACTTCTCGTCTTTCCTGTACCTGCTGAGACCCCACCAGCTAGACAGGCTAATGTCTTCTGAGGGTTACGCTGTCCCTATTTTTAAAGGGACTAGACACTTAATTTAATGACGTAGAATCAGGGCTAATGGTAGGGATTATGGAGGAGACTGAACAGGCGCCAGATTTGGCAGTGCGCTCTGGAAGCTAACCAGGCAAAGTGAATTTCCACTATCGGGAAAGTTGGCAAGTTCCTGAGAAGGCGAGTTCCCCAACGTAAGGTTCTGAGCTGCTAAGGAGCATCCAGGAATCTGAACCAGCCCCAGTGTTGAGCATCCTTCTCCTTCTCGGCTTGTGCTGCCTGTGCCAGGAGCCTACTGACCCACGTGCATGCGCACCTATAGTCCTCAGTGAACGCGTTCTGGAAAAATAATGTGCTGGGAACCAGAGGGGTAATTCCCAGGGAGGTCTGCATTTTCTTGCCCCGATCTGAGTTCCTGTTTCTCCAGCAGAGAAGGCAGGCCGACCCCATGCTGCCTGGGGACTCCCCACACCCTGTCCTCCTCAGGCCGCTGGGAGCACGGGACAGAGGCCCGTGCTAGAGATTTTCCCATGAAATAAATCACTTTCTTGGGGAAAAGGGTCTAATTTATCTGTTCAATTCCAGATATGACTCGGGAGGCGCACAAAGCAGCATGGACAGGACTGTGGCCTACATGGTGCTCCGACAACTGTTTACCCATTGGAAGAAAATAAAATTGTTTAAACATAAAACAATTAAACTTCTGAAAGAAAACAACCTAAGAGACGACATATGCAAAGTACAGTCTTAACCAAGACTAGAAGCTATAGAAAATTATGTGTTTGACTACTTAAAATTTAAAAAGAAAGACAGCATACCTTCTGTTGGGCAAAGGTTGTTCTGCAGGGAAATAGTTAATGGTGAGTGAGTCCTTACTAATCGAACAATAAACAAAAGATGGATATGCAATTCATAGGAGAGTAAACCCCTATGACAAACATAAGTCACTCATTCAAAAATAAAAAGCTTCTACACAGCAAAAAAAAACACCATCAAAATAAGAGAGCTGGCTGGCATGGCTCTGTGTTTGAGCGATGACCTATGAACTAAGAGGTCACAGTTGGATTCCCCGTCGGGGCATATGCCCAGGTTGCGGACTCAATCCCTAGTGTGGGTGTGCAGGAGGCAGCCAGTTGATGATTCTCTCTCATTGATGTTTCTATCTCTCTAGCCCTCCCTTCCTCTCTGAAATCAATAAAGGTGTATATTAAATAACAACAACAACAACAACAACAACAACAACAAGAGAGCTCACTGCATAGGAGAACATTATCTGCCAATAATACATCTGATAAAGGGCTAATCTCCAAAATATCTGGGGGACTCATACAACAGAAGAAAGACAACAATCTGATTAAAAAGTGGGCAAAAGACCTAAATAGACACTTCTCCAAAGAGGACATACAGATGGCCAAGAGTCAAATGAAAAAATGCTCAAAGTCACTGATCATCAGGGAGATGTAAATTAAAACGACAATGAGGTATCACCTCACACCTGTCAGAATGGCTGCCCTCAACAAATCAACCAACGATAGTGCTGACGAGGACGCGGAGACAAGGGAGCCCTCGTGCATTGCTGGTGGGCATGCAGACTGGGGCTGCCAGAGTGGACAACAGTGTGAACTTTCATCACATTAAAAAAGGAACTGCCATTTGACCCAGTGATCCCACTTTTAGGAATATACCTAAGAAGCCTGAAACTCATCAGAAAGAATAGAAGCACCTCTATGTTCATAGCAGTGCAATTTACAACAGCTAAGACTTGGAAACAGCCTAAGTGCCCATCAGCAGATGAGTGGATAAAAAAAACTATGGTACATTCACAAAATAGAATACTATGTGGCAATAAAATTTGCAACAGCAATAACTGACCTGGAGATTATTGTGCTGAGAGAAATAAGCCAGAAAAGATAAATATCACATGATCTCACTCATAGGTGGAATCTAATGAGCCAAATAAGCTGACGATCAAATACAGACCTGAAGCATGAACAGACTATTGACCCTCAGAGGGAAGGTGAGGAAGGGTGGGAGGAGACCAACCAATGAACTTGTATGCATATGTGTATACCCCGGGGACACATACAATGGCATGGTGAGGGCCGGGGGGGTGGGAGGAGCGAGTGGGTAGAAGAAATTAATGGGGGGAACAGGAAGACCTATGTAATACTTTCAACAATAAAGCTTAAAAAAAAGTCACTCATTTAGAGAGTAACTATCAGTCTACACTTAGCCGGTTGGCAAAATAAGTAAATAGCAGGGCTGTAACATTTACTGCAAATGGGGAGACAGTCTCAGCGGAAGCAGGAAGAAACAAGCAATCACAGCACCAACATACAAGACACTGATGGTTGCACTGGGAAAGGTGTAAAGAAGTAAGTGCTTGTCAGTGGTAGGCAGTTCAATAACTACAGCTCATCAACACCACAGAGCATCACGGCCGCTGAGGAGCCACCTCCCGGCCCAGAGCCTGAGGATTCGAGAAAAAGATGCCGAAGCGTGTGGCCCAGCACGTTCCCGATGCTCACAGGGAGGTGGGGCTGCGGAGGGAGGAGCGCCCAGCTCCTGGGAGGAAGATGGAGAAGGGCAAGAGCGCTTCGGGCTGGAGAGGACACACTGCACACAGGCCGCTCCAAAACCATCACCGAGACGGTGAGGAACGGGAGAGCTGAGCCGCTGGAACACGTTCAATGGGACGTGGCTGGTCAGGAAGAGGGCGTGTGCCCCTGCCAGGAGCTGGGGGAGCTCTCAAAAGGCTCTGTTCTTGTGGCAGCAGCTGCAGACAGACAGACACTGCATCCAAACAGTAAAACCGAGCTACCAGCTGGAAGAGCAGAGCAGAAGGGCGCTGAGCTAACGTAAAGCGTTAGCAGCTCAACACAAGTCGGTGCTGGGAAACCGAGAGAGGAGGGTGAGAAGGGCGGATACAAGACGGACCCTCTGGCTGCGCCGAAGGCCCCAGAACACGCTGCTGATGATGCCAGTCTGGTCCCCGCCGGGACCCCAGGTTGCAGGGTCAGGTATGTGCCCACCAGTGCACACAGGAGTGTGGGAGATAAGGACTCGGAAAAGAATGCCCGCGGCCCACCCCCACAGCTCGCTGCCCTGCCCCCTCCTGTAGCTCACTGCCCCACTCTCCTGCTGATCCTGATCTGGTCATTACAAGGTCCTTAGGTTTCACGGGGTAACAGAAAATTAGCATATTCCTCTCTTATTGTATCCTATACAATAAAAGATATAATACGCAAATGGCCATTATGCCATGAAGCATAACAACCTAACACATAATGACGGGATCACAGAGCTACAATTTTTGAGCTACAATGGGCTACAATGGGCAGTGGAGAGCTAATTGTGGCTATTGGGAGGAAGGGGCGGAGGGAGCACAGGAGGGCAGGGCAGTGGGCGGAGAGCTACTGGAGGGCAGCGGGGAGCTAGGGGCGCATGGATTCGTACACAGGGCTACTAGTAAGATATCAAAGGCTAATATGCAAAGTAATCCCTCAGGAGTTTGACCAGGAGACTGGGTTCAATCACTCGCTAGGACGTGCACTGACCACCAGGGGGTGGCACGGAATGAAGACAGGCCTTGGCCTGTGGCCAGAAGCAAGGCCCCAATTGGCCGATCGCCAGCCAGGCCTAGGGACCGTACTCGTGCACGAATTCTGCGCACCAGGCCTCTAGTCAAGAAAAAAGACAAGATCCTAAGATCTCTCAGAGAGGGAAGTCTCCCAGGAAGGAACAAGCCTGACAGCACGGACGGTGGCCTGCAGAGGAGCCTCCGTTTGAGGGACCTGATGACTCCTGAGGGGGCTGGCTGGGAGGAGACGGGCGGTCTGCAGAGGTGCAGACAGGGAGATGAAAGGAAGTCTGGGTGGCAGAGCTTGTGGGTAGATCAGAGAACCTGGTAACTCAGCCTGGGACACCAAGGGGAGGCGCTGAGCGGCCTCTGGCCGTGAGGTCTGCAGCTTGGGAAGAAGTTACACACTGAGCCCCAGAGGCTTCAGCCGTGCAACACCCCCAGGGTAGTGTCCAGAACAGCAGCACACTTTGCAACTATTTCCACTGGACTGTCCACAAGTGCCCGAGGGACACATGTGTATGCAGAGGCCAGGGCTGCCTGTTCGCTTGAGCAAAGGTGTGGAGTCCAACACCGTCTGTCCACTCGGGAAGTGAATGTGCATGCCCAGCGATTGTGTGCAGGCTGGCTAGTCTGTGGTGACTTAGAAAACATGGCCGTTCCTACAGCGTGTGCAACCCTGTTCCCACCCCGGGCGCTGCTCTCCCGGATGCCGGTCCCACCCGCTCTCCCTTCCTGAGAAGTCCTTCCCACCTGGATCCGAGACCGGGCGAGGTACACGTTGGACTTCCACTCGGTCTTCATCCTCCGGTACTGCGACGACTTGGAGTGGACGAACTGCTTGCTGTACGGGGCGTTCAGCTCCCCGGTGACTGTGCTCTGGAAGGACTTGGAGGTGCTGGTGCTGTTCAAGGTGTGAGGCCTGCAGGAGGGCGCAGCAGCGGGAGAGAGAGGGAGAGAACTGAAGACACCTCCGGTCCACCCCGGCCCGGCCGGTTCCGATGAGCATGGCGGGAGCATGCACAGAAGCCACCTAGCGGAGCGCAGGGCGCATTCTCTGATGTGGCCGGGCACAGACACAGCCAGGGACACAGGGTTTGTAAGCAGCAGACAAATCAAGCACAAAACCACTAAGACGCCTAGAAACCCTGGGCTGTACTATGTGAAGTTAAAACAAAATACCTTAACACAAACCTCTTGACATGGGCACTCATTTTAGGCTCAGAGCGGGCACAACCTGTGGGGTTAACGGCAAGAGGAAGCTCCATGAGGGGATTTCGGCCATATCGAAAGGTGTAGTTTTCACATGCTTCAACCCCAGGGAGCTGTAAGGAAGCAAAACAGACAAAAGTTAACTCACTCGATGAGGACGATGAGCAGTCTTGAGCTGGTGAAAGGCTGGCCCAAGTTGTATGGAAATAACTTGTCAACATCTTCAAAATGTAACGTCTGTTAACAAGCAGCCTACACTCAGCCGTGCTAAAGTGTGAGCAGCCAAGTTCCGCGCCACAGCAGACCACAGTGAGTGCTGGCAGATGCTCCCCGAAGAGAACCAGGTGCTTGCCTGTGGGGTTTGAGGGCTGAGAGTGCCAGCTTCCCAAACTGGGGGCATACTAATTCACAGCATCAATATCAACTTGTGTCTTTGTTTGGAACTTCACAATTTCCAGCAAGAACCTTTTCAAATCATTTACATGGTTTACTTTCATGATCACTTCTCACTTCCCCAATTCGACTGTGACATGATGAGGATTCATTCTCAGTGGTAAAACTTAAGATTTACTTACAAAATACTTTACATGTTAAGGTCTTTTCTAGAACTTATTTCTTGTGAGCACATTTATCTTTAGACACAGCACGGAGGCAGGGAAGCAATTGGGCATATTACTCAATAGCTTTGGGGGTTGCTTTTCCCAAAAAAAACTCATTAATGAGTTTTTATTCTTGAAAATAATGCCTTAAAGTCATGCAACTTTCCAAAACTGTGAGGAATTCATTGGCAAACACGCTTGTAATTTAAAAGATAACAGAGAGATGTCAGAGAAGACATGTGTTCTGTAACCTGACAGCAGCCACAAATGTCCCATCGGGGATGGGCACAGCGCCCCCATGGAGCGCAGGGCCTCCCAGCGCGGGGAGAGGAGCCCCGAATGGCATGAGTGAGGGGAACACAGATGCCCATTGGAGAGGCACCGCCCCCCCAGCACGTGGGCCGAGGCCACTGCGCACCGCCCGCCGCCTCCCACTCACTGATTCCGCGATCCGAGCCACCGCAGACACAGTCAGGCCGAACAGGTCCTCCCCTTTCAGATACGCTGGGAAAAGCTGCAGCATTTCAGACTGTTTCCTCACACAGGCCACGGGCTCCAAAATCTTATCCCAAACACCTATGCACATGGACCAAAAAGAAGTTCGCATGACAAAGGAGCTTTCAGCTAACAGAAAGGCAAGCGGGATGCAGCCCGCACCCCAGTGCAGAGGAGCCAGCCCCCCAGACATCCCAGCGTCGAGGGAGGCAGCGGGAGCCGGCAGCCTGGCGTGGGAGCAGCGGCTGGCGGCAGCATGCTTGGGGCCTACGACATTCCGGGGGAAGAATAAGATATGTTAATGGGAGTAAAGAGTAAAAGTGGGAAATTTTAAGAAACTGAAATTTATGCAAGGAGCTAATTAATTTCCATATTGGCCATAAAACATTAGACTTTAAAATATCCAATTCATTAAATGTTACTTTCCTTTCAGATCTAAATTAAACCATAAAATTGCTATTTTTATTAATCATCATTAGAGGATTTCCATACATTTTTTTTTTAAAAAAAACTTGCTAACCTTAAGGATAAAAAAAAAAGGAAAAAAGAGCTCTTACAGCCTTTAAAACAGCACTTCCCCAGGACTTTCTACGTCAGAAGTGACCATGATAACTGAGACTTAGCTGGCTTGTTGCAAATCTACATTTAATATCCAATGCTGCTGAGTAACAGTGCTCACAGATGGATGCTGCCTGTTCAGTGACATTAAGAAGAGGGTCCCCAATCTAAATTCCCCAACCTTTACAGACAAATTTTTCTATTTATTTCATTAAATCTGTGTTTGAATATATATTCTGATTTAGAGTAAGTCTAGCAAGTGTTTAAAAAATGGTATAGCAAAGAGCAAGGTAGAATCATGAGAAGTTCAGATTTGCATTTGTAAAGGAAACACCCACATCTATCAAGTAAGAAACAAACGTGATAAAAAAGCACGGAAGTGCTGTCCGAGCACCCAGTGCTGCCGAGCACGCCACGGCTCACCTTTGGGGGAGCTGTCGCTCAGGACGAGGTCTTCGTGGCCCTGCTCCACAATCCTGATGACGAACACGGGGCGCCCATCTTTCTCCTCGATGGAGCACAGATAGCGGCAGCGCCTGTTGGCGTAGCGTGTGCTCCAGTACAGCCGGCTGGCCTCGTAGCCGACGGGGAAGAGCGCCTTGGGCGAGTGGAAGGCCTGCATCTGCTGCGGGAGCAGCTGGCCGATGGTGTGGAAGATGAGGCTGCCCACGCGGAAGGTGTGGTCGCGCTCGCCGCGCTGCACGATGCTGGCGATCTGCCGCACCTCGTCCCGCTGCACGTACACCCTCCGGAAGACCGCGAAGTAGCTTAACTCCTGCTCATGAATTCCCTTGGGCTTGTGCATGGGACAAAGCATCGTCTTATCCTTGAAGAACATGCATTGTGCTTTCATGGCGCAGGTGAAGTGATAAACGTTGGTGCACCGCAGCCTGTGGCACCCGCTGGTGGCACCCATTTTGTGACAGAAGACACATTTCATGTGCAGGCCTCTCCGCAGGGCCAGTTCCACGTTGATTAAGGCACCCGCCTGGGTCTCATAGACCTCCGTGGACCACAGAGCACAATTCAAGTGGACCCACAGGTCCAAGTCGAGGTTGAGCAGCCTGGCCGGCCCATCCGTCACGCCGTCCCCTTCCTCGTGGCAGAAGCAGCACTTGCGGTGGTCCCGGGGCGCCGGCTCGGGCCTCAGGGACGTGCCCAGCTTCTTGAGGAACTCGTCGATCTCGTCCTCGCAGGGCGGGGGGAACGTGCCTTTGGGGATGACGATGTGAATGCTCCACTTCTTCCACTTCATTCCCCGCCACTTCTTAGTCGCGGGCCTGCAGTCTTCGAACCCCCCGGGGGCAGCTCGCAGCCGAGGCTTTAACTTGACTGTGACCTTCAGCTCATCTGGCTTTGCCTCCACTTTGGCTGCTTCAAAAGCGGGAGGGAAGGCGATGGGCGACGAGGCTGGGGGAGAAGCGTTCTCCTGGAGCTGCGGGAGGCAGTGCACGTCCAGGGTGGAGATGTTGTTGCTGTACTGGTGGAATGCCCGGGAAGGCGTGTCCTTTATCGGTGACTGGGGCAATGAAGGGATGGACTCCTGGCCAAAAAAGAAGAGCAATTCACAAGTTCTAAAAGCAATTTTTGTTGCAATGAGAAGCCAAGCAATAGTGTGACAGTGTGTGGCGGCAGGCGGGGGGAGGGCCAACGAGTGAGTGGTGCGGATTGAGGCTGGCAGCAGCCGTGTCGGACCCCGGGGGGTAAGCATGGAGAGTGTAAGCATGGAGAGCGAGGGCTGGGGAAGGGAGGCCTCCACGAAGCCCTAACTCCAAGCAGCTCTGCTCCAACCCCTGCTCTGACATGCCTCTTTCTAACCATTACAAACCCAGAGAAGCTGGTGCTGCAGAGAAGCTGGAGAATTTAATTTGTACAGTGAACAGTCCTTCTGGTAAACCGAGTAAGAGCTTCGAGATAATCTTTTATGAGCTTGTCCCCCGCTCTGAACCTCCTGTCTGCTCATCGTGGCTGCAGTATTGGCATAAATGTGAAAGTAAGGGAGAAGCCCCTGCAATGAGCAATAACTGTTCCCTGAGGCTGCCAGGCTGGAATCCAGCTGCTGAAAGAGTCCCACAGCTTCTCTTTAGGTCCAATCTCCTAAGCCAATGACCCCCCAGGTTCCCGCTTCTCAGCACCCCGTCCCAGGCCTCACGTAGAACCCAGAGGCAGGCTGCACTGCACGGACTGAGGAAACTGGAGACAAACATGCCTTCTCTCAGGGAGGCTAACAAACTCAGTTCAAGTCTAAACATGTTTATCACGTCACATGGCCTGCTGCCTCTTAAGATAAGAGTCCCCAGGACCTTCTCTCAAGAAAGACGCAAGAGCGATGAATGACCGGCAGTGTTACGGGGTGTGCAGGGGGAAAACTTTCCTCCATGCGAATGACTGGAAATACACTGTCCACACACAGATGGCCAGCAGACTCGGGAAAAGATGCTCAGTATCAATGATCATCAGGGAAACCAAAGGAACACCTCACACCTGTCAGAATGACTGTCATTGAGAAATGAACAAACAAAACACACAGAAATGAATAAGTGCCCTAGCCGGTTTGGCTCAGTGGGTAGAGCGTTGGCCGATGGACTAAAGGGTCCCAGGTTTGATTCCAGTCGAGGGAACGTACCTCAGCTGGGTTGCAGGCTCCTCCCCGGCCTGGGCCCTGGTCAACGGTACGTGCAGGAGGCAACCAACCAATGTGTTTCTGTGACATCAATATTTCTTTCTGTCTCTCTCTCTCTCTCTCCTACTCTCTCTAAAAATCAATGGGAAAATATCCTTGGGTGAGGATTAAAAAGTAAAAATAAAAAATAAAGAAATGAACAAACAAGAGCTGGTGAGGATGTGGAGAAAAAGGAACCCTCGTGCACTTGGTGAGAATGCAGACTGTGCAACCACTGTGGAAAACAGAATAGAACCCGGCCAGCAGGCCTCAGTGGCTGAGCATCAATCTATGAACCAGGAGGTCAAGGTTCGATTCCCAGGCAGGGCACATGCCCGGGTTGCAGCCTTGATCCCCAGTAGGGGTGTGCTGGGACAGCCAATCAATGATTCTCTCTCATCCTTGATGTTTCTCTCTCTTTATTCTTCTCTGAAATAAATAAAAATGTATATATTTTAAAAATACCTAAAATTTCCACATTTAAAAATTAATATTGAGGAAAATGCAAGTCACCTATATTAAAAAAAAAACAAAACACAGCAGTATGGAAGCTTCTCAAAAAAAAAAAAAAAAAAATAGGACTACTATATGACCTGGCAGTTCCATTCTGGGTGTTTAGCTAAAGAAATCCAAACACTAATTTAAAAAGATGGCGTCGAGGACAGTTTTTCCCCATGAAGCCCCTGTTCATAGCAGCGTTATTTACAACAGCCAGGACACAGAACCAACTCAATGCCCATCAACAGACAAATGCACAAAGAAATGTGGTGTGTATCACTCAGCCGTAAGAATGAAATCGTGCCACTTGCAACAACATGATGGGCCTTAAGGGTATTATGCTAAGTGAAATAGGTCAGATAAAGACAAACACTGTATGACTCACATGTGGAATCTTTAAAGTAACAAGTAGATGAACAAACAAAAGAAAAACAGAGACCAAATTGATGGTCACCAGATGGAGAGTTTTCCCACTGGGATAAGATCAATAAAAATAACATTGTTTAGTTATAATTAAGATATGTGTAACTAAATAAAATTAAACATTTTAATATTGTTTTATTCAGTTCTGAACTTTTAAGACATAATTCAAGCTTATCCACTCGTCAAATAACTAATCGAATCTGAAATGGCAGCATGGATAAGAGTTGTTGGAACCGCCCTCAGCCTGAGCAGCACCAGCTTAGATTCCCCCACCGGAGCGCTGGGAACTTTTCATCCCGGGACACAGAAGTCACATGCATTGATTAATTGAAACTACTAATTTTACCTTGCTTTCTGAGAGTTTTGCTTGTACAGTCGATGAGTAAAGAATGAAGCAGTTATTACTACAAAAGACAATGTCCTTCTCCACTCTACTGGAGCTTTCGCAGGAATCCTGAAAAGCAAAGAGAAGTGTGTGGGAGTCTCAACAAGTCATCTATATATAAAAAATCCTAATATGCAAATAGACTGAATGGCGGAACAACAGAACAACCAGTCACTATGACATGTGCTGACCACAGGGGATGTTTGCGGAACACGGGCATCGATTGTGGTGGGATGGTGGAGCACGTGACTGTCATCAGGGCGAGCCTCTGGTGGTTACTGAAAATTCTTTGCTCCTGCACACCTTGGTCCCACTGGGCACTCACACTTGCTGCTGGCGCCCAGCTCTGGCCGTGATAGCTTAGCGCTGTCAGTGAGTGCAAGAGGCGGCTGCCAGCCCTGATCACCCCTCAGGGCTTCTCCACCTCTCCTGCTCCTGAGATGCAGTCAGGGCCGGCAGCCATCTCTCGCACCCACTGCCGGCCCGGCACCAGTCCTGACTGCTCAGTGCCATCAATGTGTGTGAGCATCAGCTGCCAATCCCAGTTGACCTTAAGGGCTTCTCCCCCCACCTGCTCCTGAAGGATGATGGGGCAGCAGTTGCTGCTCACACCCACTGCTGGTGCCGGCCCCAATTGCTCCATACTGGCAGCACATGGGGATGGTGGCAAGAGCGGGGCTGCCAGCAGATGGGACCACAGGGGATGAGGGCCACGACGGGAGGGGGCATGGAGGATGGGCTTAGACCCACTCCTGTGCCCACCACAGCCTCGTGGCCCACAATTCCTCTCAAGGTGCATGAATGCATGCACTGGGTGCCTAGTAATTTAATAAAAACAAGATCATGTGCTGCTGGTTTTATCCTATGTTAAAGTGAAGCAGCTTCCTTTACAAGTAAAAAAGATGGCTGCATGTCTATTTAGCATAGTAATTTGACCGGAAAGAAAATAAGTTTATGAAAATAAACTTTACCATCTACCTTCTGTTCCCTTTTTAATGTGTTTTTATAATATCCAACATTAAGTCTGCTGAGCTGCTTGGTTTTAAGTTTCGAATACACGCTAAGGCTGCCCCCAGGAGCATGTGTCCCATGGAGTCGCCATGGAGGCCTCTCGGACCCAGGAGCTGAGCCCGGCATAGGGAGTGCGGGAGAAGGAGTGTCCAAGTACCTTGCTCACGAAGGCCAGGTCTCTGAGAGACTTGCGCACCCCGCCTCCGAGAACCACCACTTTGCAGTGACAGCACCACCGTGGTCTGAGTGCATCGCTCTCCGGGACTCCGTGAGCAGCTTCCCTGTAGCCAGAAAGACCTGAGGGCAAGAGCTTCGTCAGTAACACAAAGAGGTGTGGTGTCAAACTGTGCTCATATAACTGACCTAGATGATTCGTTACTAATTAATAAAAATCTTATCTTCCAAGCACTGCACACGGGCATCTTTTATGTGCAGGGCACCAGGGTACGAGTTAAGGATCGAGCCATTCTCAAGAGCCGGGAAGAGAATGGTGGGGCCGGGGCAGGAAGGGCCGCAGCACATCGCTCTCCAGTCTAAGTGCACAGTGGGGCTTAGTTCGCAGGGGAGAGAGGTCACCTAGGCTTAAGGGTTAAGATGATACAGAAACGTTTTGTGAGAGAAGAAGAGATACGTGTATGAGAGTCTTAAACACAAATGGACAAAGAGGGATGAGCAAAGTTCTGGGGCAAGATAAAAACAACAGGACTCATGTAGGGCATGACTGCAGGAAGCAAGGAGCAGGGAAAATGTGGGCGTCAGGAACAGCTAGGGATAGTTCAAAACCCAACCGAGGCCACTCTGTCAGAGCTCAGAGGTGAGGTAAGAAGTGATGGGCCCTCATGGCAGCTCCAGGGTAAAAATAGGCAAGGAAGGATCCACTGCAGAGGGGCGGACGCAGAGTTAAGAGGAGACTCGTCCAGAGGCTGGAGGGGAGAGGCCTGGGGAAGGCTCCCAGCAGAGAATGCAGTGAAGCCAGTGGGAGTGGTGATGGGAGGAAAGGAACAAGCTGAGCTGCCAGCCCTTTGGGCACAGGGTGAAGCCAGCAGGGGTGGGACTGCTCAAAATGAAAGTGAAATTCTGAAGAGAATAAGCATAACTTCTGAGTGCAGAATGAATCTAAAGTGAACATGGAAACCAGCTCACCATTGCTTGTTGGTGGAAATGGTACGTGGGGTGGCTTCAGCCGGTAAGAGCTTGCTAATCTGGGAGGGTGCGCAGATCCTGGTGGAGGCCCACGAAGAAATAAATGCTGTCGATACTCCAAACCTGGGTTTACTCTGTGGCTATTGATCAAACCCACGGAGGGACCGTCTGGAGCGTTACTAACCTCATAGCTGTTAGGAATTCGGACGTGAAGAAGGTTGGAAAATGCAGCCATGACGCTGCTGATGTTCTGAAAGAGAAAGGCAGGCGAGCACGTGTCACCACCTGGTGACTCACTGGAGATGTGCCTACCTAGTAGAAGCGCTGACTGCGTGACAGTCCCTGCAGCCAACCCCACAGCGCCTACTTCCACTCAGGGCCTCAGGGAAACCTGTTTTATGGACCAGAATCTAAGTTACGTTTCCATCAACAGGAGTTCCCGCAGGAACTCTTGTCGATGGTGATGAGCATCGAACACTGCAGGTAACCAGTGCTGGACGGTGTGGTGTTCGGGACACACCAGGGGAACACGCCAGGCGGCACCTGCTTCACAGCTGCTCACACGTGTCGGGCGTGGACTCCGTGCCGCTCGGGACACCAGGCTGAAGCGTCCCGAGAACACAGGGCCTCGTGACAGCGTGTTCTCTGGCCACCAGAATTCACACTAGTTTGGGCAGCAATGAAATGTCCTCACCGAACTAAGAGTTAAGAAACAACTCAGCAATTCACTCCTGTTTGATACAAGCAGCTGCCACCTGAACAAGATTTATATTTTGCTTCCACAAAATTGTACTATTCATAGCTGTTTGTCACGGCTTAATTTTCTATGTGTAGTTATCCAAAGATTTCTCTGTAAAGAGTTCTCTAACATACACATCCTTTGATTAAAAAATGAGAACTCTAACTTCTGCCTTTTAACCTGGACTTAGGCTCAGACCAATCTGATGCTTGTTTGCAGCACTCCACGTAGCCAGGTGTCTAAGTGACAACACCCCAACCTGACCGCCCTCCTGTCTCCTCCAGGACCTACGATACCGCTTCATGCAAAGCCGAAGGGACACTGCCGGGACGCTGGGGCCCTGTGAGCTCACCTCAGCAGCTGCTGGATGCAGAGTGATGGCCACAGAGATCAGACCCGACCTGGGGCCGTTTGGGGAAGAACCGAAAGGTGGTGAGAACAAGAACATGCCTGGCTCAGTTTTAATGTCATTCCGTCTAGACTCAGGACCTAAAAGGGGAAGGAAGGGGAAGGAGAAAAAAAAGGAGGGAGACAGACAGGGAAGACGGAATGTTAATGTTAATGTTTTTCAAAACCAAAATGTGAGCTTTAGTAGATGAGCACACTGCCAGAAAAGGCCGCTAGGTCTCCTACCTTTCCCAGCACTGCTGGGGAGAATCGGAATGATGGGGGATGGCACAGGCTCGGGGGGCTCCTCTTTGACCAGGGACAAATCAGGGAATCTGCTCACTTCCATCCCCACCACACTCTCAGGAGAGGATGAGGGGACAAAGCTGTCAGGAGTGTCCCGATCAACACCGTGGTCCTGCATCCTACAAGAAAAGTTAATGCGATACATCAACGTGGGCCCCTTCCTCCAGTGGGCATGGCAGTGGCATGAGAAGCTAGAGGTTACCAAGGAAACTGGAGTTGGGGGACAAGTGTGGTCTCAGGCTAAACAGTGTGGGACACCATGAACCTATGTGGCCGCTCCTCCCCGGGAGATGCTGCCTGCCAGAGGAGCCGTGCACAGCCTCCAGCCCGGGTCCTGGGGAGGCCTGCACGGGTGCCCGCTGCCGGTGCCCAGCACACCAGGGGCCACTGCCCCTGGCTGCTCTGCCGCAAGCTTCCATTTCTGGAAGAGGTCCCAGGAGGAAAAGGAGACCTGGCTTCTCAGTCTGAACTAGTCACTTCTCCGCTCTGGTCCACAGCTGCCTCATGAACAAACTCAGAGCCGTGGACTAAGAGATGCCGCATCAAGTAGAAGGCAGTTCTCAAACCTCCAGGGAGAGGGACCTGAAGAAGCACGTCAGCACTGGGGACCGAGGAGGGACCTGGCCGTCCCGTCAGATTCCTAGGACTGAAGAACTGACACAAGGAAGCCACGAACTGTCCAGGAAAGACCTGAAACAACACCTCTGAGGCCTGTGGCCTGCTTCTACTTGAGACTCTGCGAGCATCAATGAGCCAAACCAATCACCTCCACAGCTTGTAAAGGACAATGATCTTTTGAAATATTTTACATGGTAATTCCCTTTGCCTTAATCTCTATCTGATTTTTATTGAACTTATTATAAGGGATTCAACAGTTCACAAACCAATTTTGTTTAATAGCAAGGATGCTTTTTTAAACTTCGAGTTCAAAAGAAAATTATTCACCAAATTTTGCCCCTTAAATGTTTTTACAGGGTATTCCCACAACATCATTACGCATGCGTACATACATTACACAAGTATGGAACAACTACACAATGCTGTGGCAAAAAGAGCACCTGCCTTAACTCCTCCTGGTTATTGTGAGGTGGTGTGGGCAGGGACGCTGGCACATCGACGGTCTTGGGGCCCTGAGCAATGGCTCTGGCCAGCAAGTCGTCCTGGGCTCGGAATGGCAGGTGGAACGGTTTAGGTCCGAGGCTTTTGGTAACTGGAAACACAAACACACATTTAGTCAGGACTGCTGATGGGAAGAACATCGCAGCCCTTCCCCCTCCGCGGGCAAAGCACACTCCTCAGAGTCCCAGCGAGGTCCCCGGCGTACCTTCGTGGCTCACTAACACTCCTGCTTTTCCAGCAAGCTCTTCTGTTGTCGCAAAGCCATTTGCCATCTTCTGACAGGCCATAGGAGGTGGTGTAGGAGGAAGAGAGGCAGGGGGTGTTGGAGGATTACTTAAATTATTCTGCTGCAGGAGACCAAAAAATTTTAAATTACATGCTACTGAGCAATAAGCCATGACCTCGTAAAATATAGTTCTGTGAATTCTTAGCACATGAATGTCATCAAGGTGCCCTTCCTCCCTAACTCACACCAAGAAGAAAAACACATGTCCACGGCCAAGAGGCTCTCCAGTGGGACAAACACATATGACAGTGTGAGCACACTGTCGCCCAACTTAGTTGGCCCGGCCTGAGTGCTCAGCTTTGACAGTAAGAAGCAAATTTTCATTATGCCCGACTCAATCTTATACAACGCTTTTCAAGCTGAAGCCGGTGAACAACAGTTTTAAAATTCAATCAATGAATTGTAAAAAGTTCTCAAAAATTCCTTTATTAAATTCTCATTAAGATATGCCCCAGTTCTACAAAAAATTGAGAATTTGTGGCCCTAATTTTATTATTGCAACTCACATTCTAGATATTAGAATCTGGATTGTCCAAAATCTCTATGCAAAAGCAGGCGCAATAATACTAAAATGACTAAGTCATTCACAAATGTAGTTCCTTCTCCAAACATTTCTCCTTGCTTCACCTTTGTCACCAATTTGTCATTTACTTTTTTCTTTTTATTGATTTCAGAGAGGAAGGGAGAGGAAGAGAGAGGTAGAAACCATGATGAGAGGGAATCATTGATTGGCTGCCTCCTGCACATTGGACCAAGCCCGCAACCCAGGCAAGTGCCCTTGACCGGAATCGAACCTGGGACCCTTCCATCCGCAGGCCAACGCTCTATCCACTGAGCCAAATCAGCGAGGGCTGTCATTTATTTTTGATTGTGGGAATCTACTAGTAACAACATGCAAATCAAGTGCAATGTGAAATGCTAATGTGACAGAGAGCCAGGGTTTCATGAAGACGAAGTTGTGTGGAGAATAGCCTGCAGCAGAACAGAAGGCATTACGAGAGGCAGGCAGCTCTCGCTGAAGAGAAAGCCAGCACCAGCATACACGAGCGCACCAGAAGCAGGCAGAACAATCAGTGAGAAGAGAATCCTCAGGAGAGCTGGTGACAGCTCTCCAACACTGTTGCAAAAAAGATGTGTTTTTGCAGAAGTTAGATGTAAAATGAAGAGTGTCTAATAAGGCTATTATGAAACTTGGTTTAAAAAAATAATACCGAAAGATAAACTTGATTAGGTTTGATATTTTAGTAGTCTAAGCATTAATGCATAATTGCAGTTAATACCTAATTAAATAAAATACATTTAAAAATATTTTTCATTTAATTTTTCAGGGTAAATTCCTAACTATATTTTTAATCCTCATTATTTATTATTTAGATTTGTTTTAGGACTTAATAAAGATTATAGGGAAATACATGAGACAAAAGTAGGTTCACAGTTGCTCGTGTGAAAAATAATTCCATAATTAATAAGTAATAATACAATAATAAACTATATTGCATGCTCACAACTGTAAACCTACTTTTGCCCCACCCTGTATTTTCTCTGCCATGAAAATACATAATGGATATTTTCCACAATTTTTAATCTTTCCTATACAAAAACCTCAAATGTTCACATCAGAAACACTTCACCAGAAAAATGTTAACCTTTAGCTAAACTGAACTTTAAGTGGAACTTGGAAGATTAGACGTAAACTAGATGGAAAAAATGAGACAAGCTCTGCCAATGCTGCTATGTATCCAGCGAGGAAGCGAGGTGACACCTTGGCAAAGAAACATACCTTGTAGATCAACTGAGAATAGTAATCCGAAACCCCGTCAAGGGTAGCACTGCCAAAAGTTCCTAGAAGTCGATTCCCACTATTAAATTGGCCACTGCCATAAGGAAGAAAGTGCGCAAAGTTCACTCCAATGATTGGTTCCATTAGAGGGAGCAGAGAGAGCTGCTATTAAAAAACACATTTAAGAGTAATGTACACGGCAAACAAAACAGGGCGATTCTCAACTTTTCTAAGACCCGAGGCAACTTAGTCAAACAGGCTTGAGAAAAATAAGACTTAAAATTTTCAAGTATCAAAATGCTGGAATAAGTGAGAGACTGCTGAATCTTTAAGATCTACTTTAAAATAAGCTCCACTCTGGTCTGTTTTAAGGAGACGCTGCCAGGCATCTAACAAGGAAACTATGACCATATCTTTGCTCAGCAAGAGCCACGGTGTGGACCAGGCCGGGGGCCCCGTGGCACCGCTCAGAGGCCTCGCCCCACCTCGGTGACCATTACAAGGTCCGAGAGCAGCGCTGACGGGTAGGTGAGCAGCTGCACGTCTTGGTGTTTGGACTCACAAGTACGTGGTCAGAGTGCCTGGTGCTGAGCGGCTGCCCTGACCATCGCCTGCCAACGCACTTGTATGTGCTCTCTGGGGCCAATAGGACAGGCTGCAGCTTTGCAAACAGGAACTCACTGGGTCCTTGCTGAGCTATCTTATCCCTGTGACGCTCTATTTTAGGGCTCCAAATGCATTTGATGTTCTCACATCCTGGCACGGTTACAGGGGCTGGGAAGGCTCACCTGTTTCAGGTGGGTAAAGGTGTCTCTGGAAGAATACACAGCTTGCTTCTCCTCCTCGTCCTTTCTCCTTTTCTTTGAGCGAGGAGCTGCCTTCTCCCCTGTCCTCTGGGTCCGTTTGCCTCGTGGTTTCTTGGTTTCACCTCCTCCATCTACTTTTGGCAGCTGGTTGTTGCCACATCCAAAACTACCTTGCGTGTGAGCTCCCAGAGTTTGCTAATGTAGTTGGAAAAGTTAAGAAGTAAGTGGACTGTTCACACGTGGATTTGCACTTCATGCGAATCCCTGACACACATTCCTAACATGGGGACTAAAATTCAGAAGGGGAGACAGTGGCATCGAATGCTCTCACTGTTTTCTGAAAATACCATCCCTTTCTGCAAACGTTCTCCAGTGTGAAGTCAGTGAGCTACAAAGCTGAAGGCAAAAGCACAACTCCTAAGCTGGCTCCTTTCTCTCCCAGAGGAAGCACTGCGACAGCCTGGCATGGAGCACGGTCGAGCCGAGCCGAGCCGTGCCAAGCTGTGCCATGCCTGAGCTGAGCAGACAGACCAGAGCTCCCCTGCAGCGTGGGTAAGTACAAGGCCAGCAGGACCGCGGCAGACTGCAGAGAAGCCTTACTTTGCACACCTCTAGTTGAGAACTGGCCTCAGATCAATAAACAACCAGCACTAGTCATTCAGAGCAGCTCCCAATCATGCATTTGACTCACTACCTATTGCTGTTTACTTAGAACCGATGAAAAAGAACACATGTGATAGCAAGCAAACCTTTCTTTACTTTTGTCTTTACAATTAACAAGTGAGAATAAATCGGTCCTTGAAGAGGTAGTGCTATTGATACCTAAAAATACAGGATTTTTTTTAAGGGCCATTATTTCTAAATTTGCTATAGGTAACTATAGTTGCTGAACTTTTTTTTAATGAATCTTAGAGGATTTTGAAGATTTAGTTTCCAGTTATAATCTAAATGGCTTAGAGCACGGACAGCAAATTTTTCTGCAAAGCGCCAAGAAGTAAAGATTTTAGCCTTTGTGGGCTATACAGCATCTGTCCAAGCTACTCCGTTCGCAGCCCAATACTGCCCAGGCAGCCACAGTTAACCCACCAATGACAAGCTTGGCTGTGCCCCAATAAAACTTAAATTCATGGACACTGAACCTTCAATCTGGTGTAATATTCACATGTTGAGAAATATTACTCATTAGATTTTTTTTTTCCAACTATTTAAAAATGTATAAGCCATTCTGAGCTCATACAAAGAAGAGGTGGAAGCAGGCTCAGACTGCTCACCCACCTGGCTGGATCCGAGGTTCTCAAAAGCAATCACCGCCACAGAGGGTCACCACCTGAATGGGTTGGAAATGCATGTCCTCTGGCCCCATCCACACCTACTGAAGCAGACACCTGGGAGTGAGGGCTCCAGGCAACTCTGACACATTAGTTCGGGGAGCCTCAGTCCTAGAGCCGTCCTCTGCATATGTATAGGGATTACCTGGGATCTTATGAGGACATATTGGTAGGTCTGTGTTGGGCATGGGATTCTGCATTTCTGAAAAAGCTCTGGGTGAGGTCATACTGCTGATCCCAAGGACTGCAGTCCGCAGAGCTAGTGCCCGAGATTGCTTCCTAGCTTCCAAGAGATTAACAGATAACCACTTATGTAAGTGTAGTGGGCTAGGCACAGACATTACCTCTAACCCTCACAACTACCCCTTAGAAAGTTTCACAGAATACATTTAACTATAGAAGAACACAAAAATAATCGGAAAGTGTGCCTGAGATTAAAAAGTCAACATTTCGTCCTAGAGGGTTTGTCTCAGTGGAGCGAGACTGAAGGATCCTGGGTTCAATTCCAGTCAAGGACTTGTACCTACGTTGCAGACTCGATCCCCAGCCCTAGTCAGGGTGCATGTGGGAGGCAACCTATCAATGTGTCTCTCTCACATTGATGTTGCCCCCCCCCCCTTTCCACTCCCTAAAAATCAATGGAAAAATGTCCTCGATAAGGATTAAAAAACAAAACAAACAAGAGTCAACATTTTAATGTATGTTTGCGGTCTTTTATGGGTGCCTTATATGTATTGTTAAAAATACAACAGATTGAAAAATAAAAAAAAATAAAAAAACACACACATAACAGATTGCACTTTGCTTTCTTTTGTTTGGTTGCTGCTTTTTAAACTTGACAGGTTCCCCATGACATTGAACAGGCTGCACAAAGCCCTGTATGTCATTCAGACTTGGAGACATTAAAAAATGATTTAATCAATAGCTGCTGGAGTCTAGGTTGTTTTCTTTCTCTCATTTTTCTGTTAGTAGAAACAGGACCTTAGCTATTCATATAACTACATCTTGGCACATATTAGAATCTTATATTCCTGATACCAGATTCCTAAATGTGCAATTGTGGGTCAAAGGTATGAACCTTTTATAAAATGTTACAAGCACCGTTTGTGCTTCAGCTTCTGTAATCCTGTGGCAAACCCACACAGCAGGGGATGCAGACGAGGTACAAAAAGGCTGTTTCCCAGGACCCCCGGGAAGTGCTGAGGCACGGACTTCTCGAGCGGGAGTGGTGGGTGCCCGACGAGGAGGTGCCCTCTCCTAATCCCAACTGACGCAGAGAAAACAGTGGAAGAAGCACTGGGTCTACCCAACTCCTACCACAGCGATTTTGCCGTGCATGGGACTACAGATCACTGAATTTCATCGTCTGCCAAGTGGGGCTAAAGAATGATATGTCAGGCCAAGTGCTCCACATGGGAACTGTGCCTGCTCCTGCGACCCCCCAGTGGACATGAGAATGTGACAGAACCCAAACATTCATACATACATGACTAATCTCACCCCTTTCTCTGCCTAATCGCCGTTGTTAGGACTTCACTATCTGAGTGCTGACTCCTTGCTAAGCACCGCATCAGGCCCTGAGGACCAAGTGCGCAGAGGCAGGCGTGCCCGTTGGGAAGCGGGTGCGGAGGGGGACACCACAGACAAGGCGACGTGGCATAGGGGCAACAAGACGTGTTTGAGAAAGGCGCCTGGAGAAGATGGTTCCAGAACGGAGTTCTCAAAGGAAAGATATTGGCTGGATGTACACCAAGGGGAGCTGCGGGCGGCACAGCACGTGGGAGGGTGCGGACATAAGGGCAATCAGGCTCTGCAAGAGTTCACTGTCCCCAGGGGCAGCAGGCAGCTGGAGCCTGGGCATCTCTGCTGGTGACAGAGGCTGGGAAAGTATTATCGCTCACAGAAATTGACAAAAATTACATCTGTCTATCAACTCAGCAGCCACCCTCTACTGACCAGCCAGACAAGAGGAAAGAGACAACACTTGCCTAAAGCTAGGCTCGCTACACTAGACACCACTGTGAAAGACGGAAACGCACGGTGGGAAAGCTTATGAATACACAGGAACATACTACAGCTTGTGAAAGACAAAGAGGCAAAACTGCTCCTGTAACCCAGGAACCCCAATTTGATAACCATCTCAGAGAAGTTCATCAAAATGCAGGGGCTGGAGTCTTGTAAAGATGTATTTACACTGCCCTTCGTAAAAGGGGGAAATAAAACCAAAAGCGCACCAAAGAGCCAACTACTGACACATGAAAGGGGACAAAGGTAAACGAGCACCGTGTATAGGACTGCGTTTGTGTAACATTACGTGTTAATACACGTGACACGAGCCCAGGAAGCCACCGTTCGGTCAATGGAAAACACACTTTCCTAGTAAGATTCACAGGCCTTTACTCGTTTGCTTTCGTTAGAGCTGCCTGATGTGGGAAGAAATCAGGGGACAGGCCCAGCTTACATCTGAAAAGCATCACCCTGCCTCTGAGTTTTGAAAAACAGACACCTATATGTTAAGTGATGGTTTGTGTACTTTATGTCAGAACGTGGGATCCGTGAAGGCCAAGACAGGAAATAAGCGGTCCTGGCGAGCCGGAAGGCAGTGGAGGGCGGCATGAACGCTGGGGCCCACGGCTCCCCTACCCCGGAAGCAGACGGCGGCCCGCAGGCCTCACTCACCGGTGCCGCGGCGGGCTTCGGCCTCTCGGCCGGTCTGCTGGCCTTCGCGCTGTCGTCTTGCGGGCAGCCGGTGCCTTCAGGTTTCGGGGCTCCGAGGGCGGCGGCCTTCTTGTTTTTCAGCAGGTGCTTCAAAAGCTCGTTGCCCACGTCGCCTTTGGCAGCAGGGGGCGGGCTCTGCCCTGCGGAGGTGGCACAGGCCACGGTCTCTGCGGCCTGACCCCCCGCCGGTCCCTCTGCGGGAGGCCCCTCCGGGCCCGGGCGTTGCTGGGGCTCGGCCAGCTCCGGCGTGGCCTCTTCAGCCACGGCAGGAGCACTCGCAGGCCGCGTGTCCGCCGCTGCAGGGGCGGGCGTCCGCTGACCTGGGGCTCCCTGGGAGGACTCCTCGGGGGACGAGCTGGTTTCCGGGCCTGCACACGCCTGGCCTGCAGCCACGCTCGGAGCCGACGAGGCAGCTGCCTCCGCTGGCTCGGGCTCTCCTTTCAGAGGAAGCTCGCTGGGCGTGGGGGCTGTGGGTGTGGAGGTAGATTCAGGGACACTCGGGGTCGGCGGAGCAGTTATGTCCGAGTGTGGAGTGGACGGTGCCTGGGTGGATTCCACGTCGTCATCTTTCTTCTTTTTCCTTGTTCTTTTCTTCTTCCCCTTCTCCTCTGGGATGATATCAGAATACAGCTGAATGAGAGACTGGGCCGATCCGGGGTAACCTTGTCCGTGGGTTAAGGCAGGGTCTTGGCCACAGGGGAGACTGCTGTTGGCTCCCGGCGATGCTGTGGGCAGGGCAGGTGTGAAAGGAGCCCTCACGGGGGACTGCTGGAAGCCGGCCCCGGGGAGACTGCTGTGCGCCTGCTTACCGGGGTGGAAGGTTGGGCTCCCGCCAGGAATTGACAGCGAGTCAGGGACCAACGAGGGGGGTCCTATCTGTCTTCGCTCGTTGGTCTGCATGAAAGTTGGGGTGGGGGGCGAATTCACAGACCCTTGGGGCATGCTCTGCTGCTGCAAAACCTGGCCCACCTGCTGCTGCTGCTGCTGCGGAGACTGCTGAAGGGGCCGTGGGGGCTGCAGGAAGTCACAAGGCAGGTCAGGGCCGTAGAACGGGGCCTGTGGCATGGCTGTCCTTGCGCTCAATTCCGGGCCCGGCAGGCCATGCTGCTCGAGCTCCATCCTCTGCTGCAGGGCCCTCTGGCGGTCCACCTCCTGCATGAGCTGGATTCGCTGCCTCTCCTGCTGCTCCCGGAGACGCTCCTTCCGTTCCCGTTCTTGAAAACTTTCACTAAAGGGGTTGTTGTCATCGAACTCCACCCGTGGAGGCGGGCCGCTCTGTGGATTTGCATTGGGCACTGTCCCCGGGGCTGATGTGCAAGTTTTCATCGGTAATTGGGCAACTGGAGGCTGGACTCGGGGAGGATTAAGGGGGAGGTGAGCAGGGGTGCCGGGAGGCTGCCATCCGGGTAAGCTGGGCATCCGTGCAGGGCTGGTGTGGCCAGGAATGACTGCTGAGTGCTGCAGTGGCTGGGCCACCAGGGGGAAGGTGGGCTGGCCCATGGCGGGTGGGGCAGCTCCTGGAATGAGGGGCGGCACCCTGGGCATGACAGCGGGCGGGGCCAGTGCATGCTGCTGCTGCTGCTGCTGCTGCTTGATCCGGTAATCCTCCATCAGCTCCGCGTGCTCCTTCTGCTGCTTCCGGATCTGGAAGAAGAGTTAAATCCCGCTCATGACGGTGCTAAGGTGCCCAAGGGCTCGGGGTTATACCGAAAGCAGTTCCACCTTAACACAGGCAGAAATATTTGGCTTAGGCAAAGGGCAAAACCACAAAAAATTGGATTGATATGCATTAACTAAAGAGTGCCAAACTTTTTTAACAATAGAATTTTTCTATCATCTGTAAAATTTCTTTACTTATGAAATACCAAGAACAAATTCAAATAATTTTCTGAAATGAATAGTAAGAAACCTTACTGTGAAAGTCAGACTATTTAAACTGCACAAAACAATAAAAACGCCACAGGAATTCGTTCACTGCGACACCTTAGAAGTGACATTAATATACAGTTTAGAGTAACTGTGAGATTTAACTCAAACTTACCATTGAAACATGTTACAATTTCACCTTCTCTATGTACAAAATGGCTCGACGTGAGAGAATAATTACTAGCATGTGTTCCACACCCTCCCCAAAGGGTAAAGACTGGACTGGAAAACTGCCTTTACAGTTCATGCGCTCAGTGATGATTCTGAAATCTGTACAGGCCAAGGTAATGTCTGAATGGCTCCTAGCAGCCCTGACTGTGTCCGTTACTTCATGCCACAACCTGTGCCAGTGCGAGATGCCAGTCTCATCCCAAGGACACTGCCTTGAGTCCTGAGGGCGCACGGCCTCCCTGAGGGAGCGGGGAGGCAGAGGCTCTGGGTGACATTCGCATCCTTCAATACCACTCCAGTTTTGGATGTGGGCATATTACACCAGTAGTTCTAACAGCTTCCCTGGCCAACTGGCACATTCTCTGCACGTGATGATTCTGACCTGCTCCCCAGTAGCTGTGTAACTTCTAACTTTTTTTCTTATCTTTTCTGACCAGTTTACTGGCATTGGATTGGGGAAGTAGTATGATAGTCATCGAATACCTCAGTACCTGGAAAATAGAAGGTGGTGGTCCCTGCCTTTCCCAGGACATTTAAAAATACTTCAGCAAATGCTTACCTTACTGAGATACAATGGGTGTTGACAACTATACAGTAACAGATGACATGCCACTTTCCAAGTTCAGTATTAGCTTCTAAACAGGATTTGATGCATGGATATAAAATTAGGCCCTTAGCATAGAGAAGTGATAGCAATACACTGAAGGCAATGAAAATGCTAAAATTACTTTATAAGAAATACCCGAAAACATTTACTTGCATAAGCATAAACCCAGAGAGTAAATTTCAAGAGAAAAGAAACCTCTCGCTCTAGATTAGCACCAGCATAGCTCGCAGGTAAGTCATTGGCGTCGAAACCCCTAATTCAATAGTCCGTGTAGTGTGAGTGAGCACGCGCCTACCTCTGTGCAGACTCAGATCCCTCGTGTGCGCCCTGGTTAGTCCGTCTTGGAAGGTGGTCAGAGAAAGCTGTCTACCAGTGTTCATTACACAGAAAACACTCCAATGTGTCAGCCTGAGTGCCTCCCCTTCTATAATTACATTTAGATTGCTTTTCAATTTTACTTTAAAAGTTAAAATACACAGAAGCCAAGGTGACATTTTGGTGTACAATTGCATTAATGTTAGTTAACGCACAGAGACATTGTTGTAGCTATCGCCACAATCAAGATACAGAAAACTCCTTCATGTGACCCACCCCTTAGCAGTCACACCTCCCTCCCTCATCCCTTAGCCCTAGAAACCTCTAGAGCCAATTTTTATCACTCTGTTTTTCCAAGAATATCAAACAAATAGAGTAGCCTGCAACATTTGGGGATTAGCTTCTTTTACTCAGTGTAGTGTTCTCAAGATCCATTTAAGTAATTCTGTGTAGTACTCCACTGTGTGGATACACAACACTCTGTCCAACAATTCCCCACTGAAGGATACCTGGGCTGTTTCCAGGTTTTGGTGACTATGAATAGAGCTCTTATAAATATTTGTGTACAAGCTTTCGTGTGAATTCAGTTTTTAATACGTAGGAGTGGGCTCTTAGTTCAACTTGAACAGTTACTGTTTAATTTTAAATAAAAAGTTAAAAGTATAATTGTTACTTCAGTGATCTTTTTGAGGAATACCTGGTTTGTAATGAAAGATAGCAGCAGAATGGTTTCATTTTTTAGAAATGAGTACTTTTCATAAAATATACCAATGAATCTTTGAAATATTAATAAAAATACTATGAAAATGAATCACCAGAATGACTCAAATGCTCTATCTGAAATTTCACTGGAACCAGGAACTAAAGACAATGGGCAAGCAAAGGTCAACTCCAAGTGAACAAATACTTCTGGGGCCCAATCTTGTTCCGCCTGAACCAGGGTTCCCCGTGAGCTCTGTGCTCAATGGAGCTGAGGACCCCGAGGGATTTCTTAGGCGGGAAAGTACCTGGATTTCCCTGGCTGTCCCAGAGTTCATACCGGAGTGTGGAAGCGGCTCCTCTGGGTCAGGTTATGAATTAATCTCTTCAGTGGCACTTACTAAATATGTGCTGTGTGACCACTACTTCAGGGACAGGACTGGCTGTCATTTCCTAGGTCAGTGAGGCCCGCGAGTGTCTGCCCAGCACTAATCAAGCCCTGCGCCCACTCGCTAGCGCCTGCCCTGCCGTGCAGACCGGCCATTACCTGCTCCAGCTGCTTCTGAACCATGCTCTGCTGCTCAGTCACGTGCTTGAGCTGCTCCGCATCCTCTTCGGGGAACTCCCGCCCGGCCTTCTTGGCGGTGCGCTGCTTGGCCGAGAGGGCCTTCTTGGATTTCCTGTGCGCTCCGATCTGTTCTTCCAGGTACTTCTGCTGCATTTGGAGCAGCTGCTGGGTCTCCTGAAGCCACTCTTCGTACTGCTTCCGCTGGGAGTCATCTGAGGGGATAATAAAATTCAGCTCTGTTACTTTTCTAGAGCCCAATGTAAAAGTTACACAAACCCACTTTTGTAAGGAAATGCACTTTGCCATGACCTTATAATAGGTATTCTGAAAACATACTAAACATTAACTATAAAGTAGGAGATTTTAGGAAAGTATTTTTTTGAGAAAACCAAAGAATGCATGTTTTTAGCTCACAGGCTATCTTCATACTTATCAAGACTATAAATCCAGTCTCTGAAATCAGATGACTTTTCTCTAACAGAGAAAACAATCTGCTGAACTACCATGTTCTCTAAGCCATGTGTGTATTTCATGAAGTCACATTTACAGACTTTGAAGAGACAAAGTACGACACATGTATCCTATTAAAGCCCAAAGCTTAGGTTAGGTACCCTTCCCAAGTTAATTTCCCTGCGTTTATAAGGGTGGCCCTATTTCTCAACAGTGAAAATATGTCCTAAACTGAGAGGGAGGGGCCTAGAATGCCTTAGAAAAGGATGAATCTGAAGTCTATGTTTTATAAAAGAAATCTCTAAGTTAAAAACATAGGTAACTTATGAATTTTATAATTTAGCACTTGTATAAGCAAAAAAAAAATCTTTAATTAACCAAGTAGAATCTTGACTACTTTTATGACTGTCATTGATATTGCCCCAAAATAGTTATATCTCTTCATCTTATACCAACAGTCCTTTATTCTTTAAGGACATTTCATGTCACTGATTCCAAGTTTAAAAAAAAAAGTCATCTCATGATAGTGAAATTCAGAATACACTTTTTTTTTTTTTTTTTACTTATTGTAAGACAAAGAAATGAATAAGTACAATTCTAGGAAGGAAATTCGCTGAAAAATTACATCAGGATAACAATATTGTCATACAGTGAGAATGCAACCAAAGCTAATCAATGGGCACAGTAAAGCCAGAAAAAGCCAGTTGGGTACAACAGTTTGTTTTTAATGCAAAATGTGTTCAAATTATGATAATAATTAATGCAGGGGAATTTTAATGGGTCAGACTTTGGGTTTTTTCCTAAACCCAGAAGTCCCAGTACATGTATGAACTTGAAATCTAGTCTAAATTTGAAGGGCATTTTTTAAGAACAGGCTTTTTCAACAAGGTTTCAGAAGTTCTGCTTCTGGTAGAATGAGACCTACCGCAAGGAAAGCCTTTCTGGTTTCTGGAACCAGGAGAGCAGAGGTGAGCAAAATGAAAAATAATGGTGAAAAAAAAAAGTTAGCTAAACAGTCTGAAGATTTCAGAAAGGTTCAGTTTGGGGAGAACTTTAAATGCTATCCTGAACCACCTTGGGACCCCTGGAGATAACTCAAAAGGACTCCGTGGCATCCTGCATCCTTGCCCTTCACACCATGCTGCTAACCCAAATGGTTCCTAAGCACATTCCTATGTGGTTCCCATTTAGTGTCTTTGTCACAGAGGCAGACAGTCATTAGAGCAAGAAAAGGCTAAATTCTAGTTGTAAAGTGCCCAATCTACATATAAAACAAACAAAAACCCAGCAACAATATTGAAGAGAATGGGGAAGGTGATTTTTCTGTATTTAAATATTAACCTAACTATAATTCTTCATGCATAGAGAAAAAAAAAACAATGAAAATACATGCCTTGAGGAAAAGACACCAATTAAGGTTTCATAAAAGATGAGGGCACTCAGACTTAAAAACACACCTACACTAACTCCACATTTTTAGAACACAGAGTGCAAACAAGCAATCCCCAGAGAACAGGTGACTTATTAGATTTATACTTACTGACAAAGCCTGGACCAAAATTTGGAGGATTAGGCCTAGAAAGCTGATGTGTTATACTGCCATCCTAAAATAAGTAAAATTTACAAATAGGTTTATTCCACATTTCAGTTAAAGAGGAGAAAACTTTTTTTAAAAAAGAAAGAGAAAGAAATGGAAGGGGGAGAAAAAAACTTTTAATTTCCTAAGACATCTTTAAAGCTCTCCGTTTAATAAAAAGTAGATGAGTTGAGTGGTAAAAACCTATTTTCTAAAAATTTTTAATTATCTTTGAACTGTTTCATTTAATATATTTCAGTTGAAAAACATGTATGAGGTAAGGGATGGAAATGCAATAGTAGGGCAACTCAAATACTGTTAGCACATAGCTAGAAATGATGTAAAACTCCCATTTTTTAATGAAATCCACCTGGTTTCTTCTGCAATTATGACATAAACATGGGTTCTGGACTGACTAAATCCCACTTCACAGCAACCGACATTTCTAACATATACAAGTAATTGAAAATTAGTCTCAATTTTTAAATTAAATGTCTTGTTTCTTCCAGGGTGACTGAATAAACAGCTTTTAATTTCACAATTCCCTGGCAACAATCTGATATGTGTAACTTTGAGAACATATTTACCAGTCGTTACAAGTTCTGTTAGACATGAGCTATACACAAGGTAACAATTGTAAAAGACAGTAGCAGCCAGAATGTGCTATCTGTAACCCTTACACTGTGAGGCTGGGGACCATTTGACAGTGGGAAAAATGCAGGTCACAGAACGTATATAGACTTTGCACAGTAAACTTAGAGTGGAACTGAGTTTTTATAAAAACTCATTTTGAAGCCTATGCTTTTCCCATTGCCTGAGATGCTAGATGCTCTCTCTTCTTTTAATAATAAAAAGAGCGTAGCTATCAGCATAATAAAGCTGAAGCACAAATTGCTTGGCAGGAAAGATTCCACAAAGACATGTAATAGGTCACTTAACAGGTAGTGTTTTTTTGTTTTGTTTTGTTTTGCTTGTTTGTTTTAATCTAGGCAGATACTTGAGGGGGAAAATGGAAGAAAACTGTATGAAATGAGCAGGTAATCTACTTTTCCTAACATCGTTTGACCCTCAAATTTATACTTCAAGCTGATTATCATGAGTGGTGAATATTTAGAAGACTAAATTATTCCAAGGAATAAATAGCAGAACATGACTGTATCTAAATAGAGTGATTATAATAAGAATTTTCTACTGTTTATAACATTTACATTTTTTAAAATGATGAATTAAATCCAAAATGCAGACTATGAAAATGTCTTTGTGGAGTCCAAAATAAAAACTGAAGAAATTAGCCAAAGCATATAAATGCATAGCGCACGGACACGGACAGCTATGCGGGGAAGGCCAGGGTGGAGGGGCTGAGTGGAGAGGAGGGGGAGGGTAGACATTTGTAATAGTGTCAACAATAAAAACAAATACACGTAGAATCAGAAACCCTAAGCATTTGGTTGCCCTCTAAATTGACTTTCTACCCTTAAATATATGGTCCTTTTCAGAAGCTGTGGCCAATTTCAGTCTCAGTAAGAAAGTTTTTACTCCTGCTGAGCAGATCTCTAAGCTCCTATGACTTCCTAGACGTGGCCTTGCTGGGCAGAAGAGGTCTGTTGGAACAGGACAGTGATTCTGGTGACAATACCTGAGGAATGGCCTGTGGCAGGAGAGTCTGGCCATCACCTGTTTGCGCTCCAGTCACCGACTGGCCCATAAAGGGGAACCTGTGAAGGGAAGCACTGGCGTCAGATGACAAGCATGAACACCTACACTTATTCTAGGCACTTCACAGTGTGCTCTTCCAGGGAAGAGAGAGCAATGTCCTCCTCATCATGCACATCTGCGAAGGCCCAGTCTCCTGAGTGCCGACCCCACGTCACCTCCCCACCCTTTGCAGTGCAGCCACTCCCTGCTCCTGACTCATGACGAAAGCAAGAGGCCGAGGCCCAGTCGCTTTCCCATGACCACCAGTGAGCAGAGGTACGCAGGCCACGCCAGAGTTGTTTCACTTCCTACTACACGCTTCATCGTGCCCGAAAATAAAATTAATTCAACTCTTCTGGGTAAAAAAAAAAAATTAACAAAGAGTAGTTCTATTATATACATTCTAAGAAAAATTTTTATTCTTCAATCTTTATTTTTAAAAATGCCTTTTCTGAACTAAAAAAAGTAAAGATAATAGGTAACTTAGCTACTTTGTATTCTAAAGATACACCTCTCAAGAAGTTTCACTCATTTTCTATACCTAATGTTAAAGCAAATTAAAAATTGGTCACAGACCAAGAAAGAGTCGATAAAGTTAAACATATTTGGCCAGCCCAGCCAGTGTAGCTCAGTGGTTGAGCATCAACCCATGAACCAGAAGGTCACCAGTTCAATTGTGGGTCATGGCACATGCCTAGGTCTGGGTTCAATCCCTAATGCAGGAGGCAGCTGGTTGACGTTTCTCTCTCATTGATGTTTCTAACTCTCTATCCCTCTCCCTTCCCCTCTAAATAAATAAAATATATATTTTTAAACTGGCCAATATATTTTGTTGTTGTTAATCATCACCTGAGGATATTTTCCCATGAATTCTTAGAGCAGAAGGGAGGAGGAAGAGAGGCAGAGAGACACACCATTGATGTGAGAGGACTGGGGACTGAGCCTGCAAACACGGCACAGGCCCTTGACCAGAACTGAACCCAGGATCCTTTCATCTGTGGGCTGACACACTATCCACTGAGTAAAATCGGCTAGGGCTGGTCAATATTTTGATTCAACCATCACCCCTGCACCCACTACAGCCTGGGCAAGAATGATCTCTTAATCCAAATAGCATTCACTGTCCGTCACCCTCAGCAGCATCTCACACAATGTTGAAGGACTAACACCTCCACTTCTTCTAAGCACTCTGTAGAATAGCAAACACTATGCCTAACATGTGGCTAATTCACAGACGTATAAGGTATGTGCTGAACCAGCAGGGATTCTAATTCTGAGGCCCATCTTTTAAACTAAATGCTAACAAAGTTGAGCATTTCCTTCTAGTTTGACTAAAAACAGCAAATTCCAGTATTATTAGCAGTAGTGTGACTTTGTCACCAACAGAACTCACATTATTTTCATAACAAAAGTTGTTGCATATACTAATATTCCAATTCATCTTGACTTTGAAATTATGGTAATCATTAGATCTACTGCTAAATGTGTTAAAGTATTAAGTAGCAAATATGCCATAGTTTTTAAATTTAAATAACTACATTTCAAATATTACTGATTTCCTTTGTAGTATGTTTTTGGTTTTGCACATAAAATGTTCCGAGTCAAAAGGTTTACGACATAAAAAAGAACACTTTGACAAAGAATTTGTGTGAATAAATGCTGTATGATAGTGCACGTGCAAATCCCTACTTTGATCTCAAAAATACTTCTTACCCATTTCCAAACTATCTCAACAAATGAAAAGAACTACTCCTTTAAGGAATCCTAATTAATCAGAGTCTTGCTTATCAAATTCACATAGATTTTACATTCAATTCCATAATCATTCTTTTCATAAAAATTGCTCAAGATAATGAGATTAACTGAGGCTTTATCCTCACTATTGACAGAGCTATCAACCAGAGCTCTCCATAAGAGAGGACCAGTGCCAGCTGTAGATATCCTGACTTATCGATAGTAGTCGGTATTGGATTAATGCAAATTAAATTGCCATATAATTCTGACAGTGGTCCATAATAAAAACTTAAGATGTATCCCTGGCTGGCATGGCTCATGAGTTAGAGCACTGGCCCGCTAACAGAAGGATCTGGGGTTTGAGTCCTGTCAAGGGCATATATCTTAGTTGTGGGTTCGCTCCCCATCCCTGATTGGGGCGCATGAAAGAGGCAAACATCCATGTGCTCTCTCACATCGATGTTTCTCTGTCTCCCTCTCCCCCGCCCTCTGAAAAAGCAATGGAAAAAGATGTCCTCAGGTGAGGATTAACAAAAACAAACAAGCTACTGCCTTGAAGTTAATATCCCTTAGCTGGCACAAGTACTCTTAATTCCATAAATTCTCATGGTAAAACAACTCTTACAGTCTTCTTTAATGCATAATTTCCATTTTTCTGCTAATGGTGAAAAGATATACACATTATCCCACTGCTAAATTTCCAGTGCCCTCTTTTCTATTCTTCTTGCCATTTCTTTCTGATTTGAGATGGTTTGGGGACTTTAGAGCTTGGCGCTCAGGCACTTCACTGAAAATGTCCCATGCTTTTCTCTGCATTGTTCCTCTGATGGAATAAAAATTATTCACAGGCTTAAAGAAACCATCATCCTATCTCCACAGTTTGACTACTATTTTCCTGCTTATCTTCTCATCTTTGTTTAGGATGAAAGATCTCAGTCCCAAGAAGCTCTTAGTCAGCTATTCTAAAGGTATTTAAAGAAACACACACTTAGAGATACTGATTACTCACGTCAATCTTATAAGCCTATCATGTTTTATTACATTTACCCTGAAAATAAAGGAAATTGATCATATCCAGCTAATATCACAATAAATATAACTACTACTCATTCCTAAAACACAGTGGTTTTTTTCTTTATATATTTGAGTTTTGGAGAGGAAGTGAAAGGGAAAGAAACACTGATTGGCTGCCTCTGCCACCCCACCCCCCCACCCCCATTTCCCATCCTCACAGGGGATCAAGCCCACAAGTCAAGCATATGCCTTAACCAGGAATCAAACCATGTCCTCTTGGTTCCTGGGGTGATGCTCAACCACTGAACCACACTGGCCAGGCTAGAACATAGGATTTTTAGGTGCTAGTTCTAACAACCCATGAGCCATGCCTGCCAGGGCTATATCTTAAGTTTTTATCATGGACCACTGTCAAAATTACATGGCACTTCTTGATGTAAGGTAAGAATGAGAACACCGTCGCCTACCTGTTCAGGACCATCGGTGGCATGCCCATGTTGTTTTGTGCCATTACTTTATTGATGCCTTTTAGGGCCACCATCTTTGCTTTCATTATAGGATCCGTAATTGCATCAAAATCTAAAGAAGAAATAATTTTAACGTTACTAATTTCATAGTACTTGGTTCAAGTTACATTTAACTGTCACAAACATTATGTAATCTAGAGGCTTTTATTCTTTATTATTTAATAAGCATTATCACAGGTTTCTAGACTAGGTAGGTAAGGAATGATGAGATGCAAAGAACCTTAACCAAATTTAATGGCATCTTAGTGACTCATCATTGAAGCAAGTTTGGATACCTTAGTCCTGCAGGAATGAAAATGGAAAGCTTATCAAATTTAAGGGGAATTACAGCAATAATCTAAAGTAGTAAGATTCTTTTCATCCAAACATTCACATGCTAATCAAAACTGCTTCAAAATATTAATGTCATGAGAATTTACAGTTATTTCCAATACTAAGGTATTCCACTAAATCAGTATCACCCTTTGAAAGCAAAATGTATCCCTTCTTGAGGACATAGCCTTGCAATAAAGATAGGCTACTGAGAAAAGGTCTCTTTGCATAGAAGTGAAAAAGAGAGGGGACAATATGCTAATTTTTACTCTTAGAGACACTCAGGTACTTTTACTGCATTGATGTTTAGTGGGTCCCCCCCTCAAACTAGTAAGCAATTGGAAACAGTTAAAGAGCTTTATGTAAAAAAAAAAAAAAAAAAAAAACAAAACAAAAAAAAAAAACAAAAACTGCTGAGACCGGTTTGGCTCAATGGATAGAGCGTCGGCTTGGGGACTGAAAGGTCCCGGGTTCGATTCCGGTCAAGGGCATGTACCTTGGTTGCGGGCATATCCCCAGTAGGGGGTGTGCAAGAGGCAGCTGGTCGATGACTCTCTCATCGATGTTTCTAACTCTCTATCTCTCTCCCTTCTTCTCTGTACAAAATCAATAAAATATATTTTAAAAAAAAACAAAAACAAAAAAAAAACTGCCAAGCATTTATAGTACATAAATTGAGTTTGTTTCTATCATAATTTCTTTAAATTAAGTACCTCTGAAAATAAATGGTTAGAAGAAAGGAACTAAGACGACGACTTGTTTCTGTTAAACAATAACCTAAGGACTAAGAAAGTTCTGACCCTCTTAATTGACCTGGGAGGAATCTAAACTCTTCATCACTGTGTGACCCTCAGTGCTCTAGTCCATGTGTCTTGTTAACACTGAAATCTGACAAGCACACCGCACACCACCCTGACCGCCACGGAAACCAAAGCCATTCCTACCGATGTTGGGAAAGAAGGGTTCCGACCGCTGCCGGATCATGGCCTGCATCTGTCTCTGCTGCTGCTGCTCCTGCCTCTCCTGGTCCAGAAGGTCCTGCAGCAGCAGAGGCTGTTCGTCCAGGAGGAGGGGTCTCTCTCTGCTCTGCGGGGTGAGGGTCGGAGGAACCACCAGTGGCGGGGGTCCAGACTGACTGGATAGGGGCACAGTTTGATCTGTAGGTTTTCCTGCCCCAAAACCATGATTAACTGCCGACTGACCCTGAAGGAATCCCGGATTTACCTGCACACTCTGAGGAAAAGCGTGGTTTACCCTAGAGACTACTGTTACATTAGAATTCATGGCATTATCCAAAACGTGGCCAGGCGGTGTCATCAGTGGAGGGGGCAAACTTGGCATGTGACTGGATGCTGAGGCTGGCAACGTTGGTGGTGAAGACCCCAACGGCTCCATGTCTGGAGTGTCCGACTTCTCATTAGCAAGTAAACTGGAAAGAACCGGAGTTGACCCAGCTACGCCACAAGAGCTGGCTGTGTCTTCAGCAGGCAGCTGAGTGGGTCCGTGAGCGGCGGCCGTGCAGGAGGCGGCGGTATCGCGAAGCGCCCTGTTGTCAGGCAGGTCGGCCTCACAGGGCTGCGGCGGGGCCTCCTCCCCACCAGGCAAGTCCGTGTGAGCGGCAGCCTGGGAGCAGGGAGCGTCAGCGCGGCCTTTACCCTCATCGCTTTTTTCACTTTCACATTTGATTTCCCCTTTAGCATTTGGAGACAGTACTTCTGTTTTTATCTCACTGGTTACAGTGGATTTTTTCCAAGGGGAATGTTTATCGGAAGGAACCACAGTTTTATCTTGCTCCTTTTTTTTTGGTTCAATAGATACACACTGATTATCTAACTTGTCATCAATTGGGACATTAAGGTCTAGTTCTGCGTTAAACACGCTTTTCTTATCTCCTAGGTCAAGTTCTGGATCTGTATATGCAATGATATCAAATTCTCCTGACCTTAAGAGGTCATCCAAGTTGGGATCATTAGTTTCCAAATTACCTAAAGTATCCAATTCATCTCCTTTGCCATCTTCTGTATCTAGATTTAAATTTTCAAGATCTTCATCATCCAAGTCTTTGACCTCAACCCCCTCAAGATCTTTAACATCTAGCTCTTTTACAGATGGATCATCAGAATCAAGTTTTTCTTCAAGACCATCAGAAGACTGGGCCGTTACCTGTAAATTACCAGACGTCGCTTCAACTGGTGTGGATGCCGACAAAGAGGCCTCTGAGAACTCCCCGCCGAAGGGGTGACTCATGGACCTCATGACCAGAGAAGAATGGACAGGGTGACCTTGCCCCGGCTGAGAAGGTGGCACCTGCTCCAAACTCGGATGCACGGGCAGCTGATTAGGTTGTTTCATGGGGTCTGTGTGTCTAGGGCCTGGGAAGTCCGGCCGGGGAGTAAAGTTCCCGTGTCGTGGATGAGAAGGTGCCTCTAGAATGTTGTTGCCAGGAGCACTGAAGGGCAGCCGTGGCCGTCCATCCGGGGCCCTGTGCCGAAGCTCGATGAATGCCTGGCCGAGTATGTGATGCTGGGGGGCGGGCAGGCCTGGCGGTGGGAAATGCTGAGGAAGACCAACCGGACTACTCATTGGCGGGTTATTTAAAGGCCGGGACATATCTACAGACATCGATCTTCTCAGCTGCGGAGGAATCCCAGGTCCTTGTATTTGCTGAGGAGGCACAAGGAAGCGTTCCTGACTTGACAGGGTACCATGACTACCTCCTGGAAATCCAAATCTAAAGGAAAAAAGAGCAAGTAGTAACACTAAGCATTACATTAAATTTAGAGTTAAGTTGAGGAAAGAAAATGTTTTATATTAAACTCAGACACAAATGTTGCCAAATACAGTGACTTAGGAAAGACAAAATTATCATGATTAGAAAGTGCTCATAAAGCATCCATATGTACATAAGTTTTTGCTAAGTGAACCCAAAATGAACACTGTATCTGAGTCCCTTTCTTTTTTCTGCATTCAGGGAGCTCTATGGGGGAAAGTGACTGGGGAAGTGGGTGGCTGCTTGAATGAAGGTTGGAAATCTCAAGAATTGTCCGTGAGAGACTTACTGGCCTCTGTACACAGAAGACAAAGGCAGAAGCCTGAGGACTGGGTGGACTATCCTATCTCTGTGAAAGGAATGAAGACAGGAGGCAGAGAGAGACAGAGAATAAAAGGCACCATCTCCAAAGTCTTAAGAAATGAGTAAATTATCTATACTGTACCTCATTCTAGAGAGAAAAATATATAAAATAGCAGAAGCATGCATTAAAGTGAGAAAGAAAAAAGGAAAATAAGGGTAAAACTGTAACATGGGGGTCAGTATTAAACTAAAAAAAATGTCTAATAAAACTAAAAGAGTCATCTTTTTTTTAAATATAAATGTATTTTATAGATTTTTTACGGAGAGAAAAGGAGAGGGATAGAGAGCTACAAACATCGATGAGAGAGAATCATCGACCAGCTGCCTCCTGCACACCCCCCACTTGGAATGTGCCCGCAACCAATGTACATGCCCTTGACCGGAATCAAACCTAGGACCCTTCAGTCCGCAGACCAACACTCTATCCACTGAGCCAAACCAGTCGGCTAAAAGAGTCATCTTAAAGAACTCACTCCTCAGTATACCTGGGCATATGTTTGATCTTGCCACTAGCCACTTCAAAAACAAACAAAAAATCTCACTGACTTCATAACTATTTCACCATGAAAAGTTCCAGAAGGAGAACATCCGTTTCATGTGGAAATCTCCACAAATATTCACAATGTAAACTAAAATAAAAAGCTTCCTCACTCATCCTGTCACAGGAGGCTTTGCCTGAAAAGGTGGGTTACATTTTAGAGATTTAAAGGTGTGATAAACTACGTATTGCTGTAATGAAATGTTAACAGAGTCAATACTTAAAAACAAAGGGGTATTTAGGGTCTTCATTAAAAGTTTAAAAAAATCCAGTGGGCCGGGACTGGTTTGGCTCAATGGATAGAGTGTCGGCTTGGGGACTGAAGGGTCCCAGGTTCGATTCTGGTCAAGGGCATGTACTTTGGTTGCGGACATATCCCCAGTGGGGGGGGTGCAGGAGGCGGCTGGTCGATGACTCTCTCTCATCAATGTTTCTAACTCTCTATCTCTCCCCCTTCCTCTCTGTATAAAAATCAATAAAATATATATTTTTTAAAATCCAGTGGGATCAATACATTTAAATTACTTGAATAAATTATTTGCAAGGAAGTCCAACTGCAAAACTGGTGAGGTTGGGGTGGAGGCAGGGAAAAAACACATTCGACTATCCTTACAAAACCATTTCCTCAGGATGCCCAATGTCTAGATTTAGTTCTAAAACCTCTAAGGAAAGCACACAATATTCTGTGTTGGAAGACTACTCTAAAGTTTACTTTTTAAAATTTATTTATTTACTTTAATCTTCAGCTTGGGATATTTTTTTCCACTGATTTTTAGAGTGTGGGAGGGGGAAAGACAAGAGAAACATCCACATGAGAGAGACACAGTGATTGGTTGCCTCCTGCACAAGGGGGATTGAACCTGCAACCAAGATACTGGCCCTTGACAGGAATCAAACCTGGGACCCTTCAGTCTGTGGACCAATGCTCTAACCACTGAACCAAAGAGGATAGGGCTATGGTTTGTTTTATATATATACTGATTCATTCAAGTCCTTCCTGACCTCAAGATTCTAGAATTCTGGACTATTTTAGAATAAAAATCTTCTTCCTTAAGGTAACAATAGGAAATGAGGAAGTAATTAAAAAAAAAAAAAAGTTTAAATGAAAATGGCATTTTTGGGGATATTTTTCTATCATAAAAAATTATACAATGTAAAAAATCCAAGCAAGCCCTGACAGGTGTGGCTCTGCTGGCCGAGCATCGTCCTGTGCACCAGAAGGTCATGGTTCAATCCCTGGTCAGGGTGTGTACGGGAGGTAACTGATGGATGTTAACTCTCACATCGATGTGTTTTTTTTTTCCCTCCATCTCTTCCTCCCTCTCCCTCCCTCCCTCTCTCTCTCTCTCTCTCTCAAATCAATATAAATTTGTATTTTTAAAAACCCAAGCAATATAAAAATATAAGGTATAAAATATCAACTTACTTGTTGGGTATCATTCAAGATATTTATCTAGGCAATTATGTAGTTTTATACAAATGAAATTATGTTGCGTAGTCTATTTTTTCCATTCAATAAGTAATAAAGGTCTTTCTTCTCAATTATTAAACCACAACATTTTAATGGCTGTCTTATATTCTGTATCACAGATATATCATAATATATTTAACCTTTTTTTCCTGAGCCTTATGCTTCTCAACCTCTAAAGTGAGTGTAACTGAACCTTTGTGTTTTATAAAACACCTGAAGTGCACAGAATAGTGCTTCACACAAAGTAATAAAGTTAGCCATTGCTTTATTTACTGCTATTACAGGGCGATATTTAGATACATCCTACCTTTTTTGCTATTTATAATCAATGGCTAAAAGAATAACGTTGTATAGATTTCCTGGGACACCTGCACCACTGTCTATAACTTCCTAAGTAAAACTTCCTATAAGTAAATGGTATTGTATTGCCAAACTGTCCATGGTTGAGCCAACCGATACAACCATGGAACTTTACCAGATTACCCATGTTTCCTATTATTAATCTTTAAATATTTTCCAATCTAAAGAAAAACGCAGTTTTTTTTTAATCCATGACATCTCATTAGTGGAAATAACACTGATTATATCTCGAAGAAATATAACCAGTAAAAAGCACTAACAACTTCTTAATTACAAGTAAGTTCTAACAGAGATTTAAATTTGGCAGGAAGTTAAACGCATTACCTAAATCCATGAGGTCTCATACCCATGCCAGTCACTTCAGGAGGATAGGGTCCACGTGGGTCCTTTGGGAAGACAGCGTATCTGGGTCCCAGCGGAGGGACAGCAGGAGGCCTGATGCTCCCAGGATAGGGGGGCGGGGGCCTGGAGAAAGCCTGGCTGGTACCCTCAGGCTGCCAGTGCTGCAGGGGACTGGGATGAGGCACAGAGGCTGCATCCTGGGAACCTTTCTCCTGCCGACCTGCCATCTTCTTCTGCTGTTGCTGTTGCAGAATGATTTCACGTAACTTCTGCCGCTAAAGGAAAGAAACAAAAATCACTGGGATTTCCGGTTACTAAGGGCTTTCTGGTAACTAATGCTTCCAAAACATGACTATGAAAATGTTTAAAATATTTTAAAAATATATATTTCTAAAATTTATTTCAGCGAGGAAGGGGAAGGGGGAGAGAGATAGAAACATCAATGATGAGGATCACTGATCGGCTACCTCCTGCATGCGCCACACTGAGGATTGAGCTCGAAACGTGGGCATGTAACCTGACCGGAAATCGAACCGTGACCTCCTGGTTTATAGGTCAATGCTCAACCATTAACCACGCCGGTCAGATAGTGTTTAAAACATCTTAATGTTTTGCCCTAGGTAGGTAGTTCAGTTGATTGGAGCATCATTCCAATATGCCAGGGCATGTACAAGAAATCAACCTATGAATGCATAAATAAGTAGACCAACAAATCCATGTTTCTCTCTCTGTCTGAAATCAACCAATCAATAAATAATTTAAATGTCTTAATATTTTAAAGTTTTATGAAACACTAGTTATATTTAACTATTCAATAGTATAAAACAGATTACTTGGGGCCTTTTCCTTACCTGGCAACTACCACATAATTGAAAAGATTTCATATATAACAATTCCACTAAAAATTCATAAATATTGAAAATATAATAAATCCAGATCAATTGGCATTAATTTCACCACTTCCATTTTTCTTGTTTGCAGTATATAAGATAAATATCTGTTACAGTGTGAGAGAATGAATAGCTTGTTCAAATAATATACTTAAAACATTCAAGAACATTCAAGGTGTTTGTTTACCTGTCTCAATTTCTCTGTATCCGCTTGGGACATGTTGATGGTGTTGTGTGTGTCAGTGACTCCTGAGGTGGGTACCGGGCCAGGAAGTTGGGAGACACTGGAGAACTGCTGGCCTTGAGAATTCACAGGGGTGTTGGCAGGAGCACTGAAGTTCCCCTCGGACCCAGGCCGGGGCTGATCAGCAGCATCAGGAGCCATTTGACTTGCTCCAAAAGCATCTGCCTGGGGCCTTGGGGTCATTGGGGGCTGGTCGTAGGGATCCCGAGCAGCAGAGGGGGAGACACGGCTGAATGTATCTGCAAGGGCAGGTCCCGGCGGCACAGGGGTTTGAGAACAAGCTTCGGGTGTCCTCACCACAGGGCCAGGTAAGGCGCTACCTCGATTCTGTGCTGCCTGCAGAAATGAATCCTGACTTGGCATGAGGACAGGTCTTGTCACTGAGGACCGAGCAAAACCCTCTAAAACCCTTGGTCTTGGTGCTGCTGGTGGCTGCGAGTAAAAAACAGAGACACCAGGTCTTGGTGTTCCCGGAGCATGAGCATATGGGTCAGAGTGCCTCTGAGGAGCTGCAGATGTAGCAAACAAGTCTGCTTGTGTAGGAGGTCTTGGGGTTGGTGGCTGCTGACTATATGGATCAATCGTTGGGGGCCGAGGAGTTCCAGGAGGCTGCGAGTAAGGGTCTGGATTGGAGGGAGATGGTCCTGAGGGTTGGGAATATGGATCCTGAGATGTTGGCCTTGATATGGTTCCAGGCTGGGGAAAAGCCCTTGAGGGGTGGGTGAAAGACTCGTTCATTGCAGGACGGGGGGTGAGGGGAGGCTGGCTATATGGATCACTCGACTGGTTATGAGAAAAGTTATCTGCAGGTCTTGGTGTCAAGGCAGGCCTTTCATAAGGGTCGACGGATAGCCGCCTTGGTGGATGTGGCACTGGCCCATAAGGGTCCTGGGAGGGCGGAGGCAGCTGCAAGGGAGCCTTAAAAGGTCCAGGACCACTATCCAGGGGTGCAGGCGTCAACAAGGGTCGTGCATATAGGTCAGGGATCCGCTGTCTTTGAAACACATCTGCCCTGGGAGATGGTTTCATGAAGTGATCATTGGTTCCAGCTGCTAGAGGACCTTTCGCAGTTTGTTCTGGAACTGCAGGAGCCTGGGGCAGGCCAAAGGGTTTGAGAAACTGGTCTGTTGTCACAGGCCTGGGTGTGTCTGGAGGCTTCGCGTAGGGGTCACTACTTGTCGTGGAGGAAGAGCAGAAATCTCGGACGGGAGATGGCCTATTTGCTGCACCCTCACCCAGTTGAGGGGGCCTCGATGCCGATACAGATACACAGCTTTCCACCAGTGCAGAATTCCTTCTGGGAAAGCTGTGGCCCCCAGGAGGCGGTCTTGGGGTACCAACCATTTTCGCATAAGGATCCACTGGAGACGGTGGTTGGGAGTTGGACGATCCAGGTGAGAACACCTGCGGGGAAGGCGGCTGGGAAGTCTGAGGATGGGAAGGGCTCTCCTGGAGGGGAACCCGGGAGGGCGTGGGGGGAGGAGGAGGAGGAGCCTGTGGCTTTACAAACACATCGTCTGCAGATGAGGAAGTTGGGGTGCTGGGGAGCTGCTTTGTAAACAGGTCTTTATGGAATGATTGTGCAGGAGACATGTTTCCAGGGCCTGGCTGGGTGGTCAGGGGGCTCTGTATCCCACTGCTCGGCGTGTCCGAGCGCGACAATGCCAGCAGAGGCTGGGAACCAAACTGCTGCTGTTGCTGCTGCTGCTGCTGCTGCTGCTCGCTCTTCACCTGCTCCAGCTTCTGGGTGGCCTCAATCTTCGCCTGCTGCTTACTCTTCTGGCGCATTTGCTATTGGGTGGGGACAGAGAAAGCAATCATGTGGATAGGAAAGAACATAGCTGTCATGGGGGGAGAGGCTGTTGCCTTTCTCCTGAAATTAACTCTTAGTTCTGTTGAGAGTGAAAGTGTCTGAGATCTGCAGTGCCAGGTGGCGCCCACCTTGCATTCAGTCTCCGAACAGGACACATTACTCACCAGTCTCCTAACTCATGCCCAGGCAGCATGGCATTCTCAACAGCTCATGAACTTCCCAAAGCAGCTTACATACATTTTATTGAGAAAGGAAAGTCTACTTTTAACCAAACTTTTGTGTTCTAATAAAAACTATGTTCTGAGGTAATGGCTCTCTTTAAGCAATTATGCAATTTTGTTTGTTGATTTGTTTTTAAATGCATTTTGAAAAAATCCACATACCTGTCTAAATTTCCATTCCTGTTCATGTTCCGATTCTCTCTGCTTTAACGGATCTTTAAAGAGATCTGAGTCAAGCCGAGAGCTGGGGTCGCTGCAGTCTGGCTGCTGCTGCCTCTTCAGGGAATCATTTGACATCTGCACTTTATTGATGCGCAATGCAGCTCGGTTGTCTCTAGCTTTTTGCTTTGAAAAACGGATCAGAAAATCATCTGTCAGTTAATGTGAACAAATTTTAAGACATAAAGATAAAATGAAACTATGTTGATCTTTATCATATAAAAACAAGAAAACGTCTAGCTAAATAGCTGAAACAGCCTCGCCAGTTTTCTCAGTGGTTAGGACATGGGCCCACAGACTTGAAGGGCCAAGGGCATATCCCTCGGCTGCAGGCTCAATCCCAGCCCGTCGGGGTGGTTGCGGGAGGCAACCAGTCAATGTGTCTCTCTCACATTGATGTTTCTCTCTGTCCCCTTCCCTTCAACTCTCTAAAAATCAACGGGAAAAATATCCTCGAGTGAGAATTAACAACAAATAACCTACCTAATTAACTAACTAAATAGCTGAAACGTAACTCTTTAGAATTTACAGCATTCTGGGTGAAAGGACTGGACACCACCCACCTTCTCCTTTCCAGAATGGGTGTCACCATCCCTACCCTGAGTCAGGCTAGAGAACTCGGGCGTAATCTAGTATTGACTTAATAATGGAAGAATTTATATCTTGCTCAATTTAAAGAAAAGGAAAATATCAAATCTATCTCCAAATTTAAAATCTGGAATTTGAAGTTGAACACAAAAGAAAACCCATCTTGCCAAAACCGGTTTGGCTCAATGGATAGAGCATCAGCCTGTGGACTGAAAGGTCCCAGATTCGATTCCCATCAAGGGCATGAACCTGGGTTGCAGGCACATCCCCAGTGGGAGATGTACAAGAGGCAGCTGATCAATGATTCTCTCTCATCTATGTTTCTAACTCTCTATCCCTCTCCTTTCCTCTCTGTAAAAAAATCAATAAAATATATATTTTTAAAAAAAGAAAGAAAGAAAGAACATTTCAATGTTATCACTACCTCTGATAGTCCAAGTTTAGGCATTACCAACAAATCAAAAATAATTTCTGCCCAGCCGGGGTGGCTCAGTGGTTGAGCATTGACCTATGAACTAGTAGGTTATGGTTAGATTCCCAATCAGGGCACATGCCCAGGTTGTGGGCTCGATCCCCAGTGTGGGGCATGCAGGAGGTAGCCAATCAATGAATCTCTCTCATTATTGATATTTCTCTCTCTCTACCTTCCTCTCTGAATCAATAAAAATATGTATTTAAAAACAATAATAATTTCTGCTCCTTCCAAATAATCATTATCATTGACAATGTATGTGTTAAAGATGAAATAGGAAATTAACTGCTTATATTTTTCAAAGCAATAATGTCGACTTAATATGCTTTAAAATGAAAGCAGGGATCCAGCTGACAATCTCAATTTGGCTCCTTGGGAAATAATTCGTCATCTGAACTATGAATCTTATAAATACCCTAATGGCTCTGGCAAAGCACATGTTTCAAAAGCTCCCAGAAGGTGTCTGGATATATCCCTTCAAGTTCCAGGACAATTTTCTATTGAACCTAACAAAAAAGAGCTTATTACAAAAGAAACGATAGAAGAATGCAACCTTAAAATTTAGTCCTCTTTTGAAAAGATAAATCATGTTTAATTTAAAAATGAATTGAATACACTCCTAAAACAACTAAATTCAATCTTCAACATCTTGGTGCTGTTAGGTTGCTTCTAAAAATGTCACACTTTAAAAAAAGGAAAATAAATAAGTCACACGCAAAACTAAAGAGTTAGAAAATCCCTATGGAAAACAAAGCTATTTATGTGTCGCACAAGTATAAATATGTTTTCTGCAATGGAAAATCACTTTAACAACCTAAGACAATGAAAATTAGGCTCGGGATTATGTCCAAAGATGTAATGCAGAGGAGTTTAATACCACGTATGGTGCTCTTTCCTGGGAGCTTGCTTTTCTCCACAGCTTAGCAATCTGCTTCACTCTGGTAGTCCAGTCTGCAACAGAAGACAGCAGGTGTGTTTATGGAGCCCACAATAAGGACATGTCACAATAAAAAAGCTAAGAACTTCTGACAGTTGGCCAGATTTTCATAATTTAAGTTCTTTGTACAGTACAAGTTCATAGCACATAGTAAGCTAACAACATACTTTCTGAATAAAGTGTTGCCTTATTAACAATCTCCCATGTAGAGTTGGGAAGTATTTAAATCAAAAGGACTACGCAGCTAAGTTAAATTTAAGTCAAGTATTAGAAACTCCCTCAATCCTGTAAGATGCTCTAAGAACCAAAGCTAAAAGTTTTGTAAAAATACCTGTACTCAAGAGAAAGCTATCAATTTGACTAAAAGGAATATATTAGAAACGAGCATCTCAACATTTGTGCACAACAAAGAAATGCAAAGTCATGATTTCAAGCTATTTCTATGAAATTCATTGTCAGGACAGTATACTATAGTATAAAGTGAAGTTTAGGTAAGATGAACAGTTAATGGTTCATGTAGAAACAATTTATTTAAAAAAAATGAAGAAAAGAGGGAGGGAGGGGAAAAGGGAGTAAGGGAGAGAGGGAAGGAAAATGTTTCAAAAAAGGTGCTGAAAGTAAATGGAAGTCAGCTGACAGATCAGCAGCTTTAACCTGATTTATTATGTGTATTTAAATAAACGCCACCTTCTCTAACAGTAATCCAACAGTTTCAGTGTAGGGATGTCTGTTAACGCAATGCATATATTCTTCATGTGCATCTAACCACACTTTATCGGCTGCCTACAGATGAGCACATCTGGTTACAGCAAGTCATTTTGTGTTGGTGTAAACTGTCCTGAGAGCAGAGCCATAGTTTGTTTAATTTTCTTTCATGATTTCACTGTGTGACTCTAGAACTATTGGATTACTGTTAGGGAAGGGGGCGTTTATTCCTATACACATAATAAGTCAAGTACCGCAAGGAGGATGGACTGAAAGGGCACCTGCACAGACCGTGTCATCCATTAGCAAGTGCACTTGCAGGTGGGCAGCCACTCGGTCAACTAACAGAGCAGTGTGCTAACAGCCGGGAAGCTACTGCAAGACAATGTACGCAAGACCTTTCCAATTCTGGTTTGTCCGACAACATGAACGCAAGACAATATTCTACAAGTTGGTTTCATTAATCCAAATGACTCATCCTCTAGTCCAGTGGTTCTCAACCTTTCTAACGCCGTGACCCTTTAATACAGTTCCTCATGTTGTGGTGACCCCCAACCATAAAATTATTTTCATTGCTACTTCATAACTGTAGTTTTGCTACTGTTAGGAGTCGTAATGTAAATATCTGTGTTTTCCAATGGTCTTAGGCGACATTGCTAGCGGTTCTCAACCTGTGGGTAGAGCCTAAGACCATTGGAAAACACAGATATTTACATTATGATTCATAACAGTAGCGAAATTAGTTATGAAGTAGTAATGAAAATAATTTTATGGTTGGGGGTCACCACAACATGAGGAACTGTATTAAAGGGTCGCGGCATTAGAAAGGTTGAGAACCACTGCTCTAGTCCATAAGAATTTCCAAAAGAGGTACCACTGTATGGTCTGCAATTTTTGTTCAAACAGACAGGGCACTTGGGGAAAGGTGTCCTGTCTGTTTGAATGCTGAGTTCATTTGATGGGAACCATACTTAGAATGGAGTCTGATACAGCCTAACTTTAACACTTACTTTTTTTTTTTTTTTTTTTTTTTTTAAGAGAGAGAGAAAGGGAAAGTAAAATAAAGATAGAAATATCAATGATGAGAAAATCACTGATCAGCTACCTCCTGCACTGGTGATCAAGTACAAAACCAGAGCATGTGCCCTGACCGGGAATCAAACCACAGCCTCCTGGTTCATGGGTGGATGCTCAACCATTTAACACTTCTGATTAAATTTTGATATTCTGCTCCAGAAAAATTTTTGTATAGTTACACATACAACACAATCCTGACTTTATATATTTATAGTCTTTAAGAAAGGAAAAACAGATTTCATTCATTAAAATTAGCGTACGGGAAATATGCAAATGGCACAGGGCCTAGGACTCAGAAAATGCAAGATGTTTCCACCTATCTAGGAACTAGGACTATCAGGTTGAGCATAGTCATACTAGATGAAAATCAGTGATGACACATGGGCACTCTACTGTAGTAAAAAAAAAAAAAAAAAACACAGACAAAACATAGATTGTTTTACACATGCAGAAGCTGGTAACATAGACAGCAATCATATATCCAAGACATACCAGGGAACTCGTCCTTCAGGTTGGGGAAGTTAATGTTTGTGTAGAGAACGGGTGCAACGGTGGCCATCTCCCCCAGAGCCTCCTCCTTCTCCCACTTGAGTGTGCTTCTCTGCGCATTGGACATCGTATCGCTCTCCCCTTCCACAGGGGGAGCCGAGGAGGCCCAAGAGCTGTGAGCGTCACTGGCCATTGGATTAAATGCTGGGTTCTTATCCCTGGCAAATAATATACAATGTTACTTCATAAACATAACTAACTTTCGAGTATAATTTCATCAAGACTTATTATAAAATAGCTTAAATGATAGATCACAATACACGTAACAAAGATTAATATCATGCACAATAACAGACTAACATTCATAAGACAAAAATTATTGACATTTCCACAGGAAGTGAAGGCTTGTAAATAAATACCTGGCCTCGGTGTACGGGGATTGTGCTATGGCAGAGAACGCTCCCAGTCCACTTCCAGGAGGCAGAGAGTTGTGTGGGAGATGAGGACCAGGCCCGATAAGGCCATTCATGAGTGGCATCCGTGAAAAAACATCTTAAAGGAAAAATAATAATTCAGTCTGCATATTATTCATAAATAATATAAAAGTAACAGAAATATTTCTAGATAAAAACTTATATTGCTATTTAATAATGAAGTTGGATATGGGTAATTTTTTCAGAATTATCCTGCAAAATATTGTTTAAAGAATAATTGGTCATAAATGTTTTAAAATGTGGTCTCTACAGACCCGGAGCAGCTGGTTGTGGAATGAACCAGAGCAACAGAGGCCAGGCCCTGAGCAACCAGGCCCAGAACAGCTCGCTCCTTGCCTGCCCCTGCCCCACGGCTGCTTCTCAGACATGGCTGGAAACTTTCGTGGGAACTTGAGGGTCTGCTGAATCAAGTGATAAAGGCTTAGATCTGGATGTGTTGAGTTAGTTTAGGACTGGGGTGTTGATCTGTGAGTGCCTTGGGTGGGGCCTGCATGAGGCTGGTGGACCTATTGGCAAATGTCTTTTGTGTGAAGTGTATCATTGGGCATGTGGAGGTATTATTGATTTGAGAAAATGCTAAGTAACTGATTTACTATCTGAAAAGGGATTTACTATTGGGGAAATTGAGGGAAGAAGAGACTGAACATAAACTGCACCTATGGATGAGGACAATGGGGGATGGGGAGGGGACAGAGGGTGGGGTGGGAACCTGGTGGAGGGGGGAAGAAATGAGGAACCTTTGTAATAATATGAACAATAAAGATTGATTTAAAAAATAAATAAATAAATAAATAAATAAAAAATAAAAAAATATATTAAAAATAAAATAAAAAAATAAAATGTGGTCTCTAAAATTCTGTTTACTTGGTTATAATTTACTGGAAATAGTACATGTTTTGGAGTTAGAAGCAGAATTAATCGCTGTTTTTGTAAATGTAGGTATTCTGTGATTGACACAATGAATGGCATTCTTAGCACTGATGCACAGTGACTGCTCAGTACATATCAACGCTACAAAAAGAACAAATCTAGGAAGTTTTATCAGATGATCTTCCCCTTCTTTATTCAAAATTTACAAATAGAGATTCTTCTAATTTATTTATTCCCATTAATACAAAAAAACCCATCTATGATTCTTAAATTGGCAATTTCTCTGAAACAGTTTCAAACAGGCAGTATTTATTTCATCTCTCATCATCGATTAGATCATTACTGCTAAACATATATTCATTCTGGTTTTGGCCTAATTTTCATTACTTGTGTTTTCAGCTCTCAAATGCATTCCTCAGTTGGGGTTGGAGAGGCCGATCAGGGGCTGATAGATAGTAGGCAAACCTTGTTTCCTCTATAACTCTCCTCAGCATGTTGCTCAAACCTTACTGTGATCACTGTCTTTTTCTAAGCAGTTTTCTAGCAAAAAAACAAAACAAAACAAACAAAAAACCATCCCAATTCAGTCACACTCTGAAGTAGCAACGACATGACCTCTGTTGTCACAGCACTCAGAACACCCTGGGAGGTCCTCACTCACGTCACAGTCAGTTCCACAACTAGAATATGGTCCCCTGTGAGCTTGGCACACTCGGTGTAATGGCAAAGACCCCAACCTGGTGACTTGGCCATCAGGTTAAAAGAAAAAATGGCCCAGCGCGGTGTCTTGTTGTGTGACGTGCTTCACCTAAACTACGTCTGAAGCACAGAGTCCCGTTCCTGCCTGAGGATTCTGAGGCTGATCGCTGGCAGGTTTAGGATTTTGTCTCAAGGACTTTTTGGTTAGGGTTTATCCCACTGAACTGCACAGCAGGGTCCACCGATCAGGCCCCCACAAAGACAGGGTCTGGAGAGACTAAGTTCAGGCCAAGATTAGTTTAAAGAATGAGATTTAATTCAAAGCAGAATGCTAACTTTTTCTTTACTTTTAAAAAAAATCCTCACCCGAGGGTATTTTTCCACTAATTTTTAGGAAGAGAGAGGGAACGATAAAGAGAAACATCGACATGAGAGAGACACGTCAACTGGTTGCCTCCTGCATGTGCCCCGACCAGGGCCTGCAATGGAGGTATGTGGCCTTGACAGGAATCGAACCTGGGACTCATTCACTGAGCTAAATTGGCTAGGGCCAACTCCTTTCAACTTCAGCAAAAAGTAAGCTCCATTATGTAATTAGGATTAAAAAAAAAAAAAAGGCATTATTAGAAATGAGAATGTGATCCATCCCCTAGCTATCTGTTAGCATGGACAAGGGGAACCACACCAAGCACAGGAAACCTTTTGCGATAACAGCAGCCATATAGATATATAAAGCTAGCGACCAGAACCTTAACAACTACAATGACCGGTCACTATAACACCCACTGCAGCCAGTGAACTGGCCAGATCAGGGGTTGGGGCCAGCCAGCTAGCCTCCCGCATCCCCCCCAGCTGTTCCAGCCGATGGGCCTCTCCCACCGGGACTGAGGGTGGGGGATCTGCCAATCATCCTGCCGTGGCCCTTTCCCCACTCCCAATTGGCCCACCGGGCCCCACCACCACCACCACCACGGCTGGCCCCAACCAATTGTCCCCACCTACCTCAACAGAGGGTGGGGCCAGCTGGCCAACCTTCTGTAGTCCCTCACCCCTGATGGGCCCCCACCACCCTAATCGGCTGGCAGTCCCTTCCCCCAGTCAGCTCTGCCCCCAATCAGCCTCCCCACTCCAATAAAGGGCAGGGCCAGCTGACCAATCATCCATGGCCCAACCACCAGGCCACTGGCCCCCCAGTTGGCCCCCATCCCATCGGGGCTGGCCCCCATCCCCAGTCAGCAACCACCACCCTGATCGTCCGAAGGCCCCTCCCCCCAGCCAGCTCCAATTCCTATTGCCCACACACACACACACACACACACACACACCAATCTGGGTAAAGCTGTCCAGCCCACTGCCCAAAGCCCTTCCCCACAGCTAGCCCTGCCCTCAATCAGCCCCTCCACCCCAATTGGGGGCAGGCCCTCCAGCCAATCACCCTTGGCTCCTTCCCCCAGCTGGCCTGGTTCTGTTGGAGCCCAAGTAGGGGGAGGCAGGCCAACCAACCTCCTGAAGTCTCCTCTTCCCAACATGCCCAGCCCTGACCCGCCCCAATTGGGCCTGGTTTGGCCAGACCCCACCTGTGCATGAATTTATGCACTGGGCCTCTAGTTACTCAGGAAGCGCACTGCTCCATAATTGGCACTGTCCTTCAAGCTTCTTGTGCAGCCACTACTGGTCCTCACAACCACCCCATGAAAGGGCTATTACACACAGCTCATTTAAGCAAGAAGACCCCTCCTCCAGAAGTTCCATTCACTTATTCAAGGGCACAACAGTCAATGCAAAGCATTTTTATTCTAATTAAGAAGTGGTCTCCTCAACCACCCTTAAGTCTACCATACCACCCAACCAGTCACATTAGTGTACAAAAGTAATCTTTTCTCAAGATGTGAATGGTGAGAACTGATGAACTGCTTAACTTTCACCTAAAGTGATTTTAACCTACACTCTCAAATCTTGAAATGCCCTTCCTTTGCCAACCCATGAAATATCTTTCCATCATTTGATGTCTCAATCTGGTTTGTTTTTTCACCTTCTCCTAACCCTTAAAAAGAAGAAACATACAACTGCACATCTAATAAAATTTGGGTGAGTTAAGCATGTAACTCACTACATTTAAATTTTTTTAAAGTTCAAGATTCTGTACTCTACTGGCAATGCTGTACTAAGTTCTGTTAAAGAATTATCTTTTCTTCCCACAACTTCAATTCTGCCTTTCAATTAGCATTGCAGACTGATCTACATGAAACACAAGTTTTCACTCAGCCCCAACCCTAATAAACTCATCAGCACAACTCTCCTTTGCCTCAAATTCAGTTCCCATATTCATGAGCGCTACACTGCCAAACTTGTGAGGTCATTTCACAGCTGTGCAGTCTGCAGTGGCTCAGAGTCATGGGGAGCCCACTACCTGTCCTCACCATTTCTCACAGCTGCCTACAAGCTCTCTACCTCCAAGGTTTTTTCCAGCCCTGCATCCTTAAATACCACCCACTAACCTCTCCTCCCTGCGCTGTTAGTTGTTGCCTCAAGTCTAGACATTAGGGTTGTAAAGTCTAGGGAGGGAAGGACAGCCTTACTCATCTTGTATTCCACACAAACATCCCTACAAAAAAGTCACCTCCTCAAAACTTCCAAATGAGGCTGCAGAGTGAACTGATTTAAATGATTTAAAAACCTTTTATAAGAAACACATCTTTAACTGATCTGATTTCTAAAGTACATACTTTCAGTTTCAGAACACAGAGCTAGATCTTTTTCATATGTTGGAAAGAGAAATACTGAAGAGTTGTTACTGTAAACACTAGGAATGCATAGGGGGCAATTAAGGTAAGAAGCACCTTCAATGAGTGTTTTATACATATGTGCACAAGTTTTGCCCAGCAAAAAAATCAAGGTCCAGTTATATAGAAGCTAAACTGGAAGAAACTGAGATATTTTAATTATTATGCATTATAGAATTTTTAGTGCATACACAAAATTGACGGTAAAGATAACATTCAACCATTTGTACATTTCGGTAAATATAAAACAGTGTAACATCTTTTTATGAAGTATCATTATATTATTCAACTCAGCATGTAATGACAAGGCAATGGTAATAAACGGGATGAAGAAAAATGACCTGCGCTCCCAACTCCTTTCTGAAGGGGATTCCGTATCTGCACCTCTCTCCTATCCACACCTGCATCCCCTCCTTCTAGGCTATCCAATTTCAGCTTCCAGAAAGGGAGAGATAAAAGCTTAAACTTACTGTATCTGGCAGCCAGTTATAAGGCAGTATAAAAAAACTGATCAAACAAAATAGGCCAATGTCCACAGAATTAATAATTTCATGGTTTCCTCAAACACATGTGCTGAGCACACACTCTGTGGCAGGGTACACAGTGATGACGACAGTTATGACCTCCGGGAGCTCACAACTGAGAGAGAAAACCATAATACCCATGGGTCCGTGTGCGGGCAGCACTACTAAAAACGGAAAGCACGGTGGCAGGGGTAGAGATAACAGTGAAACTTAGACCAGATCAATGAACACGAGGCAGCCAGGTGAGAGGAAATAGTTCTCCCAACATGGATGCAAGGTCTGAGAGAAGGTGGGCTAAGACGTGGGGAGGGGAGAGGGAGACACTGTCACATTGTCCTCATGCCAACAGAGTGAGCAAAGAACTCTGGTCATAAAGCAGATCATGAATTTCCAGAGTGTCAGTGAAGTGGATGTGTGACAGATAAATTCAGAGATTAGTCTTTTCCACTGTCACAGTTTGCAGATGTTGTTACTAAGGGACAGGGTCTATTTTAGTGAACCCACGCGCTCACGCACAGAGAACCACGCTTTTTGGGGTGACATACCTTGATTGTGTAGGGGTATCAGCTGTGGTGCAGGGGGAGGGGGAGGCTGTGGTAATGGAGTTGGCTGAGGAGTCACAGGACTGAGCACAGCAGTAAACAAGTCTTCAACATCCTTTCCTCCTAGCTCTAGAAAATACAATTATAAAAACATGATTAAAAGTCTATGAAAGCCATATAGGGATTGCCACTTTTGGAAACTAAAAAATATGAACACAATTACCTGGAATTTTATATAACTTTCCAAGAATTGCTCCTAGGATAGATTAAATAAAAATATTAATAATTACCATTTTAATATACTGATACAAAATAACATTTCATAGAAATCTTCAAAATAGAAGTTAAAATTATAAATAAGCATGCAGAAATCTTTGAAAATCATATTTACTCATGTCTTTTAGAAAGCCTAGCTGTAGGGCAAATATTTTACCATCTGTGACCATTTTGTCTAGTTCAGGACTAAGGATTCCATCCAGCTGCTCCTCACTTAAAGGTCGTGAACTCTGATTGACACTTGGCTGAGACACAGAGGAAGGGTCATCGGCGACAGGGCCAATATCTATTCCGGCTGGAGGAACAAGGCAAAGAAATTAAAAAGTGAATTCTGAATACATACACAAAATGCATTTCACTATTTACCTGCATGAATACACAACAGTATGATTAAAACTGAGCAATGAAAAGCCTGAAATTCTGAGTTAATCAAGATTCTTATATCAATCTAGATAGTCAAAATTAATAAAAATTAGGCACAATGTATTTGTAAACTGGTGCCCACTTTAATCAAAATATATATATTTCCTGATTAATAAAAGAACACTTCTACTTCTGGTTATAAAGTGCTAATTTCTACAGGAAATAAGATAGGAGTCTAAGAGAATATTCTATATACAATATCCACTACACAAATAACAGCTTTACCTTGAAAATGGTAGCTCCTAATGCATAGTTTTACTATCAGATGCAGCATGTGAAACAGGAGGAATACGTTTCACACAAATTAATGAGAAGCTCTAAAATTCTTATTCAGTGTTTAGTAAACACTACCCTCGTGAATTTCAGCTGTAGATCATAATTTTGAAACATTCTTGGGTCAAAATACAAAATATAGATTGTGTTTATTACAACATGTTCTTTTCTCATAAAAACTGGTATTTAAAGCAATATCCACATTTAAAAGTAGTCTATCATCTAATTTCTTTACCATGCTTTCTCAATATTACTATTTCATAAAGTAAAACTTAGTCTACTCTTATTTTATATTAAAAATTCTATAACATTTCGGTAAAATTATAAATTATATAGTAACAAAAATAAAACCATTCATTAAAAAAAATTACTGAGAAAGTCACCCAAAGCACAGTACAGCTGTACCATGCTTTAGCTGCACACATAAAGGGGAAAGCAAAGATGGATTAGTGACAGATTAGCACTATCACAAATTCGCATGCACCTACAGGCCATGGCAGCGGAAATCACTATAAAAAAGACTACTCTAGTCAGTCGTCATCCACTGCTCAGGTTCTTACCAAATGGAAAAGGTGAGTTGTCAACCTGGAAAGTGCATAAATCAAGACCTACAAGACCCAAACCAAATAAAATGGATGATTATCATAGGAACAGAGGCAAGGGACAACACAAACAAAAGAGCAAGACACAGGAGCTTTGAATGCCATAGCCTTCAATGTGATGCCATTAGAAAGACACAAGAAATTAACTAACTTGCTGTTTCCCATCCTAAAGCAGGAAAGCCAAGGTAGATCAAATTATAAGATTGGGTTCTTTGATAATGACTCAACAAAAAGTTTTTTAAGTTTTAGAGAAAAGACTAAACTTGTTCCACACACATGCAGCCTCTCTCGCATGCTCTAAAACAGACATTGGGCAAACAACAGTCAACATACCTGAATGATCAACTGATTTTGCAAGGTCATCTGAAATTATTCCAAGAATGTCATCCTCTGTGTTTAGGACTTCGGATATATCAGCTAAGGTGTCATCAGCAGTACCTAAATAAAGGAAGTGTATTTTTAATGTCTTGACATTTTCCCAGACATTAAATTATAAAACACCCTGCTTCAGCCAACCATCTACTACATATCCCAAGTACAGCAGATGCTGAGTAAGTGGGAGGATCATAAAACATAAAGATTGTTACTTCTTTTTAAAAAAATATATATTTTATTGATTTTTCACAGAGAGGAAGAGAGAGGGATAGAAAGTTAGAAACATCAATCAGCTGCCTCCTGCACAACCCTTACTGTGGATGTGCCCGCAACCAAGGTACAAGCCCTTGACCAGAATCGATCCTGGGACCTTTCAGTCCGCAGGTCGATGCTCTATCCACTGAGCCAAACCGGTTTCAGCAAGATCATTACTTCTAAAATAAAAGATATTTTTCATAGAAAAGGTACTCCAATGTTTTGAATAACAAAATATTAAAGATTAGGACCATTTTTATTTTGTGGCTAACTTAAAATTAACAATGAAACAAAGATCTATAGGCAATAAAAGTGAAATAAAATATTACAAGAAACAAAGCAAAAAAAAAAATCACTAAGAAAGTGACATCTCTAAAAATGACATCTGGAAAATAAAACATAGAAGATAAATAAAATATGAAAGGCAAACCCATTATTTAGAAATTCCCCGTGTAAGCCAGAAACCATCTGGATCCAGTCTATCCCCCGCCCTCACCTAACATTGATAATTCATTCCCTTCTTTATTCATTGAGTACCACAGAACTGAGGTGTGGACTGTGTTAACAGACATGTTCTAGCCACCAGGAATATAGAATTGTCTAAAACCAAGTACATTCCCTCACAGAGCTTACTTTCTCTGAGGAAGGGAGACAATAAATTACATCAGTATAAGCGCCATACACACTTTAAAAATAAGGAGACAGGATTAAGACATAGATGTGGCGATGCTGTATTAAATTAACGGATCAGTAAAGACCTTTTAAAGGACATGATCACACCTGTTCAAATGTGTGTAAATGAAAAAATGGACAACAGAATGAAAGTCAAGGTAAAATAATCTGCTAAAATCAACGAACAAAAGCATGGCCTTCAGTACACCAGTGGGAGAGAGGGGCATGTACATGCATACAGAGGGGCTAAGATGCTTCTATAATTCAGTCAAGAAAAGTTACAACCAAAATACAAAAGCCTGCATTTTGATGCAGGATAATGCCAAGTTAATAAAGCTGTTATGATTTAATGTATCAAGTAGTCTTTCAGTGGAAAACCGCCTAAAGAGTATTTTCCAAATGGAGTTTATAACACTAACTGAGCAATAAATGTAATCAATGGCTTGTCAGAAGAACATTAATTTATAATTGCTAATAAATCTGGCGGGGGGGGGGTACCTCTGAGCAACATGACATCATAAAACAGAGATGTTGGCAAGTAATCCCCACTTCACAGAACCACCTCCCTTCTCCACCAAAGCATTTATTTGGCTCAAGCTGTCAGCAGGGAGAACCTTATCTAAGGATATGGATTTCACTGGGCTGTGTAAGTATCAAAAAATCTATCTTAAATAGATTATTATATTTATAACTTGTGGCCAAATTATACCACCTTACATTTACCCACAAAGAAGTATAAACCTAACATTTTCCTTTTCAATTTCTTGATTTTGGTGGTAGTCACACAGATAAATTTATTTGCCAAATATACATCTGCTCTCTTAAAAAACAGAATTACTAAATATGTCACACCTCAAAAAAGATGATTTAAAAACTGTATATAAGGCCAAACCAAAGCATTTCAGAGGTTTAATTAAAAGGAAGATAATGTCGCATGAAAAAATTTCCACGTACCATGAGTTCCAGGTTTTGCTGGAGTTGAGGATGAACTAAGTAGTGGGTCTAAGGAAGGATCCAAGAAATGTGTGTTCACGTTCGCTTTACATGAAAGCTGAGCGGTGTCTTCTGTTAGATTATCTAAATTTAGCTTGTTTTGTCTACTTGTATCTAGAAGATCTTTTCCAAAGAAAGCTTCCTAGATAAAATAAAGTGCATATGAAAATGACTGACTTAGTTATAAAATTCTAACATGACAATGGATAATTCCGTTACCCTTTTGGACAAGAGGACAGAAATAACAGACAAGCTTGGTATTTAACAACATAAAATTGAATACATTAATATATAAATGACATAGAAATATCCTGTTAATTCCTTTATATAGATTTCCCTTTTAAAAGTACAATTTTCTGTAGCTTAGAAACAAATGAAATTATGCAAACAACAGCACACAATTCTGTCCAATGTGTTTAATCATACAATAATTCCAGATTTAGGTTATAATTAAATTTAATGATTTTAAAAAAATATATATTTTATTGATATTTTACAGAGAGGAAGGGAGAGAGATAGAGAGCTAGGAACGTCGATGAGAGAGAAACATCGACCAGCTACCTCTTGCACACCCCCCACTGGGGATGTGCCCACAACCAATGTACATGCCCTTGACCAGAATTGAACCTGGGACCTTTCAGTCCACAGACCGATGCTCTACCAATGAGCCAAACCGGTTTCGGCTAAATTTAAAGACTGATAAATTTAAAATACTATTGGCGCCGAGACTGGTTTGGCTCAATGGATAGAGCGTCGGCTTGGGGACTGAAGGGTCTCGGGTTCGATTCCGGTCAAGGGCATGTACCTTGGTTGCGGGCATATCCCCAGTAGGGGGTGTGCAAGAGGCAGCTGATCGATGACTCTCTCTCACTGATGTTTCTAACTCTCTCTCTCTCTCTCTCTCTCTCTCTCTCTCTCTCTCTCTCTCTCCCTTCCTCTCTATATAAAATCAATAAAATATATATTTTTTAAAATAAAATAAAAAATAAATTAATTAATTAATAAATTAAAAAAATACTATTGGCATCTACTTAGTATAAGAGAAACTCAAGCTTCATGATTATTATTTAGAGGTTACATGCAGAGGATAGCAAAGGGTCTGATCTACACTGTTAAAACATGCAAACTTCAGATTAATAACCTCATGCTGATTCATGAACACATTAAAGACTGAATACATTATAAATCTGAAAGGGGGGTTGTAGCCATTCTAATCTTTCTATGTGCACAAAATTTATTTCTCTTAAAAGGCTTTTGGCTTTTTCTTTACTCATCTGACACTTCTCCATTTTGATATATGCCCTCTACTCTAAAAGGCCAAGCTTTCATACTATGTTCTTTACAGCGCAGTATAGCTACAAAACTTCTGAAGGACCATATTAAAAAAAAAAAAAAAAAACTTCTGAAGGACCAATCAAAAGGACAAAAAGAAACACTTAGGAGCCCCTTCCAGCATCATCCCCTCTACACACACACTTTTCCTTACTCTAACCCAGCAAGTCTGCAGTTGCCTATTTTCTACAATGTGGTCTACCTGGAAAGGGACCTGTCTGTACAGGACACTTGTGCAGTACTTGTCAACATGTAACACATTCTTGCTAAAGATGCACACACACAAAAAGGTTCACTGCAGCATTTTAATACCAAAAAAGTGAAAGCTGCCTGATGTCTGTCAAAAGGCACATGACTAAATAAATTACAGACACCACACAATACAATTGTTGAAAAGGACAGAGCCATGCCGTCAAAGAAAAGCTCTAAAATATAATATTAAAAGAAAGCACGTTGAGTGATATGTCCAGCTAATCATAAAATACAAATCAAGACTATTAGGACTGTGTAAAAATAAACTATAAAAGAAGTTATGACCAAACAAACACCAGAGTATAACAAGGCTAAGTGGACGGAAAAGGGAATTTGGGGGAGGGATGAATGGGTGAAGTATGGTAGAGGTAATAATATATTTGATTCAAATTTCTGCACATTTTTTAAATGAACATGTTGTTTCGTTATGAAAAAAAAATTGAAAATCCATAAAGCTAGGTCACTGGCTTTGTTTCTCACACCAAAATTGTTTTTATCAGTAGGAAAAATGCTGAGTGGCAGAAAGCACCGTAGAGTTTTAGAGTTAATTTATTTAATGACTTTACTATAAATTTGAGGAATCTGAGACCGTAATTGGCAAAATTTTTTCTTTAAGTGACTCAAGATGACATGGATCTTCTCCAGGTCACATGGCACCACAGCTACTTAGTAGCCTGCATAAATATTTCTATCGAATAGATTATACAATCATGTATATTTTATTGTGGCACTGTTGTAAATAAAATTAAATTGGCTCAGCCGGTGTGGCTCAGTTGTTGAGTGTCAACTGATGGACCAGAAGGTCACAGTTTGATTCCCGGTCAGGGCACAGGCTTAATTCCCAGTGTGGAGTGTGCAGGAGGCAGCCAATCAATGATTCTCTCTCATCACTGATGTTTCTCTCTCTCTCCCTTTCCCTTTGTCCCTGAAATAAAAAATTTAAAAAAATATTTAAAATTGGGGGGAAAATTGTTACTGAATTCCTAGTGGGTTTTTGTCACTATGTATTCTGTCCACCCACCTTGGATAAGGGGGAAATACAACTGCTATCACAGATGTTCAAGAAACAGCACCATTACAAAGGCTTCCTTCACTCCTTCACATACAAAAACCCCACAAAACAATTAGCTATTACTATGTGCACCGGATAAATACACTGGTCAACAGAGGAGACAGCCTAGCTCAGTAGATAAAGATCACAGTAGAAATCAGATCCCTTTGCTAATGTATGAAATAGTCAGTTTCCATACTTTCATAAACTGCTCAAGAAAGCTTCCTAAGATTACACTGCACAGAGGAGGAGCAGAAGAGGAGAGGAGGAGATGGAGCAGGGGTGGGAGCCAGAAGAAGAGGGGGAGGAAGAAGAGGAGGAGCAGCAGTAGCATGAAGAGGACTTTACATACTTAATTTTTATTTAATCTCTCATTTCTGTGTTGTATGAACACAATTTTACAGATGAGACTACTGGGCACACAGATGTGACACAGAACAAGATTACCTAGAACCAGTAGCAGTAGTGTTAAAACCCCAGACTCCCAAAGGCTCAGCTATTTAAAATGGACACAGCCCTGAAGATGTTAGTTGTTTAACAAAAATTGACATTCGAAAATATTACTAAATACATAAGTGACTATGCTTAAAAGTCTTATTTATCAAATACAGGAGACTTTTCACTTAAATGATTATTTTATTTTTGTGCTTCTTATACACGAGGAAGAATGAACAGGCTTAGGAATGGGAAATCAGCTCGTGGCCAAGCCAGATGGTCAATCTCAGTCCTACTCCTCCAATCTAGGGCTCTTTCCCACGCAGCAAATGGCCCTGGACTCTCTGGTACTTTGTGCTTACAAAACAGTACTTTCCCCATAGTCTACATCTATCAAACATCACTTCTTTCCATTGTTGGATATTTTTCTGATGTATATTTTAAAACACAATAACAATTCTGTTTAAATCTTTGGTTCACTAAGCCTCTAGAAGCAATCAATGGTTATTAAAGCTATAACTAGGGAAAACCAAGATGAAGGCATAGGTAATCACCTATCCTTGCTGCCTCTCACAACAACATCAAAACCACAACAGAATGGCAGAACAACTGCCACCCAGAACCTCAGGAAAGCTGGCTGAGTGGAAGTTCCACAACTAGAGAGGTGAATGAAGAAAGCGCACCAAGTCAGATGGGTAAGAGGTGCGGAAAGTGCTGGCACCTGGATGTGCTGCTCTTTAAACTGGGAAGGAGATACAAGCTCCTGCTTGCTCTGATCTCCAGTTTGAGGTGAGACTCTGGGGGACCCAGGCACATATGAGGTGAAACTGGACTGTCTGGCATCGGGACAGGAACAAAAGGGCAGTTTACTCTTAGAGGTGCTCACAGTGCTCATTGTTCCTGCACGGAGGCACGGACACAGAGAACAGAGGACTTCTCAGGTTCAGGGCAGCCATTGCTGTTTTCTCTGCCCTGGTGATCCCAGAGACCCCTCACCCACCCAATCTACAACCCCACCCAAGCTATGTGCATCTGCTTTGGCATATGAATGGCCTGTACTTTCACCTAAAACAAACTACAGCTGGGTCAGAGAGCCCCAGGGATTCCAAAAGAAGGCCCACTGCCTGGCAGCAACAGCAGCCTGGCTTCATAGCCAGGCCTCATCTGGGCACTTCCAAACCCCATATGAAGGAGGAATCTGCAGATCTCTCTATAGTTCCTGCTGGGCTGCCCCAGACAGTGACTGAACTTGCACTTCCTTGGAGATCCAAGAGCCAGTGTACTCAGTGAGACCATACCAGATTATAACTCTTCACATCCATAAGAGACACACTCAAAAGGCAGACTCAGTGAGCACCAAAGCCCCATTGTCGCTAGTCCTGCTCCATAAGGGTGTCTCCTGTGCAACAGATCTTCCAGTGTAGACACAGCTGATCATCACAGCCAATTGGCCTGGGGGTCAATTCCTCCTAGTGATAACAATAGCCATCAAGTGTTAACTACAACAAGACTATACAAACAACCCACAAAGAGTTGTACCAAGAGTATCTACTTCAGGTGACTGGGGAGGTTGAGCCACTGGGCCCTATAAAACATCGACCACACAAGGCCACTCTATCAACACAAGGAGACTTTGCAGCTACTCAGTCCACATTAAAAATCACAGGGAAGCAGCCAAAATGGGAGACAAAGAAACAAGTCACAAATGAAAAAATGGATGAAAGCAAAATATTGGATATACAGTTCAAAATCAAGGTTATAAGGCTACTCAAGAATCTTCTAGAAACCTCCAAGAAATTTAATGAGACCTTCAAGGATATGAAAAAAGACCAACTAGAAATTAAACATACATTGACTGAAATAAAGAATAATATACAGAGATCCAACAGCAGACTAGAGGATCCCAAGAATCAAGTCAAAGATTTGAAATAAAAGAAGCAAACAACACCCAACTGGAAAAAGCAAAAAGAACCGAAAAATATGAAAATAGTATAGAGTCTCTGGGACAACTTCAAACATACCAACATCGAAATTATGGGGATGCCAGAAGAAGAGAGAGAGCAAGATATTGAAAACCTATTAGAATAAATAAGGACAGAAAACTTCCCCTACCTGGTGAAAGAAATAGACTTACAAGTCCAAGAAGCACACAGAACCCCAAACAAGAGGAATCTAAAGAGGATACACCAAGACACATCATAGTTAAAATGCCAAGGACAAAAGACAGAGAATATTAAAAACAGCAAGAGAAAAACAGTTACCCATATGACTGTCAGCTGATTTCTCAACAGAAACTATGCAGGCCAGAAAGGAGTGGCAAGAAATATACAAAGTGATGAATAGCAAGAACCTATAACCAAGATTACTCTAGTGATGAACATCAAGAACCTATAACCAAGATTATTCTATCCAGCAGAGCTATCATTTAGAATTGAAGGTCAGATAAAGAGCTTCACAGACAAGAAAAAACTAAAGTAGTTCATCACCATCAAACCAGTATTATATGAAATCCTGAAGGGTATTATTCTCTAAGAGGAAGAAAAAGGTAAAAATAAAAATTATGAACAGCAAAGTGACAACAAATACATATCTATCAACAAGTGAATCTAAAAAACAAGTGAATAAAAAAATCTGATAAACAGAATAAACTGGTGTATATAATAGAATCAGAGGTATAGAAAGGAAGTGGAGTGACAATTTTCGGGGGAAGGGGTTGTTGGGGTGTGGGAAGAGATTGAACAAAAATCTTACACCTATGGACAAAGACAGTTGAGGGGCGGGAGTAAGGGCATGGGGTGGGATTGAAATTGCGTGGAGGGAAGCTATGGGGGGAAAAGAGGAACAAATGTAATAATCTGAACAATAAAGATTTTTTTTAAAAGCTGTAACTGGCTGCTGAATGCTCATCTTCATTCAGGCAACATTATTACTGTCACTCAACAATGTTCAGCCATGTGCTGCAAGAAGTTTTAAAACATGCCACACCTGATTATTTAGACAGAGGTTCTGACCTCTTTTCCCTTAGACCAGTGTTTCCCAAACTTTTGACATATGTGTACCCCTTCTATAATTTTCGTAACCCCTCGTACTCATGAGAACGTAGAATTAGGCGAAGCTAAGCACGGTGCAGTGCAAATCCCCACCAACCTCTTCCCGTACCCCTGGGGGTATGTGTACCACACTTTGGGAAACACTGCCTTAGACTGTCAAATGACAACAGCGAACATAACAATAGCCATCCAGTGTGAATGAATCTAAATTATACTTGTCAGTTGGGAAAAAATGTATTTTTTGGTGTGTGGCAGAATCTTGGTAATTTGTTTATGTGTGCCATGCGATGAAAAAGGTGGACAATCACTGCTGTAACCTGTACTAGCAAAGGGAGATGTATGTCCACAGACCTGGGCGTGGGCAGCACATAGGTGTGGCTGCTTTGCAAGAATGAGCTTTTCTCAGACAAGTAAAAATTTTAACAAAACCAAACAACCTATATTTCAAAACTCAATACATTACATTTCTTTCAATAACAAACTATGTAATATAATGTGGAGCAAAATATTACTTGTAAATAGGCAGGGAAAGTTTCCTCGAGCTTGTTTTTCCTTTTCCGGTACCTCTTCTTTATTTTTTCAGTGTTCTCAGTAACAGAAACAGATTCATCAACAAGTGTATCTGGTAACTGCTCACTCCAACCTGAAAACAGGAGTCACATTAAAGAATGTGTGGTATTTAAAATTTCCAGACAGATCCACCCAAAGCAATTGTATAGCTTAACAATATACACAGCTCCGTTTAACAAATACACTTTTTCTTTTGAGGTATAATTTACATGCAACACTGTGTAAGTTTAAGGTGTACAACATAATGACCTGACAAGCCTTTCACAAGTGTATCTCAAAGCAAGTGTACCAATGTAAGTAAATTTTAAGCATCATAAAATCTCATTTCATGTCTATTTAGTATCAGCATGTTTCCTACTATCTCTTTTTTTAAATTATTATATATTTTATTGATTTTTCACAGAGAGAAAAAGAGAGGGATAGAGAGTTAGAAACGTCGATGAGAGAATCATCGATCAGCTGTCTCTTGCACACACCCCACTGGGGAATGTGCCAGCAACCAAGATACATGCCCTTGACCGGAATTGAACCCGGGACCTTTCAGTTCGCAGGCTGACAATCTATCCACTGAGCCAAACCAGTTTCGGCTCCTATTCTTAATGAGCATTTTCCTAGCAAAGCACAGCTTGTTTTTAGAATCTCAGCATTTTGTTAAAAAAAAAAAAAAAAAAAAAAAAAAAAAAAAGTTAAAATGAAAATGCCTGGTGCTCATGAGTATGGGGAAATGGCTACTAGTACACTACTAATTTAAGAAGTATAACCTTTGTGCATAGTTTACTGGGAATATCCAACTAAAGTCTTTTTAGAAATGTCTGTCCTTCAATCCAGCAACTTCAAGGGGTTTATTGCAAATTAGGTATTTGCATTACATACACATTGTGATAATATATGACTGTGAAATATACTAATCAATATGTGATGGTCAATCTTAACTCAGAAATGGGAATTAAACAAAATTTGTACTATGAAATTAGCCAAGAACAAGTATGCTACTTAGAGCAGGTGAGCTACTATGACAGCACCTCTGCTTCTTAGGGCAAATGCCACCTCCCTTCTGAAATCAACGTGGGCACTTTTGTTGTCAGATTACATAGGTAGAGTGACTCTTCCAAAAAAAGACTATAAACAGTGGATAGACACTTATTTTAAAAAATTTTAATGCACTAGTAACCTACCCAGAAAATGAATCCTCAAAGACCAAATATTGAGGTAAAACAAGAATCACAGAAATTAGCAAAAAATTAAATTCAACTCTCTGAAAATTTGTAAAAATCTACTGATCTTGAACTCTATCGTTTTCAGAGCCTTAGTAGGAATGGGGAATAGAAGACAAAGTTTAAGTCTTCTCCTCAAGGTGGAGATTAAGCAGGTGTCTTGTATGACAGTGGGACCCTAAAGGACTCCATGCTCAGGTTGGTTTAACAAAAATAAACCCCTCCCCACCTCCACCAACAGAAAAGAAAATTGCTTGTCATCTTGTCATAGAATATGGTGCTGGATAGAAAAGCAAAAAATAGAAACCTTCCCTGAGAACTCATAAAATCAATACAGCCCTAATGTGTAAGAAACTTGAATTTACACAACGTAGGTGAACCAACAAACACTTCGATCTAAGAACTTAGGTCAAAGAAGTCCTGGTGCGGTATGACCTCATGCTCCTGAATTGACAAATAAACAGTCTCTGAAAGAACCGACCTTCAAGTCAGTTCTCAGAAAGTTCAAAGAATATTACAAAGATGAACTCACAGTACGGTAAAATCAATATACATGCATGTGGGCCCATGTATCCCAATAATAAACACAGTGAATGAGGCACAGAGAGGAGCCAGCAGATGCAGAGTAGAACCAGACAGCTGATATTCTAAGCTAATTAGGTACACACAGAAATGAATGTTGGCTGACACTAAAATGAGCAACTACTGAAATGTCAAAAAGGCAGTTTAGAAAAGGATGAAAATGCTAATAAATTAAAACTCAATGGGTGATACAGGTGAAGGAATAGAATATTGAACTAAAGAATTAAAATTAGAAGAGAAAATAAAGAGACAGATCAAAAACACAAAAAATAGTTTCACTGATCATGTCACATTTCTTAAGTAGAACTAATTACAGTCATGCTGAGTCATATTAGAAACTTCTTTAAAATCAAGAACTCTGCGTGGAGCACATTGAGAACACAGTAATTTTTCTTCCCCTATCCTATGTAAAGCATTTAAAATATGTAAGCATACAAATCATAACCATCATGATTACAATGTCTTTATCAGAATCAGTTCTTATGCTATGACTTAAGCAATGATTCAGTTTTCTTTTACTCTAAGTGAAGATGACAGATTATTAATTGAAAGATGTATTTTTAAAACATAATTTTGTTAAAATTTGCTGGGTACACTATTATTTTCAACTGCATAGTCTAAAACTTTCCACTTTCACGCCAAGCAGCTAAGGCAGTCAGAGAAAGTCTCTGGTGCAAAGGCCTTAAAGAACCTGATACATAACTAAGTGATTCAGTCCCTACACTATCTATACTTAACACATGCAAGAAAGAAACTTATTTTTAAATCTCAAAGTAATAGTCTACTAGATTCAAATCATTTCCTTATCAAACCTAATTTCTGTATTAGTGGTATGAACTGGACAGGCGCTCAAACCCTTTGTTTGTAAGCAGCAGCAACACTAGCATTATTTAGCATAGGATAGCTCTTTCCAGGAGCAATGGCAACACAAACAAAATCCATACCTTCATCTCTGCTCGGTAACTGCTCAGAAATAGAGCCGGAGGAATCTTTCCTGATCACAGATCTTTTGGCTTTTCCTTGCCCGGTGCGACTTCTTTGCCGTACCATAAATCCACCGATACCTATCCCCAAAGAAATTGTATAACCTCATAAATAATTAATTTACCCCTATACATCCAGAGTAAACAGGGTGAAATTGCTTAATCTTACATAATGAAGCATTGTACAGATTCAACATGGGCTAATTTAAATCATTAATCTTATTTTAATGCAGAACTATAAAATTTTGGAAATAAGCAAATAAAAAGGTTAAAGCCTTATCACTAACAAACCAAACCAGGACATTCGAGAACAGCAAGACTACACATCTTTCCTCTTCTACACAATGCCAGAGTAAATATTCTTTATGTAAAACTCACATATTATCACTTACTAGTAAACAGTCTCTTAGCTGAGGAAGAAGATACTACACTAGATGATGCAAACAAAATCCAAATGATTTCAGGGGTACTGTGTCCAGTCACTCCTCAGTAAGACCCTTAGACACCAAGACACACACGGCTCTATAGGTAAAGGCATAGAATCTGGAGCCAGATTCTGAAATTCTAGTCACTACTTATTTAAACTTTTCAGACTGCTCCCTGGTAAAATGGTAATAATGTGCAGTACCTCCTCATACATATAAGGATGAAATAAATTAACAGATATAAAATGCTTGGAATAGTGCCCAACACACAGTCAATGCTTTTGTCATGTGACCTAAAAGTCTAAAGCATACTTTGTGACCTAATGGGCCATTCAGAGGGATGGATAACTTCCATGTGAGGCAGAGAGAGAAAAAACAGTTACATCTTTTTAAAAGTGTACTTATAAGCCTCACTAAAGGCCCAGTGCATGAATTAGTGCACGGACGGGGTCCGGCTGGCAGGGGAAAGGGGATGCAGGAGGTTGGCCAGCCCAGAAAGAACTGCAGGAGGCTCCAGGGCATGTCCGCCTGTCTCGCTCAGACCCCATCAGCGGCTCAGTCCCAATCAGCCGGTCCCCAGAAGCAAGCTAACCTACAGGTAGGAGTGTCTGCCCCTGGTGGTCAGTGCAATCTTAACAAGCAGTTGAGTGGCCTTAGCATATCATTAGCATATCACACTTCAATTTGTTGATTGGCATGTTAGGATTTTATAGGGTAAGTGAAGCCCCCTATCCCATTCTATTTTTCTTAACGTAACTGAGCTTTGGATCAGAGCATGCAGCATGGCTCACACCTGGTCTGTATGGTTTTCGCTTCCTCTTTCTGACACCCTCTGTTCCTTCCACACTCTTGGCTTCACCATCCATGGCTTCCCGTTCAGGACTAGATTCTGACTTTCCATCACAGTCCATAAGTTCTCCTTCTGGAAAAAAGTAAATGAAAATTGGGGAAACCTACCAAATACATGATTCCTATGTAACAGGAAACACAAAGCAAAGTGGCTGCCAAGCCCTGCTCCATGCATCCCAGGAAATGAAAATTGTAGGAGAGTGAAGAAGTCCCAAGCTGGCCATAGAACTCATGCAACTTAAGGCAATATGTCAGAAAACACAGTCTCCACCACACTCCTCACACATGCTGAGCACTCCTGCACGTGGCCTTTGTCTGCATGCTCTCCCTCAGATAATCCAGTGGCTCACTCACTCAACCCTCCAAACTCTGTGCTCAAACTGCTCTCCGTTCACCTGATCCTGCACCCCTACTTGTACTTACTCTATTTTTTCCACAGCAGTTGCCAAACACAGTATAACTAACTTATTTATTATTATATATTTCAATAGTCTTTCCCCCTGACATTAAAGTGTAAGTTCACAAGAGGAGAATTTTATCTGTTCTGTTCATTGGCATGACTTCCGACATCTGGCACACGGGAGGCTTTCAATTAAGTATGTTCAGTGACGAGATGTTGTAGAACAAAAATAATTACTTTATTTCTCAGTGAATAAGACATTACCACCCTAAAAATAAGCCAGCCTGTAGTCATCTGCTTCAAAAATAAGCAAAAATATAATTCATATTGAATTTAATACTACTAAAATTATATTGTCATCTCAAGAATTCAGCTGAGAAAATCTTTTTAAAATATTTTTTTACTTACTTCAGAAAAGAACAGGTGAGGGAGAGAGAGAAACATCAACAATGAGAGAGAATCACTGACCAGCTGCCTTGCCTCCTGCACACCCCCTTACTAGGAATTGAGCCAGAAACCCGGGCATGTGCCCTGAACTGGAATTGAACCGTGAACTACTGGTTTTGATGCTCAACCACTGAGCCATGCCAGCTGGGTGAAAAATCTTGACATTAGATCTGGAAAATGTTTATAAATGTATACTTAAAGATTAAGAATGTGATGTTTCCATTTCTAGAATAGCATGCATGATCACATTTTGCTTTAACGTAATCATGGTGCCCAAGCTTACAGCCTCAAGGTTTATGCTGCCCAAGCTTACAGCCTCAAGGCTGTAACTTTCCCACCCGGGATCCTCTGCACACGATACTGGGGAAGTCCTGAAGCTCTGTGCTAAAGACACATGAAAAGGGCGGGAACCTGGCCTATATCAGACCACCCACTTGAAAAGATCAGGTGTCATATTCAGGATTATCTGAATCAGTGGGATTTACCTTTAAATATTTGGCTATTTTATCTACTTTAATTCTTGCAAACATACTGCACAAAAAATAAATTATTATTACCTCGACTATCGTCCAATTCTCCATCCCGTGAATGCTCAGACTGGATGTCTGGAGGCGTCTGCAGGACGGCCACGCTGTTCTGATTTATAATCTTCAATTTCAACTTTGGTTTTGAACGCTTTCTTCTTGGAGCTGTAGCTATGAGACTCTGTAACTGAGTCAACCCTGATTCAGTCAAGCACACACCATCCTGGGTGTAGGTCTTGGGTGGATCTAAAATTGTAATATCCAAGGATACAAATTAAAACTCTGGCTTTAATTCTGATTGATAAGTTAATTCAAGATACAAAATATGACCCTATCTGGTTTGGCTTAGTGGACAGTTTTGGCCTGCGGACCGAAGGGTCCTAGGTTCGATTCTGGTCAAAGGCACATACCTCGGTTGTAGGCAACTCCCTGGCCCAGGCCCTGGTTGGGGCTGGTGCAGGAGGCAACCAATCGATGTGTCTCTCTCACATAGATGTTTCTCTCTTTTCCACTCTGTTCCACTGTCCCTGAAAATCAATGTAAAAAATATCCTCGGGTGAGGATTAACAACAACAAAAAAGGTGGATACAAAGTACCCAATGTTACTTCTCCAGAGCAATTATCTTCTAAATGCCGTTATAATTAGCTAAGAGTACTTAATTAAAAGTAAGAGTTACTGCTCTGGCCAGCTTGTTCAGCGGTTAGAGCATCAGCTTCCAGACCAAAGAGTCATGGGCATGAAGGTCAATCCCCAGCCCAAGTCAGGGCTTGAACAGGAGGCAACCAGCTGATGTGTCTCTCTCACTCAATATTTCCCCCCACCCCTCACCTCCCTTCCACTCTAAAAATCAATGGAAAAAATATCCTCATTCCCTGAGGTTTAATAAAAAATAAAAAACTTAAAGTTATAGCAGAAAAGATTGCAAGTTTTTCTTAAAAATATATTTCTTTATTGATTTCAGAGAGGAAGGGAGAGGGAAAGAGAGATAGGAACATCGATGAGAGGAAATCATTGATTGGCTGCTTCCTGCATGCCTCCTACTGGGCACCAAGACTACAACCCGGGCATGTGCCTTTGACCGGAATTGAACCTGAGACCATTCAGTCCCCAGGCTAAGGCCTCTACATGTGAGTCTTTTCCTGGGAAATCCGTCAGACTAAAAGATGAGGACCAATTTATACAAGAGAAACAAGAACACTGCAGAAGCCCATCTGGAAAGCAAATTATCAATATAATCACATACAGGGAGAGATATAAATAAGGAGAAACCCTGCAATATTTTTTAAACATAGAAAATTGCCATTCATTAGGACAATTTCTGAACTGTCCAAATATTTTTGTACTGATGATAGCAAATGAAAGTACACAAAAGAATGAGAACTTCATAAGTTATTAATTACCATCTAGACTGATCTAGTACAGAAAAAAAAAATAGCAATAGATGGAGTTAATGCTGAAGAAAGTTAACTAGGTCTTATTTTCTGCTAATAACTAAGCAAGTAATGTATCAATGAAAACAACAAATATGGACTTAATGTTATTTCACTGCCAACTGCGGATATTTATAGGAATACTGTTCCACTAAAGCTAATAAGATGAGCATCTATGTATCAATTATAGAAATGATTACTGCCTGGCCGTGGTGACTTAGTGGTTGAGCACTGACTTATGAACCATGAGTTCATAGTTCAATTTCCGGTCAGGGCACATGCCCGGGTTGTGACCTCCATCCACAATAGAGGGCAGGCAGGAGGCAGCTAATTAATGATTCTCTCTCATCATTGATGTTTCTATCTCTCTTTCCCTCTAACTTCTTCTCTGAAATCAATGAAAATATATTTTAAAAAATAAAATAAATAAATGATTACCAACATTAGGGAATTTAGACTAGCACCCAAATGATTCATGTATATGTGGCAAGTCAGTTAAATCAATAATTATGCATTTACATCTTTTTGTAAACAACAGCCAAATAAAGCACTTAGACCTTACCTAGCTCCTTCACTTTTGTGACGATCTGTGCTACAAGTGAGGAGTCACAGCAGTCTGAGGAAGGCACTGAAGTGAGAGAAAAAAAGTCATGAGATTTTCTTTTTGGAAAAGGTGAAATATATTCAAAGATTAAAAATACTAAAATTTCTATTTCTGTAACCATATTTCTAAAATAAATGCATAAAAACTAAGTAGTGTTTAAAAGTTGTCTTTAAAATAAGCAGTTGAGCCCTGGCTGGAGTTGTCCAGTGGTTAGAGCATCGGCCTACACACTGAAGGGTCACTGGTTCAATTCCTGGTCAAGGGCATGTACCTGGGTTTCAGGTTCACTCCCTGGCCCCTATTGGGCATGTTTGGAAAGGCAATAGCTTGATGTGTCTCTCTCACATCAATGTTTTTCTCTCTCCTCCCTCTGTTCCTCCCTTCCACTTCTCTGTCTCTGAAAAACAATGTAAAAAATATCCTCTGGTGAGGATTAACAAAAACTTAAAATTAAAATTAATGAAATAAGCAAGTGAAGAAAATGGACACATAGGAAGAAAAAACTGGTAAAGATAAAAGAACCAAGGTACTGGGATTTCTACATACTGCCAACAACAACAGGGTTATATGCTTTCAAAGCAAAATTACATTGATAGCTAAAATATATGCTTATTTTACTTTATGGAAGCAAATTGTTTTAATATATTAAGTTGGGATAAGAATTACTTACAACAAAAATAACTTAATTTTCATAAAATATTTGTTAAAACATAGTTTTGCAAAAAGAAAACAGAATTAGTGTCAACCACTCACTGGTTCTGAACAGCAAAGCACAGGGTTGTAGCCGAGCAGACTTGCTGTCTAAACCATTCTCTTACCATTTGATGTCAGCATATAGGGTCTGCACATGCTACAGTCAAAACCAGTGTCTGCCACATTTTCCACTTCCTCTTCAGTATTTAAGTTTTGACAAATTGCATGCATCCATCTAAAAAGACCATATTTGTACACTTTAAAAAAGGATATATATTAAGAATGGTTTTCTTTTAAAAATAGGAGTTGATAGTCTCCACACTTCAAATCCCGAATCCTCAAATGCTCCCCCTGTCTAACCCAAAGTTACCCTTTCCTCCTAACCTGGCCTACTGACCCACAAACATTTTCAAAGCTGAGAGAAAGGACAGAAAAAGGAATGAAATCAAGTACTAGGAAGGGATAACGGTTTGATGGTCAAACCCTAAATATCTGGGAAGTTCGATCGGGCAGGTTAAGTGCATGGGAATTCAGAGACTGCAAACTGTAGAGTGAGTGAATGAGTGTGTTTCACGTGGGGCACCTACGGTGGGACATACACAGCTCATGCAAATGAAGCAGACAGTAATGGGGAAATAAAAGGAGCTGTCTTGCCTTGGAACAAGGAATTGTGGGCAGAGTCCTGAGAATCCTGCAGGGCTGATGAAACACTACTATTACATGTAGAGTTAACTGCTCACAGAGCACACAGTGTACCATTAAAACCAAGACAACAGTCTTGATTTGAAGCTGCACACAGACCACATAGGGAGAGCACATAGATACTTAGTGTCTAGAGCATTCAGAAAAAGTGGCTTAAGGAAAACAATGTGTGAGGTCCTTTCTAAAATCTAACATTCAGAAACTCTCCGAGAAAAATGCAGTTATGCAGGCAATAATTTGGTTGCATCTATTTTCAAGGGATTCACCAACCCTCAAAAAGCCCTACTATTAACTTAAAATCTTTAGTCTGGAACTGAGAAGACAAAACTGGAAACTTCTATGGGTTTATAGCTTATTAAAAATCTGGAAAGCAAAGGTGTTGTTTCTTAAATTTAAAAAAGTTATTTTCTAATTTCCTCCTACTACATTTATGAGAAAACCGCCAGCACCATACCTATCACATTGTCTGCACTGCAGAATGAGGTCTTCCTCCCGGTAGTTTCGGTAGCAGATGGGGCAGGAAGACAGGCTTGCACAGGGGGCACACTGCGTGTAGTTGTTCTGCCACTCACATCTCAGACCCGCAGACGTGGCTCCACAGTGTCGGCACCAAACACACCTGAAAGCCAATCCCGCCACAAGCCCAATTTTACTTATTCAGTTACTGTGATTCAAGAAGCTACACACGAACAGAGTAGATGGAAATTATTCCGTGTGTATTTGAAAAATCTGATTAGTGACAGCTATCGTGGTAAACATGTATTATGCAACCAAGCAGACATGGCTGATTTTTAAAGCTCAAGTAGTGTAAACCTAGAGTACCATTTACACTTCCAGCCGCCTTTGGGCACCGTCTGCAAGGGAGGGTCCAGGCAGTAGGTGTGGTAACTGATGTCACAGTCATCGCACAGCAGGAGTCTCCCTGGGTCCGTGGCCTTCCCGCAGGCCTCACACACCGTGCACTCAAGGCACCGCCAACCTTTGCTGAGAACCACTTTAGTGATCTGGAAAAGAAATAGTCGGCACATGGTCTATACATAACATACACAATGCACATGACCGAATACGCCCTGTAACTGAACATGGTGCTTAAGTACTTAAAAGCAGAAAGAGGCAAACTGACATTTACTGAGTACCAACAGTGGCCCGACATGGAGGTGGACACATTGATATACTTTGAGGAGCTCCCCGACTGGACAGAATAAAAGAAAGCAGTAAATATTTTAATATCTTAATGCTTTTTTCCATCCATGTAACTACCCTGTGCAGTGGCTTTTATATCCATTTTACAGATGTGACTGGATTTTATGGAAATCAAGTAAACGGTCCCCTTATTGTTAATACTAGAGGCCCTAAGCCAAAATCGGTTTGGCTCAGTGGATAGAGGATCGACCTGCGGACTGAAAGGTCCCAGGTTCGATTCTGGTCAAGGGCATGTACCTAGGTTGCGTTCACATCCCCAGTAGGGGGTGTGCAGGAGGCAGCTGATTGATGTTTCTCTCTCATCGATTTTTCTATCCCTCTCCCTTCCTCTCTGAAAAAAAAAATCAATAAAATATGTTTTTTTTAAAAAAATACTAGAGGCCCAGTGCATGAAATTCATGTGTGAGTAGGAGAGGGGAGCCCTCAGTCTGCCCTGTATCCTTTCTAATCTGGGACCCCTCAGGGGATGTTGGACTGCTTCTTGCAATCGGGGACTGCTGGCTCCTAACTGCTTGCCTGCCTGACCTCCCCTAACCACCTCTGCCTGCCTGCCTGATTGCCCCTAACTGCTCCTCTACCAGCCTAATTGCCCCTAACCATCTCTGCCTCACCAAGAACCTAGGATTCTCCCCTCTGGCTGGTCACAGGCACCTGGGACCCCGGGCTTCCATCCCTCTGGCCAGCTTCTCCCGAGCCAGCTGCAACTGCAGGGGACTGTGGGTGGGTGGATTCGCCCAGGCCGCAGGTGCAGCTATAGGCACCCAGGGCCTCAGGGCAGGCAGCTTGTCCCTCTCCCGGGATGCAGCTGCTGGCACCCGGGACTGCAGGAGGACAGCTGTCGCCCTCCCAGATTGCAGCTTGGCTAGACCCCATTCCTCTTGCACAAACTCATTTGTGCCTGGCTGGCCCCATTCCTCTCCCCCCAGTATTGAGCGTCTGAGTATGATGATGTGAGAGTGTGATGACCATTTGCATATTTGCTCTTTATTATATAGGAAAGGATTTAAAATGTATCAACACAGTTTCTACTCTAACATTTCATGAATTCATGCTTCTGAAACTTGTATACATTGCAAAGTCACTTGTAGTATTAGTCAATATAAAAATGCAAAAAAGAAAAAAAAAAGAAAAAAAAAGTAAAACATGAGTTCCCAAGAACATTTTATGATCTTAAAGGACTAAGACTTTTGAAGTTCCCATTCACTCCTCTTTTTATTCTCTCAGGTAACTTTGAGAATCTCTAGAAAAGTTTTTTAATCCCTATACTTCTGAAAGACTCCTCAAAGCAGTCACACCATATAATAGTAAGAATTTAGAATCATCTTAAAGCCTACAGTCTATTGACAGAAAAAATCACAAAGGGCCTGTGTTATTATAATGAAATAGCAAGCAATCAAGACAACAAAACTCAGATCTCTAAAGCTACTTAAGAGAAAAATAAGTAAATAAAAGAACAACTATCAAAATGGCAGCAGTCTTGCCGAGCTGGAGTGGTGCAGTGGTTGAAAGTCCATCTGTGAACTAGGAGATCACGGTTTGATTCAATCGGGGCACATATCCAATCACATGCTCGATCCCCAGTAAAGGGTGTGCAGGAGACAGCCAATCGATGATTCTCTCTCATCACTGATGTTCCTATCTCTCTCTCCTTTTCCCTTCCGCTCTCTGAAATCAATAAATAACCATATTTTTTTAATGGCATCAAACTTTAAGCAGCCAGAGTTGGAAACTTTCATTCTATGGGAAAATACTTTACAAGATACAATTCTTACCCAAGTAAACTAGTAATCAAGTGTGAAAGTAAAATACCTTTCAGCATCCAAGGACTCAAAATTCAGCTCCCAAATAACCCACCTAATGAAATTGCTTAAAGGTACAAGAAACAAAATGAGTGTGTGTGCCAAGAAAAGGGAAGGTATGGCTCCAGAAAGCAATGGCCCCCATGAAGGAAAGCTTAAGGAAGACAGCTGAACAAGGCCTAGATTGGAACAAGGGTGTGCTGGGAGGGCCACACTCTCCCCAGAAAAGCAGGTACCTGCCAAAACAATCGACTCTGATCTAGCTTCTATCGCTGGTAAAAACAAATGGCAACACAAGCTGATGGGGAATCATGAATTTATGCATTTTCTTCTTCTAGTAAAAACTCCATGAAAACAAAAGAAAGTCACGGTATGCTCCTCAGATGTTCAGTGAACACTTACAGAGTCACAGCCAACACTGTCTATTAACTAAATGCAGTTTCTCCCTCCCTTGGCAGCACCCTGGAAAATGTCTACAGGCATTCGGGGATACGGGAAGAAGGCAAGGAGTGTATTTTAAAAGCTAAGTTAGCATTCATTTCATTCATAGCAGAAAGTCACAGAATCTGAGTCAGATAAAGCAGCAGCACCAGCATTCAATGTATGGCTACAGAATTCATTCACTACTAAGACCTGCAGATCAGAAGTGACCCCGTGGTTGGCCGTACAGCTCCATGGGGGAAAAAAAAAAAAAAAAAAAAGGTGTCCCCCGTGGAGAACAGGATTCAATAGTGGAGCTGGAGCAAGAGGGGATGGGCCACTTATTGCGGGTCACTGTGAGGCTTTTAAAGCCATTTGATACTTTGAAGCATGTGTATTCATTACTTTTTTTAAAAAAATATATATTTTATTGATTTTTTTACAGAGAGGAAAGGAGAGGGACAGAGAGCCAGAAACATGAAGAGAGAGAAACATCGACCAGCTGCCTCCTGCACACCCCCCACCGGGGATGTGCCTGCAACCAAGGTACATGCCCTTGACCAGAATCGAACCTGGGACCTTTCAGTCCACAGACCGACGCTCTATCCACTGAGCCAAACCGGTTCTGGCTGTATTCATTACTTTGATTAGTCTACCAATTCATGTAAATTGATCTTACATGATCGTATTTACCAAATGGAGGAAAGAATCCTGGATAGAAGAGCAGGGTGGCTTAGAGCAGTGGCCAGGAAATTTCTGGAAAGGGTCAGACAGTGGATATTCTAGACTTTATGGGGAACATGGCCTGCTGAACTCCACAACTGTGTCATTGCAGTGAGAAGCCAACTACAGATAGGTGTAAGCAAGAGCATGTCTGCATTCCAATGGGAACTTCATTTACAGAAGCGGTTGAGGGGCCAGATTTGGTGCCATGGTTTACCAATCCCTGGTGCAGAAGAAAGACAAAGTGGAAGATAGACCCAAGGTACTTAGTGGTAGAAAAAGGTTTTTATATTGTATCTTTACTCCTAAGTTCTCCTCTTTCACAAACAACTATACTGTGATCCTTTACAGCCGAACTCTCAAATTACTCAGTTTATAGTCACTCTCCTGCACACTCAATCTGATTGCCATGCCCATCACCGCTGAAAATGCTCAAGCCAGTTAAGATCTCCTGACTCCCAAATGTAGTTGACATGTTAGTGTGTACTGGACCTCTCTGCAGTATTTCAACATATGAACAGCCCCCAAGCCCCGAAATCTCTTCCAGGGCTCTCCTACTGGTCTAGTCTTCGTTTCTAAAAGCTTTTTCAGGTATTGCATCAGGCAGGGTGCCCACCATGTCTAACGGCGTGATGAGTATGTTTTATAGTCTATAATGCATATCTGCTTCAACTACAGTAAGGTAACTGGGATGAGACCTTGCTCCCATCATAAAATACAAAAAACTGAACAAAATGTATGAAGCACTCATTTTCAGACACTGGACAAGATGCAGTCCAGGCCTGTGGTTTCTGAGGGGAGTGAGACAAGTGAGGTGAGTCCTATGATATTCTGCCTGTAGACATTTTTTTAGGGGGCTGCCAAAGGAGGAAGAAACCCAGCAGAGTATGATGGTCTCACCAAGCTTAGCACACATGATGGAGCTCAGGGAGGCTGAGGCAACTGCAGGACAGAGGACTGGAAAGAAAGGATCAGTCTCCACAGCATTTCCCTGAGGCCTTTCGCTAAAGCCATCTATGAAGCCAAACAGAGCCCCATAACCAGGGCAACAGCTCCTGGGAATCTGTAAGTTGAACAACATCAGAGCCCACACAATGTTGGGAAACATGTGGAACTTAACTAGTCAGAGTGGTGAATTGGGGGGGGGAAGGGGGGAAGGGTAATGGTGGTGAGGAATGACCAAGTGGCAAGGAAGAATGACCTAGCACTACCACGGCCATCGCAGAAGTGTCATTTGGGGAAGTGGGTCTGGGAGTCAGAACTATTTTCATAATTTTATTAAGACTTTGTCTTTTCCATGTTAATCCACTCAGTGATGCTTCTAGAAGCTGCATGATGTACACAACAGCATTACAATGACACCATCCAAGCTGTGCCTGTATAATTTTGTGTTTTAAAAAATTCTCAGTTAATTTCTAAAATGAAATATTCAAGTTATTACCCTCATAAACAAAAACTCTATGGTAATTTTTAAGAGTGTTAATGGTTCTAAAACCAAAATATTTAAGAATGCACACTTCATTATGAAGGTTCTCTAGAATGACACCAGAAAACTTAAAAAGAAGCTTCAAAAGTTTTAAATTTATCCACAAATAACTGCCACAACAAAAACTAAATACAATTTAAAGAAACAAAATCCATACTCCCTACAATATACTATTTTAATTCTCAATGTCCACATTCAATCAAAAATTACTACATGCTCTAAAAGCAGGAGAACATCTACCAATGAGCAGAACTATTAGTTAATACAGTGAGAAGTGCCAGGTAAATATATACAAACACTTGAAGACAAAAATTTTAACTACAAAATAATAAACTATAAAATGGAGCTGAGATTAAAGAATATAATTTTTTGAAAAATTTACTGGATGGGCTTTAAATAGATTACACACTTCCTAACAACGCTGAGTTTTGGGAAATGTAATAGAAACTATGCAAACTAAAGCACAAAGAAAACTGGGGGGAAACCAACAGTGTCAGTAATCTGGGGGAAATGTTATGCAATTTCACACACACACACACACACACACACACACACACCTGAAATTCTAGAAACAGGAGAAGGAAACAAAAAATTTTTGAAGAAAAATGGCTAAGAATGATCCAAACTGATTAAAAATATCAACTGATCCAAGAAGCCTAAACAGACACATTCTGTATATGGTTAGGGTTGAGAAGAGAGAATGTGGGGAGAGACCCAGGAGGACTAATACTAACTATTCTAGATGTTTTCAACTTTTATAATTAATAAACAGAATGCATCAACTAAACTTATGCCTTAGAAATAACAGTATAAAGCACATTTTAAAATAAAAAATACTTTTTCAAGACAATAGCAGGATAATCACTATAATTCAAAGACAATCGATTTATAGAATCAATTTCTTCTGGTTAACCTTTGAAAGGCAATATTGAAAGTATTTATATATTGGTCCATACGTACAATTATCCTGACAACATTTGATTAATTATAAGAATTGGAAGCAGTATACTATACAAATAAAATAAAATGTAACTGCATTTTTTGATATGTCATTTAAATGTAAGCATATTTACCTTAATACTGACACAGTATGGATGGTAGCACTGCCCACACTGAGAACAGGCCAGTAATCTTCCCTCTGCTCCTTGGCCAAAACTGCCACAAACTACGCACATATCCTGAAATTAAGTACACGTGAACATAAGAATGTACTAAAATTTTATAATTTTATAGTAGTATAATTATTAGCTAGCACAGCTCTAGCGCTAGATATGAGATGACTTCAGTGCACATGAGATAAAGCAGAAGAGGGCAAGAAGGATTCAGAAGTGGAAAATGGAAATAGCTAAGTTCAAACCTGATGCAAAGTGAACTTGTCACTACTAGAAAACAGCACAACCGTATTGTGCATGGAGTTTTCTTCTTCATCCTTATTCGATGAAATATCAGCAGCAGACACCTAGAAAAAGCAAGAAAGATAAAATATCATGACCAAGTAGTATTTATCCCAGGAATACAAGGTAGCTTTAGCACACAAAAATCCAATTGTTGTAATTCAGTATATCAGCAAATAAGCCTCAGGATTATTTGTAAAATGCAGAAAAGGCATTTGAAGAATCTAACATCCACTTCCAATTTAAAAAAAAAATCAACAAATTATGTATAGATAGTAGCTTCCTCAAATTGATTTAGGATGTCTATTAAGAAAACAATATGTTATGATGAAAGATTAAAACTCCCCAAGATAAAAAAAAAAAAGATTGCCTGATTTCATCCCAACTATTCAACACTATACTAAAGGTAACAGCAAATGTAATAAAGAAAAAAATGAAATGACATAAAACTTTATTGGCAGACATAATTGTGTATGCACAAAATCTACAAATGAAGTCTACAAAAATGCAACTAGAAGCAATAAGGGAGTTTTAGTTAAGGTTGTAGGACACAAAATCAATTTGCAAAAATAAATATAGTCTCCAGATAGTAACAACCACAATATGAAATTGAGACAACACTATGTTTTACATTAGCATAAAAAATATGGAAGACTTCATATGAATCTGAGAAATGGTGTGAGACCTATATTTTAAAAACTAAATAATAGCACTGAAGAGAAATTCAAGACCTAAAAAACGGAGAGATACACAAAGTATTATTGGTTAAAAGGTAAAAAGCTCAATATGGTTAAAATGACAATTTCCTTACGCTGATCTGTTCTTTGAATGCAAACCCAACCAAAATCCCACCAGACTTATTTGTATAAATTGACAAGCTAATTCTATAATTCATACAAAAATATGAAGGATTTAGAATAGTCAAAACAACTTTGAAAAAGTAGAATATTGAAAGACTAATAGAGTCTAATTTCAAGAGTATTATAAAGTAGAAGTAATCAAAACAGCCTATTGGATTGCCTAAAGATAGAGAAAATTTAGAGATTCCAAAATTAGATCCACAAATATACAGATAACTAATTTTCAAGAATAATACAAAGGCAATTCAGAAAATGGTACTAAAACAACTGTTTTTCAGTATGCCAAAAAGTAAACTTTGATCCATACCACCTGAGCCATAAAAACCAACTCAAATTGGATCACAGAACTAAATACAAAATCTAATATCACCAAACTGCTGTAGGAGCCCTAACCAGTTTGGCTCAGTGGCTAGAGCATTAGCCTACGGACTAAAGGTTCCCAGGTTCGATTCCAGTTAAGGGCATGTACCTTGGTTGCAGGAACATTCCCAATAGGGGGTGTGCAAGAGGCAGCTGATCCATGTTTCTCTCTCATAGATGTTTCTAACTCTCTATCCCTCTCCTTTCCTCTCTGTAAAAAAAATCAACAGAACATGTATATTTTTTAAAAACTGTTATAAGAAAATACTAAATACATTTCTAATTTGGGTCATACTTCTATTTCTCAGACACCAAAAGCACAATCGACAAAGAAAATATATTGGACTTCATCAAAATTAAAGCATCTCATCTTTACAAGACATAGTTATAAAAAGAAATGAATTTGCCTTATTAACACAGGACTAGACCTATGTTTCTTTACTCCCTTAATAGTAAAATTAAACAATCCCACTTGACTCCTGAACTTAAAATGACAATTAGAATTTGAAAAAACAGGATTTTAGGGAATAGTTACTGCAGGAAATATTACCAGCCAAATAGTTGTTGTTGTTTTCAATATACATTTAATTAAAGCCTCATCAAGTGTCAACAAATATTTATCAATCTTAAAATGTCAAAGTAGTCATAAAATCCTTCACATTTTAGAGTCTGCACAAACCTGCAATATCTCTCATTTCTTCTGTAAGCCCTTTTATATAACACTGAGAACAGCTACAACCAAAACTTAAAATGCCAACAGAATTTTTTCAAGTAAACAAGAATATGACAGGAGTTTGCCCTTTTTTAAATAAAGAAAATACCCATTTGGATTTGGGAGGAGGATTAGCATAGAAAGAATATTAAAAAAGGCAAGAAAAAAGAAAAAGAATAAGAAAGTAGAAAGCCTGACCAGAGTGTTTAAGCAAAAACATAGTAAAATAACAATGTTAGCCCATTTATGTGACTCTTAACATCTACATAATTGCTATCCAGGAGATCACCATCACCAGTCGATGTGTTAAGGATGACAGCTAATGGAAAGGAGGAGAGCCTTACCCCAGGTAGCACAACTGTCCCCATTCCACTTTTCAATTTGGATCTGCCTCTGCCGCCACGGCCCGACAGGCCTGCACCGCGAGGTCTCCGCTTTCCTGGGAACCCCGACCCACGGCCCTACACAACAGATAAGGAAACGTCAGCATTCTGCTCAAGCCCCAAAGAATTTAAAAAACTAAGTGGGAGGCAAAACATCTCATTAAATATTACACATATAGTTGCTTCTTTCTTTTATTTTGATCAGATAAATATTGAGATATCAGGGTTAATATTTGTATCTTTTAATATGTATTCTGCAACTTAAAAACATAAAGCGCCTACAACCTCAGAGTCAAACTTCAGGTCTGTCAGTTACAATGTCCTATATCTGCAAACCCTGGCTTTGTTTTTCCATTGCCTAACCCTGTGTTCCCGATGTCTAGAACACCCACAGCCCACCCAAGTATCTCCGGGTGCCACACTTGTAATCAATATACAGGGAGTACAAGGAGCGACTCTGGCTACTAGTCTCTCAGTAAACTTAGTAAGAGCTAACCTGTTTGCAAGACTTACTAGGACTCTCTTAGCATGTTTTACTCTCAACAATCTTACAAGGCCAGTCCTATTTTATTATCCCCATTTAAGAGATACAGTGTACTGAGGAATGAAAAGTGAAGTAACTTATCAAAAGCCACAGACCTAGCAAGTCTGGTTCTTAACCACTATTCTGAACTGCCACACTGCATGAAAGCTAATTTTTGCTAGTACACAATAATATTTCTTCTAGCCATTAAAATCGTCATCTTCCCTTACTATTCAATAGTTGTCTGGATGGACTGAACATGAGTGCCTTATTCTTCTATAGCAGTGGTTGGCAAACTCATTAGGAACAGAGTCAAATGTCAACAGTACAACGATTGAAATTTCTTCTGACAGCCAACTTTTTAAAACTTAAACTTCTTCTAACGCCACTTCTTCAAAACAGACTCGCCCAGGCTGTGGTATTTTGTGGAAGAGCCACACTCAAGGGGCCAAAGAGCCACATGTGGCTCGAGAGACGCAGTTTGCCAACCACGGTACTATAGTATGTAGAGTACAGTTTAGTTATAGATAGGAAAATGGTGAAAGTATAAAAAGTTTACTTTGAATCATCTAGATAATAATTACTTAAAACGGAAAAAAATTTATCTGAATTTTTACCCAATCCAAGAAAAAATTCTATGGGAAAACACGTTAAATTCCCAGATAATTTAACAAATAAATACTAGGATTATTTGTTGTGGTTTTCTTTTTCTTGTTTATACTCAGACTTATATCCTACTATCTCAAAAACATGAAAATTACATATGCTTGTATATATTTAAAATTATACTTGGCTGGTGTTGCTCAGTTGTAGATCATCCTATGAACCAGGAGATCACGGTTTATTTCCCGATCAGGCACATGCCTGGTTTGCAGGCTCAATCCCCAGTAGGAGGCGTACAGGAGGCAGCCAATCAATGATTATCTCTCATCACTAATGTTTCTCTCCCCATCTCTCTTCAGTCAATAAAAATATATTTTTTAAAATATTAAAATATTCAAGAAAATCCTTTGCTATTTTTTCCCGAACAAGTTAAACAGTATTTATGTTCAACCGATCTCACTAATCACAGTTTGAAATGCTGCACTCATTACCAATTTAGCAGAAGTTTCCAAGTCAATAATTAATGATTATATTGTGAGCATAAGACACATACATATGAACAAAAAGGGAGGAAGAATCTTCCTTCAATTTTAATAAATCCTTCCATTTTTCAAACTGCTCCTCCTTGTTCTCTGAAACTTGCTGTCCTCCAAGCTTCTTTGAATAAGGGGATAGAAGGGCTGACTTGGATAGTTTCTTCTTGTTCTTTTGTCAATAGGTATGCAACAATTTTAAAACTTAAGCCAAAGATTAAATGAAGACTATAATAATCTCACAATTTATTTTTCCCCAACATCCAAGGTGAAAATTGGTGGTACTTGCTTCAAAATTGTCAAACAAGTCATCTTTTATACTCTTAAATATTTATACTTTCAACACCTTGCATGATATCAGAATGAGTTAAAAAAAATAATTCGTCCAATGCTGATAGAAAATTACAAAGTGAAATCTACAACTCCTTTGAAATCCTTGGTTCATCTAAATTAAACAACCTTATTCCAGAATTACATCAAATGTAGAAGATAAAAGAAAACTGTGAAAAAAACAAAACAAAAAAAACTGTGTTCTCTAGTCAGTAAAATAGTTGAAATTTTCAGATGATTAACAGTTTTCAAGTTAATTTTTTACCCTTCAAAATGCATCAGACTTAACTTACTTTAAGAACTAGGGAGTCACCCAATGACATGGAAAAGGCCCTATAATTTTGAGGTTAACACAGCCAATGAAATCTGCAGTGACCCTGGTATTTCTTCCCCACTATTACATTAACAGCTTAGTGTAGTTTTTCTTTTGTATGCAACAAAATTTTATGATATCACAAAAAAATGACCAATAACCAATTATTTCATAGCCTCTATGACAAGGATTTTACCCATACTGCTAATTACAACATAAAAGGAAGAAACCATGGAAAAGGGTATTAAAAATTTACACTTAAAATGACAGGTGCAAAATTACAATTTAATTTCCTACTAATTCATATTTTTAAGTGCAAGCATGTTGTCTCTTCATTATTAAAGTTTTTAGGTTAAAGACGTGGCTCTGAAAGCTAAACTAGTTAGAAAAGAAAGACTCAATTCTGAACTTCTACTCAGACACAACCAGAAAGAAATGATACATGAATGTAAATGCAATTTTATTTACCACTTTGATGCTCCAAATGGCACTGCCAGGAAGCTGCCTGGGTTTAAAAATTTCCCGACCTTCTGAAATGTCTGGGGACCAGGAAGGTGGGCTCACTGTATTATGGGTACTCCAAGCCCCCTAGGATATGGCAGGTGAGAAAATAGATGTGTAAAACTCAGCAACATAAAAGGTCAAAGCCAGCAACTAAGGAATTTTAGAACAGCAAAAACAAATGCAGACGTGTGGAAATTTAGGACAAATTGCTTCAAGTTAGGGAAAATAAGCTTATCACTTACAGTGACTTTATTTCTTAAATGTTTGCAGCTACAAATTGCATTAAATATTTTATTCTGGTTGAAACATCAGCACAATGAAACATTAAAAATTAAGGCTTATATGAAATCAACACTGACTTATGCATTGCAATTATAACACCATCTATAAATAAAAGGCAAACAAACTCTAAAATTAGCACTATAAGAAACTATTTGGGGATTACTTTCTCCTAACAACAATCAATTATTCCACTGGAAAGGAGAATAGATAACCATAAAGAATGTCATGTAACCCATTGCTATAACAACCCAACCAGTAGGAAAAATATAATGAGAAAATGCAATTAAAAAAATGAGCAATAAATAGACAGGTTCACTTTAAATTGTGGAAACTTAGTTTGTAACCTTCAGATGCAAATACCATTATAATCCTAGCATCTAATTACCCTTCCTTCAATGACCATTCATTTTGAGTTTTGGTTTTTAGTTAAGAGACTATTATACTTAGATTACATCCTAGGGATTAAGTTGAAAACTGAAAACGTTAAAGCAATTGTCCTAAATTTGCAAATTAAAATGCCTAAAGTATCTGATTATTTATACAAGAAATAATAACTTATTAGAATACTTACAATAAAACTAAGACATTTTACTACCAAATAACTACATTCAGCAATAATCTGAACTAATCTCATGAAAACACTAAACAGCATGAAGAAAAATGTTTACTCCACAAAGATAACATTTCAAAGGAAAACACAAAATAAATGTCAAACAATAAAGAGCCTTTTTGAGTTGGGTAATTCAACAACGCTTAAATTTAAGACAACACATTACTTACCAGGTTTCTAACATATTATCAAACTAACACATAGTAGCCTATTAATCACATAAAAAATACCCTTGGGAATTTAAATAATCAACCAAAAAGAAGATTTTTGGACAGATAGTTAATGGGAAAACAGTATTTAAGGAAAAATCACAGAGGGAGACTGTTGGCACTTTTAATCCATCTGCCTACCTCCGCTCAAGCTCAGCTAACCCTACACTGACCTCACTTTCCCGTTTTCAGATCAATTTCATGCAGACCTGTCTTCTTTCCTACTGGGCTCGGGGCTCTGGTGACCCGCAGTCACTGAAAGCCCTTTCTCAATGCTTATTTCACTCAAGCCCAACATCCACAGAGCTCTGCAGGGTTCCGAGCGGTCCCCTGTGAATGGTTTCCTGCTGTCGCTGCCAAACTTCGACCTTCCTCAGTCTCACAAGTTCTTCCTCTCTTGCCCTCCAAAGCCCTGCCTTTCCCAAGGCTGGAGCTGGACAACCTTCCTCCCCATGTCTTAACCGAAAGGTCTTGTTGACAATGAGGGCTGGAAACCCGTTGGATTTGTTGTCTTACAAGTTCACATTTTCTGAGAGTACCAAGTTGGTATGATTTCCAGCTTCCCTCTTAGCATTTCCATTTTCTCACACAAAATGTCTTAAGTTTACCATGTCTAAACTCTGTCCCTGCACCAGTCCCCTCTCAGACTCTAACCAACCCTTTAGAAATGGCTTGGAAGTCCTGAAATAACATTATTTTCCCTACTCACCCTCCCGCTGCTGCCTCAATCCTCTCCCCCACCACTCCTTCAGTCCACAGCACTGGTAAATCCTCCAGTCTCCCCTCTGATCACTCTGCTTCTCCGTCCCCCACTGCCTGCCCCAATCCCACCCCAAAAGGCCTCAACTTTTGTGGCCTCTTCTTTGCCTGCATCTCCTCAAGCCTTTATCCATGCAGCAGCCAGTAATTTTTCAAAATTTCAAATCTGATCAAGCAAGTCGCTACTGTGTAAACCCTTCAACAGTTCTCAGTGTTCTTCCAATCCGGCCTTGCCCACTGCCTCTCTCCAACTAGGCTGGTAGCGCTGTCCCACCCACCTTGGCTACAGGCTTCCCGCTATCCTTCAAACATGCCTCGCTCTGCATCCACAGAGCCTGCTAACTCAAAACAAGTCCAACTTTGGTCCTCAGGTATGGCCTTCATTTTGCTCATCAGCAAGGCCCTTCCTCGGCACTCAAATGAACCATCATTTCCCTTATCACACCTTTGTATCTCTCAGTGGTCACATTTGGGCTTATATACTGTATTGTTAAAAATTATTTAGGGGTAGACAGTAGAGGCCAGAGATATGTGAATTTGTTCTCAACTGTCCCACTGGTTTTTCTCTGAGGATATATGGCCAATGTACATCATAAATTCCTTTTGGTAGATCGTTTAAGGTTATGTCAATAGGCAGCTCTTAAAACATATCATAAAAAGTCACACTCAATGTTATAGTACCCATCATAATTTAAAAGTTGCTCTTGATGCCAAAACTATTTATCATTCTAAAAAGCATTCATGTTTCATAAAATATGGACAAAATAAAGGTTTCTATAGATCAAGAATGTTTGGATGTCATTTTAGGGATGATTGGAAAATCACCCAACTGCTATGAAGAACTTATATAATAAAAGCTTGGGTAATTACATTATGAATTTTAATAAGTATGTTATAAGACATTGGAAGACAAATGGTGTGCAATTTTATAGGAAAAGAAAAATTATGATATGCTTCAATATTTTACAAAGGAGTAATTATCTAATATATTCCTTAGACCTTACAACTGAAATTTAGCTGTAATTATTAACTTTAGTTATAAATTATCCTTCAGATCTCCGCTTTGTTCATAAAGAACAGACCAGAGGAAATTAGTGCTCTCTGCCGACTGCAACATAGACAACACTGTCATTGCACTTGAATTTACACTGAATTTACACTAACTGCACTTGCATTTACTTGTTGCCACGGGCATATAAAGCTTGATGAGAAGAGACCATGCTCTTTCTGTTCACTGATATGTTAAACATTGTTTAGCATTTACTGAACATCTACTTTTTTCCTTCTACTTATTATCTTTTTTTGCATACATAAATGCACCAATAAACACTGTAGTATGATATGAACCATACTAATTCACCCACCAGTTATAACCTAAAATCTTGAATTTCCTCATCTATAAAAAAAATTAATCTATCCAATGCTGTTACTTTTTACAACATATCTACAAAATGAATATTAAAAAAAGGGTTCAAAATGCAGACAGCAGGCGGCTTTCATCTGTAAAGAAAGCAAAATAGAACCAACTTGCTATTAAATCATATAGAAACTTCTAAAAAATACTACTTGGCAGAGATTGAATTGATTCCAACAATAATTATTGAATCCAAAATCTATTTAAAATTTTATTAATCTTTCTGCTTTGAGGCCAATTTTTCAGGTAAATTTATCAACCTAATAAAGTTAAAGCTACTACAAGGGCTGTGAGGCAGGGAAATGAGACAGCAATGGCAGTGGAGGATCAGCTATTCTGGGCCACTTTCTGTTAGAAGCCTAACCCTGTTGCTGGCTTTGAAATGTGATCAACACCATGATTAGAGCCTAATCTACTGAAATCAGTTTGAGGAGTGGCCACAGAGGGTTTGGTGTTTCCTGGGCAGACTTCACATCTCCAAGTCATAAAAGTCAACCTGGGGCTACCCTCTCCCAGCATGCTATGCAAAACCAAAACAAAACAGAACCAAGGAAGCATAAAGGATGAGTCTAAGAGAAAATGAAAATGATGAAGAGTAAAAAAGAAAACTAATAAGAGAAACAGAAAACATAAGTATTTATAATGTCTTTTGGGTACATAAATTCAATCATATACATTACAGCCCCAGCAGCAAACACCTCAAAGCACTCTTTTTCACATAATAAGTGTCATATACAAAACGGATGTCGACATCAAACCGAACAAGAAATTTAGTCCCGATTTGACGCATACCATAAAAGCATAGAAACAGAATGTGAATTGAGCTGGTGCTAACAAGTGGCTTTGTTTTGTTTTTATATGTTTTTATTGATTTTGAGAAAGAAGGGAGAGATAGAAACACCAATGATGAGAGAGAATCCTCATTGATTCTCCTGCACACCTCCTAATGGAGACTGAGCCTGCAACTTGGACGTGTGCCCTGACTGGGAATCAAACCAGCGACTCCTTGGTTCCTGGGCTGACGCTCAACCACTGAGTCACACCAGCTGGGCACTAGCCATGGTCTTGGTAATGGCTTCAGAAATGTAACGATAGGCTTAAGGGCACTAAGAAGGAGAGTCTGATGCTTCTAATTTGTGTGTTGATTAACACCCCAAAGAGTTGAACATTTTTTAGGATTAAAACCATATTTTAATTTCTCAATGATTTAGAGTAGTGCTTCTTGGACTTCAGTCAGCATGGGGATCTTCATAAAATACACATTTCACTCAAGTTAAAGTGGCGTCTGAGAGTCTGCCAGGCAATATTGATGTTCCAGGTCTGAAGGTCATACTTTAAGAAGCAAGGGTTGAGTCTTCAATTTTCCTAGAAAACAGGCCTGGCCTGCAAGCTTTGAGTTTTTCCTATCGCCTACCCTGTTGGCCCATAGTACCCTGCGGTCTTCTCTACTCTAGCAGACATCACACACAGTATAAAAGTCTGCTGCGTCAGCCTATGGACAAGGAGATCATGGTTTGACTGCCAGTCAGGGCACATGATCCCCAGTGTGGGACATGCAGGAGGCAGCCTATCAATGATTCTCTCTCATCATTGATGTTTCTGTCTCTCTCTCTCTCCCTTCCTCTCTGAAATAAATTTAAAAAAAAAATTTTTCTTTTTTTTTCTTTTTTTTTTTTAAGAATCCTACTACATATTATACTTTATTTACTGAGAGCAGTGTTTGACTCGGCCAATTCCCACAGTTTGTTTCATTTGCACATATTTGTACAAGTGATTATTAGTCAATCTGACTGGTTGTAGGACCACTGCTCCTGTGATTATTCTCAAGTCTCCATTTTCACAGAATAATAACTGTAGTAATCCACTATTCAAGAAAGAAAACAAGGCAGCATGACCATTTTCTGTGTATCAGGTGCTTTATGTATGTTTTCGTTCAACTATAACAGAACCATATGGTATAGTTTTACAGATGAAACAACAAGACAGTTCACAGGTGACTTGTTTAGTGTCACAGACAATAATGGAAGAATAAGGGTTTGCATCCAAGCAACTGCACTATGGAAATGTTCATGCTCATTTTTATATTAATCAGTCTTGCCTAGACCAATTAGTCATAGTAAAAACCTATGTAAGTAATACAAATACTTCGTAGAAGTCACTTTCTAAAGAGACAGCATGCTGCCACTCAGCCACAAGGTGTGCTTGGCCTGTTATCTTGAACACTTTATATATATATTTTTTAATAGTGAAAGCATAGCAAAATCTTTTGGTATTTAAATTTCATCAGTAATTCTGGAACTGAAATTTTCACGTTTATTAAAATGCTTTGCTGTGCATTGTGCATTAAGGTAGCCACGAGTCTTGAGGCTATGAAGCACTTCTAATGTAGTTAGTCTATAACCAGAGTTACAACACTGAGCCTGAAAAGTGAATGGAAAATATCTCATTAATAATTTTTATGTAGATTAAAAGCTAAAATATATTGGGTTAAACAAAACATTACAGTTTACTTCACCTGCTTCTTTTTATTGGGACTTGTCAAAAAATTGAAATTAGAACTAAAGCTTGAATATTTCTATTACATGGCACAGGCTTACCATTCCACTGTAACTCCAGAAAACATTTGATCCAATCAATAACTGTCAATCAATTTACAACTTATAGATTTTCTTGGTGTCTAATCAAAGAATTCATTTAATTTCTAAGTGAATTCTTGAAAAAGTTCATGTACTCTTAGGAAATATCTGACCATTATAAAACAGAACTTTAATTGGCGAAACACAATTCTCTCATTAGAATGTCATTCACTAAATGGTCAAGACCATAGAATTGATGACATTTAACAAAATAAGAAAATGGCACTGATATTAACAATAAAATTTTAAAAATATGGTAGCCAAAGAATCTTGTTTATATCACAACTGATATGACAATCCATCTCATTTAATAGCCAGTCTCCACAGCCAAGAGTATGCAAAATAAGCACTAAATATAATTTAAAAAATATATAACATAGGAATGCCTGATATTAAAGAAATTCATGTGATAGAATAATGGATTTCCAATATAAGGCTATACACATTCCTGTTCATGTACACATGATCCCAGTACCTAAGCAATGATTTAAAAAATTAAAGTGCTACCTTGTTCTATGTAAGACATCTCTGCACACGTTTGGCAGGGTATTACAGAGCTAGAACTCGGCAATGGAGGCTGTTTGCTGCCCAACCACAACCAATACAAGGGAGAGGTAAAACATGGCCAACAAAACAGTCATGAGATTAGCTGCAAATTACGCAGCAGTAGTGAAATAAACAGGAGGCAAGACACTACCAGACTTGGGGGTAAAAAGAGGACACAGGAGAAGCAAAAGCAATATGGGGAAAAGGCTACATAATCACTATATAACTATTCAAGAAATAAAAAGGACAAGAAAACAAGAGAAGACTAAGGAGCAGAAAAACTGGTTTGAGAATAAAAATCCCTCTTAATTTATAACTGCAACGTGCCGTATTTACAGAATATATATCTAGACTTTATTTAGAGGAAACTAATTCTCACATTAAAATAAAATACCATTTTATTTTGCTACTGATTTATAATTCCAAAATAGATGACCAAGATACTATTCCTATAAAAAGTCAAAATTTTGATCAATTTAAGTCATGAGACTTGAAAATTCAAATTATCATTTTGACTGAACACTTTTGCAGTATTTGATATTTGGCCATTTTATAAAAACTTAAGAAAGTAGGAATTTTGTAGAATAATCAACCTTAGATATGATGGCTTCATCTTGCATGTAGTTTCACTTAAGTGTCACTTAAAAAGAACTGGTACTTACCCTCTAGAGGGAGAGCCCCCATTACCTAAAACAATTTCAGAAGGAGCTCCCTTCACTTCCTAAAGATCAACAATACAATTCTAAGATTCTTCCATGAAATCATTAATGTAAGTGCTAAGTTGAAATGTCAGCTGCACTATACCCAAAACTTTAATGTTTCTTTTAAAGGGCTCTATTATAACTGCAAACTAGAACTTTAAAAAACAAACAAACAAACAAAAAACAAAAAAACAAAAAACTTGTGTTTTATATTAGAAGCTGTAATCAAATAAGTTACATTTATATATTGCAAATGAGTTGAAATTCCAAATAAGGTCACTTCAAGTTTACTGCTTCATTATCAGCATTTTTTAAAACGGCCAATATACCTGTTAACACTACATTAAATTCAACCTGAAGGCAAAAAATATTGCCCTCCAAAGCCACACATATACCAAGTTTTATACAAATGCTCAAACATGGTTTATCAACATCATTAAAATCACCCTACCTGTTTAGAACGAGGTCTACCAGGAGAAAATTTTCTTTTGGTAATAGCTGGTTTACCCATGCCAATTTTTGGAGTGACTGAAAAGTAAGTGGTTGGCAGGATATTTCCAACAGAAGCACTGAGCGTTGAAGGGTAACTGGGCAGCATGTCGTGGGAAGGCAAGTCGGAGGAACAAGGTGGAGAGGAAGACACATGGGCCTTGCTTATGTCCACTGCCGATGGAAACGGTAACTCCGTCTCAGACAGAAATTTTATAGATTTGTCTTGGCATAAACCATCCTTCTCACAACTCTCAACTGCAGGAGTCGTTTCAAAGTCCATGAAGGCAGTGGAAGATTCAGAACTAACTTTGTTTTCCGTTTCTTCTTGTACTCTTTCTGCAGCTAGCAGTTCCATGGGGCATACAGTACTTTCCTTACAGGGGGACACCAAAGTTTCTGGTGGAACGGTGACGGAGTCGAGGATTGAATGTGGAGACTTGGACTCCTCAGCGGATGCCACCGTTTTAGGTTCCTCTAACTGCAGCTCCTCTGGTGCGGTGGCCGGGTGTGCAAGGATGTCAACATTTCCCATCACATCCATTTTGTTTTCATTTTGATCTTCATCACAAGTATGCATCACTTTAGAAGACATTTCTACCTTTTCATTGTCTACTGCATGAGAAACCCGATTTTCCAATTCAGGATGCATTTTATCTTGAGATGATTCTATAAAATTGAAATATTGGTTATGTTAAATTTCTAACTAGGAGTAGTTATAAGACATGAATGTCTTATATGTCTGTAGCTTTGTGGTTTTAAAATAATAGGCTTGGGCAGAATTAATGGCAGATCAGACCAGAAAATCTACAAAAACATTACATTTAATAGAATCCCCAAGGTGTAGGGTATTTCTATTTGAATTTCTATTACATGTATAGGTGTTTTATAAATTGAGCACTTACAAAACTATTTAACACTTTGTAGGTGAAGTTATACTCATTTAACAACTAGGAAATGAAGGTCAGTGAAGTATGTAAGGTCTCCAAGTTAAGTGAAGACTGGTCTAGAACATAAGGCTATTCTGCAACGCAAGCAACCAGATGGAAACAAAGATCTGTAGACTCAAATGTGTAATGGCCACAGACAGGGAAGATTTTGCTCAGCTATACCTGCTAACCTACTCAAGGCATGTGTTAATAAACATAATTAGATGTCAAAAATATCTCTAGTTGCTGACCAGTAAATTTTAAATCAGGGGAATAGTGTTAGACCATTAACCCAATCTTACTTAACAGTCATTTTAGTGGTCCAATCAACATGAGCCCTAAGTGCCCTATCAAGTAAGATCACTGATGATAAAAAGCACTTAGTATTTCAAATACCATCATGGTACTTTCTAGGTTCCATTAACAGGAACAATTCCTCCTTTATGATTTACAATGGTAACTGAAATTTATCTACATCCTTATATCAAAATGAAATCTCACTTCTCATTTCCATTTTATTGGAAGACTATAATTGAGAATAAAGAAAAAACATTAAATAACAAATCTGATTGTACCTTTTTAAAGTATTTTTTAAATATATTTTTATTGATTACAGAGCAGAAGGAAGAGGGAGAGAAGGACAGAAACATCAATGAGAGAGAATCACTGATTGGCTACCTCCAGCAAGCACCCCACTGTGGATCAAGCCCACAACATGGGCACGTACCCTTCCTTGACCAGAATCAAACCCAGGATCCTCAGTCTGCAGGCCAATGCTCTATCCACTAAGCAATACCAGCCAAGCTGTACTTAATATTTTTAAACACAAAAAATGCTTCAAAAATATTTAATACAAAATTAAACACACACGAAGAGTAAATGTTTAAGGGTTTAAAACCAAAAGTACCATCATTAGAGTGACTCAAATGAAAAAAAACCTTATTTTAATGCTATAGGAAGCCTAAGTCATATGCTAACAGAAGACCAACAGTCTCAAGTCTCACTGGCAAAGAGGAGCCTATATGTAACACACGTAGAGACCACAAGTATATTCCTTCTGTTCTATGCTAGAAGTATGAAGATGAAATATAAACACACAGTTCAATTATAGTCAGCTAGTTTATACAATGATTTTAACTTGCCTAAATAATGAATACTTGACTTAGCAATACTTTTTAGAGAGTGTAAGCAGTACTATATAATTATTAGGGATGATTAATTTTTTAAAAATATTTTATTGATTTTTCACAGAGAGGAAGGGAGAGGGACAGTTAGAAACATCGATGAGAGAGAATCATCGACCAGCTGCCTCCTGCACACCCCCTACTGGGGATGTGCCCGCAACCAATGTACATGCCCTTTAACCTTTCAGTCCGCAGACCGACGCTCTATCCACTGAGCCAAACCGGTTTCGGCAGGGATGATTAATTTTAAAAGTCAATAGACAATGTCCATCTGTATAGAAACCATAAAGGCATGGTTATGGTGAACATGCCACTTACCAGAAGAGAGAAGCTCATGTGTATCCAGACCTTCTTGCAGATTGCTCTTCTGTTCTCCAGCAAGGATCAGAACTGCTGTGAATGACACATGCATGGAATCTCCAACAAGGAGTCAAATTTCCCAAACCCTGCTCTTTCCAAGTAACTTAATATTTTCATCCTATTGCCAAATGCCAATTTCCAATATAAGCACAAAACACTACACAATATTTCTTACTAAGCAGGTTGTAAAGATGGGTATGAAAAAGAGTGAGGATTCTGAATATGCACAACAATAAACCCAGTGCACAAAATTCGTGCATGTGGGGGAAGGGCGCGCAGGGCCCTCAGCCCAGCCTACACCCTCTCCAATCTGGGACCCCTCGAGGGATGTCCAATTGCCCATTTAGGCCCAATCCCAGTAGAAACTGGCCTATACGGGCAGCCGGACATACCTTTCACAATCCAGGACTGCTGGCTCCCAACTGCTCACCTGCCTGCCTTCCTGATTGCCCCTAACCACTTCTGCCTGCCAACCTGATCACCCCCTAACCACTCCCCTGCAGGCCTGGTCCCCCCCCTCCCCCAAACTGTCCTCCCCTGCAAGCCTGGATTCCCCCCAACTGCCCTTCCCTGCAGGCCTGGTCGCCCCCAACTTCCCTCCTCTGCCGGCCTGATCCTTCCCAACTGCCTTCCCCTGCTGGCCATCTTGTGGCTGTGAAATTGTGTCCACATGGTGGCAGCAATCTTGTGTGTTGGAGTAATGGTCAATATGGATATGGATATTACTTTTATTAGATAGGATAGAGGCCTGGTGCCTGGGTGGGGGCCAGCTGGTTTGCCCTAGTGTTCAGTGGGGGCCAGCTGGATCAAGGTGTGAGTTCCCTTGGGGCATGGGGTGGCCTAGGCGAGGGGGCTGTGGTTGTTTGCAGTCCAACCACGCCCCCCAATGACCCAAATGGAGGCCCTGGTATCTGGGATTTATCTATCTTCTATAATTGAAACTTTGTAGCCTTGAGCAGAGGCCAGTGATGGTCAGAAAGTTTGGCTTCCTCCTTGGGTTGCCGGGGAAACCCAAGCCTCTTGATAGCTCCATGGCTGCAGCCATTTTTGTTGGGATTTATTTATCTTCTATAATTGAAACTTTGTAGCCTTGAGCAGAGGGCTGGGCCAGCCAGGATGTGCAGGAAGTTTGGCTTCCTCCATTGCCGGGGAAACCCAAGCCTTATGCTAGCGCCGTGGCTGCAGTCATCTTGGTTGGGTTAACTTGTATACTTGCTCCTGATTGGATGGTGGGCTTGGCTTGTGGATGTATCCCAAGTGTGGTCAATTTGCATATTACTCCTTTATTAGATTAGCTAGGATGAGACTTATTGTTATAGATAGCCTTTTGTCTTATTTGTTGACTTTATATACCTTTCAATAAGTTGTTAAATATAGTTAACCTCAAAAAAAAAATCTCATTATATTCAATCTATAAAATATACAATTTTACATAAACCACCATAAACTATCAAATGAGCCCAAAATTTAAGAGTAAGTAGTTTTTCCCTCAATCTGGTCTCATTAATTTCAGATCTTCTAATACAGTAATATTAATTTTGCAAAAAGCTTAATTGAAGTAACTAAACACCCCTCAATAGGATTGCTAAGATGACCTAAAAATAAATTTTTCATTATCTCAGCATGGACTAGCTCACAATCAGGAATGGCTCTAGTTAGTAATTAACAAGTATAACTCAGAAGTAGAAAATAACGAATTACTTTTTTGGGTTTTTATTACAAACTACAGGCCCAATTCACAAAATTCGTGCAAGGGGCTTTCCCTCCCTCTTGCTCTCCCTACCCCCGCCCCCCAGCTTCATCCAGAAGGTTGTTGGGAAAGATGTCCAGTCTAATTTGCATAATATGCTTTTATTATTATAGATTACTTTTTAATGAAAAATCAACTGACCCCTAAAGAATTTATTTGTGATTAATTCTAGATTACAACTCAACTACTAATATATCCCTATCCTTTCGCCTATTGATTTCTGTCTAAGGTTATTTTACTAAAAGCTCCTCTCTAAACAGTTTCCTAAGCAGTATGTATGTCTTGGCTAATTTTTATTTAGGGTGCTAAAATTTCAGCAGGCATTCACATATTCACTGTACACCATTTTCTCCAGAATACAGACTGTATCCATACAGAAAACACTTACCGTCTGGAACAATCCCAGGTGTAGACTCTTGACCACTGGCATCTTTATGAACTGCTCGCTCTAGAAACACCACAGGGTCTTCAGAGCCTTCAACTTCCATTTCATTGTTATAATCTTAACAGAAATGCATTTATTCTTTAGAATGACTTTTCCTGTTTTGTTTTTGTTAACTAAGTTAACAGTTACTATGTTGCTTTAGTGAAGGTAAATTATCACCAAAAATATCGTAAACTCTTCTTCATAATTTACTATTTTGAACCCAATATATATTTACATATTTTAAAACAGGTAAAGTAGCCCGGCCAGCATGGCTCAATGGTTGAGCATCAACTTATGAACCAGGAAGTCACAGTTCAATTCCTGGCCAGAGCATATGCCTGGGTTGTGGGCTTGATCCCCAGTTTTGGGGCATGCAGGAGGCAGCCAATCAATGATTCTCTCCTATCATCGATGTTTCTCTCTCTCTTCCCCTCTTCCTTCTCTCTGAAATCAATAAAAAATATATATTGAAAATATAAACAAACAAAATAATAAAATAAAAATACTGATAGCATAATGAATTAAGAGGTAACTGGTGCCCAGCTAGTGTGGCTCAGTGGTTCAGCATCGATCCATGAACCAAGAGGCCAAGTTTTTTTTCCGGTCAGGGCACATGCCTGGGTTGTAGGCTCAATCCCCAGTAGGGGGCTTGTACGAGGCAGCCAATTAAAAATTCTTTATTATCCCTCTCTCCCTTCCTCTCTCTGAAATCAATAAGAAAAAGTAATTGACATTTTATAATTTTAAAAGGGTATTCCACACTGTATACTGATGCATACAGGAATAATATGAGTCATTAAGATGCATCTATTTAATCCCTTTGCTGATAATAGCAGAGACTTTTATAGAGGTTATCACACCAACTGATGAAAATGAAAACAATAGCAAGAAGGTCTGTTTCTTCACCATCTAAGAATCTTGTAATCATATTTATAGCTAATAGTATACTATTAAAATACCTGAGCAAAATTTGGGACTCTAGAAGTGAAAATTAACATTTAAGAACAAAATTATAAAACTAAAATTTGTTTAGGGTGAAATAACACAGATTTTGAAGCGCAAATTAAGTCCTATTATCAAATCTGGAGGAACCTGCACTGTTCGCTCAATGATATGCTTGGAGTAAACATCAGTGCTGGATTCGAACATCAGGAGAACAGTAGTGAGAAGCGAGATGAGACGTCAGCCATCAGACTCAGGAATGAAGGTCACATGTGTATTTAAAGGCTGAGAAATTAAGAAGAAGATGGGGCCTGGCACACAGAAGTCACTCACTATTACTAACGCAGCATATTGGTGGCTGGCTGGGGCCAAGTGTACCTGCAGTGATGTCGGCCATCTCCACACCAGCACCTGGCTGCAGCGCATCCATCTCAGCGGCTGCTAAGTGTTTGCAATATGTGCAGATATACTCTTCTTTGAGCTGAGAATCCAGTTCCTGATCCGTTGGTTTGTCACATTCTAAGTGAATCCACCTGCAGTGATAAATATTTTTAAATAAAATGTTATAGTTCAAAGTCAAGTTCAGAACATAGGGCAAAGAGAAACAATTGCTGAAAAACTGGGCAAAGGAGAGGTTAAGGATGAGAGAGAGGTTATAGGTGTTGGCACTGGGGAAGGTCCTGTTGAGGGGCTGGGCATTTCTGCATGTCATGGTAGGTGCTGCCATACTTTTACTTCCATATTGTCAAGTTATTTCCTCTTCAGTTCCCCTCTTAATGCTCATTTCTGGTCTTATCTTTTGCCCATTCAGTTCCTTATGCCTTTCAGATTCATGAAAATGTGACTTAACTTCACCTACATAGCACTCAGTACTAAAAGGAACATGAGAGTGATAAAGCTCAGAGCACAGAGACAGGCAGAGAACGATCACATAGCCCATTGGTCGGCAAACTCATTAGTCAACAGAGCCAAATATCAACAGTACGATTTAAATTTATTTTGAGAGCCAAATTTTTTAAACTTAAACTACATAGGTAGATACACTGTTAATAACTTAGAGTGCGTGGTATTTTGTGGAAGAGCCACACTCAAGGGGGCATGTGGCTCGCGAACCGCAGTTTACCGACCACTGACATAGAGGAACTAACCACTTCCATGGGCAAATGTCTTCTTACCTTTTGCACATATTACAGTGAAGCATGTCTTTCTGCAGTTCTGGGTTGTAGTACTTCCCGCAGAAAGGACACAAGTTGTCCTGCTGCTGGTAACAACTGTCACACACCAGACAATTGTGGTGCCACTGAGAGCTAGACCGTGTGCCACACTCTACACATATTCTGCAATTCTAAACGCCAGGAGAAATGAAAACAGAACCAGGGTGTTATGCATATGTATTACAGTCCTTGTATAAACCATTTTGAACTCATGAAACATTTATAGATTATACATTAAGCTTTCATTTTCATGATGCTAATTTAGGGTATATATTTTTGAAAAAGCAATTTGTTTTGAGCCTCTGATAACATCACTCAATTTGAGTTAAAACCTCCAAGAAAATGTAAATAGAGGATGGAGATACCCAAGTAAACATAAATAAGAAGGGGGGAAAGCCCAAGAGCTACTCAAACTTAAGGGGGGAAAAAGAGCATATTCCAGAATCAGGAAGTAGCTTGTGTGGAATAGTCTGCTAAACCCCCATTGCAGAATGCAAAGTGGTGCTGCTAGGGTGCTCCATTTGCTATGGGCAGCTTAGACAAGGATTCGCATTAACGAAGCATCACCACCCATTCCAAATGACTTGGGTGTCTAAAATTGTGAAATAATCACTCCACATCCAAATCCAACTATGGCTTCTGGCATTTTCTGAACAGAATGACCCTATTCTTTTCAAAATAGAGGTTTTTACGAAGTGCCAGCCTGCGAAGGCCAGCCCAAACCCTCCTTTGTGGCAGTGAGTTAGCCTGCCTTAAAGGCCTGGGCACAACACTGCGGAGCTCTCATTACCCGCCATGGCTTCTATCTAAAACATCCACAAAAGGAGCTCTATCTTTTTTTATTTTATGGTTTAAAGTATTACATGTAGTAGGACATATATCTCCTTTTTCTTCTCCCATAGACCTTCCCCCAGCCTCCCCTACCCTCTGACACATACCCTCATCCCCCCCAACCCCATTGTCTTGTGTCCATGGGTGTGCTTATATGCATGCATGCGTCCTTTGGTTGATCTATTTCCCTCCCTCCCCAACACTCCCTAGCCTTCCTGCTGTAATTTGACAGTTTGCTCAGTGCTTTACTGCCTCTGTGTCTATCTTTTTGCTCATCGGGTTACAATGTTCTTTATTTTCCATAAATGAGTGAGATCATGTGGTATTTTCTTTCATTGCCTGGCTTATTTCACTTAACATAATGCTCTCCAGGTCCATTCATGCTGCTGCAAATGGTAAAAATTCCTTCTATTTTACAGCAGCTCAGTATTCCACTGTGTAGATGTACCACAGTTTTCTAATCCACCCATCTGCTGATAGGCATTTAGGCTGTTTCCAAATCTTAGCTATGGTAAATTGTGCTGCTATGAACATAGGGGTGCATATGTCCTTTCTGGCTGGTGTTTCTAGTTTCTTGGGATATATTCCTAGAAGTGGGGTCACTGGATCAAATGGCAGTTTTAGTTTTTGAGGAAACTCCACACTGTTCTCCACAGCGGCTGCACCAGGCTGCGTTCCCACCAGCAGTGCAGAGGAACTGCATCTTTTTGAGCTGCTGGGCTGACGTGAAAAGACTTGCTCACCAAAAATGAGAAGCTAGCATGAGCTGAAGTCTTACAGGTATCATATGAATGCACTAATATTAATGCAAAAATAATGAATATTACAAATAGACTCCAGTAGTAAATAGGAAAATAATAAGCCACATCCAAGTGGATTTTATGCAAGGATGGTGAAATGCAAGGATGGTTAAATATTAGCAATCTGCCTGGCAGGTGTGGCTCAAGAGGTCGCCGGTTGGTTCCCGATAAGGGCAAATGGCCAGGTTGTGGGCTCAAACCCTGGTAGGTGGCATGCAGGAGGCAGCCAATTGATGTTTCTCTCATCCATGTTTCTGTCTGTCTCTCTCCTTCTCCCTTCCTATCTCTCTCTCTTTCTTAAAAGCAAACAAACAAAAAAACAATAGCATATTTTTTTTTAAAAAATCCATTATTAAAATTTAACACATTCTTAGGTCTAAGAAAAATAATTTCAATAGATTCTGAGAAGCCTTTGGAAAAAATTCCAAAATCCATTCCTAATTAAAGAACTCTTAAGAAAATAAAAATAGATGGTATTTCCTTAATGTGCTATACATAAACATGTCAATTCTAAAGCCAAGACTTTATTTACCTGGAGAACCCTAGAGGTATTCCCACTGAGCAAGGATGTCTACTATATACACTACCACTTAACACAATTCTGAAGTCAGTGTAAACATTGAAACAAAAAGGCAGAGTAATAAGAAGAAATAAAACTGTATTGTAGATGTCAAGGTAAAATACTTTGAAAATCCTAGAGAACTGATCACAAATTCAAAAAAAGAACTTAAGAAAGTAGCATGATGCCCTGATCGGTTTGGCTCAGTGGATAGAGCGACAGCCTGCGGACTCAAGGGTCCCAGGTTCGATTCCAATCAAGGGCATGTACCTTGGTTGCGGGCACATCCCCAGTGGGGAGTGTGCAGGAGGCAGCTAATCGATGTGTCTTTCTCACTGATGTTTCTAACTCTCTATCCTTCTCCCTTCCTCTCTGTAAAAATCAGTACAATATATTTTCCTAAAAAAGAAAATAGCATGATATAAAACAAGCAATGAAAAATCAAATGAATACACACACAAATAATCAGTTAAAAGGTATAATAAATGAGAAAAATCTCACTTATAACAGCAACAAAATGGATAAAATATTTAGGAATGAACTAAAGAAATGCCTAAAACCTATACAAAGAATTACAAGCACTATAAGAAGACGCTGAACTAGACCTGCACAAACACAAAGACATATCTGTTCATGGTTAGGATGTCTATCATCAAGATATCATTTCTCCCCTAAATCAATTAAAAATTTTAAAGTGATCCCAATAAAAACTCCAATGATGTTTTTACGTAGTTAGATCTAAGTTAACATGGAGTTCATAAGGAAAAATAAACAAAAGAACAGCCAGGAAATACATGAAATTAAAAGTACTGAAGGGGGACCAATACTTCCTCCACATACAACAGAGCCTCTAGAACTGCTAACAGAAAGATCCATGGAACAGACTAGCAATTCCAAAAATAAACCCCAACCCAATCTACAACTCCAATCTGGAATCTCAAGTGGATGGCAAAGAGAGTCTTTTTAATGTCTGGTTCGTGGGCAACCATATAGCTAACTGGAAAATGATACTTCAAATCATATACAAGTAGCAACTCCAAATGGACTAGAGTTAAGAGTAAAAAATAAAGTGATGCAAAAACTAGAAGAAAATATGAACTCTTCACCCTAGCTGGTTTTGTTCAGTGGTTAGAGCATTGGCCCACAAACTAAAGGGTCTCAGGTTCAATTCTGATCAAGGGAACATACCTTGGTTGCAGGCTCAATCCCTTAGCTCCAGTCTGAGCATGTGTGGGAGGCAACCAATAGATGTGTCTCTCTCACATTGATGTTTCTTTCTCTCTGTGTCTCTCTGCCTCCCTTCCACTCTCTCTAAAAATCAATGGGAAAAATATCCTCGCTGAGGATTAATAGTAACAAAAAAAAAGAACTCTTCTATAACCTCAGTGTAAGGAAGGATAATTCTAACTCAAAAAATCCAGAAGTAATAAAAAGTTGATAATTCTGGCTATATTGTGTGGCAAAAAATAACATAAGCGAAGTCAAAGGGGAAATTTACTAACTGGAAGGAAATATTTGCAACATATAACATAGAAAAAGGCCTTATATCCCCAATATATAAAGAACAATTAAATTGGGGGGTAAAAAAAAAATCTTCAACGATAACAGGCAACACTCATATAGGAGGAGGTAAAAATTACCCTTACACACATAAAAAAATTATCAACTTCACTCAAAAGAGAAATGAAAATTAAATTACATTGAGATATCATTTTTCACATGAAATGGACAAAAATTCAAAAGGTGAACATGACACTCTTGTGGGCCAGGCTATTGAAAGAGTAGTTCTTTTACACTTTACTTTCCGGGTGGTAAAGGGAACTGCCAGTAGACCTGGGGAAGGAATTTGCCATTATCTCTGTCAATTCCTTGAGCATTCATTCACCCCTTAGCCAGTAATCCCACTTCTAGGAATTTGTCATAGAAATCTCTCAAAAATTCAAAAAACCTTAAACACAAAGTTCCTGCCTTTCAGAACCAAGCATCGGCCACAGAATAAATTATGGTGCAGATAAGAAAGTGAGGGAGAGGGAGGAAGAGGGAAATCTATCAACTGATATGAAATAACTTGCAGACTTTAAGTGAAAAAAGCAACATGCAAAAGAGCACATATAATATGCTACCTTCAGTATAAATTGAAAATAATATATCTGCTTATCATTATAAAAATAATGCAGGAAGGGCAAATCAGAAAGCAAGCTAGTAAATGTGGTGGAAGTGGTTCGGGAGTAAATGACAATTCTGAGAACTTGTGAAAGCATGCTAGTATTCTATATACTTTTAAAAATGGAAATCATAAGAAAAGGGAAATAAAATCTATCACTGAAAGCAAACTGAAGGTTTCTTAGTTGCACTGAACTAAAGAAACTGATGATGTTTCTGAGACCCCAACCATAGGTGAACCTAGATAAATGGCATATGGGTCTTCTTATTTTTCAAACTTTCAAAGGTTGAAATTATTTTCAAATAAAAGTTTGGTTTTTTTTAATGTATAATATACCAACACACAAGCATTCTTGAAAGAGAAACTGAGAAAAGAAACCTACCTGACAATAACTGGTCGACAGCAAAGGTCCTGACCAGATCCCCCACACTCCAGCGAGCAGCCTCACTGCCCTGAAGGCCCCAGAAGGCCCCAGTGGCTGCCTGTTGGGCAGGTCCGAGGCCTTCAAATGTTAAACTCTGACTAAACCTCATGGAGATGCATGGAAGAATTTAACAGGAGAGGATCCTTCTTCAGACTGCTCAGAGGATGAGCCTTCCTACTACAAAGAGCTCCCTGCAGACTCCGTGGGCACCTGGATACTCATTGTAGGCATTACCCAGGTCACTTTACAGGCACATCTCCCTAAATCCAACACCCCTGTGAGCTAAGTCCTATTAACATTCTCTACTGGAGGAAAACTGGCTCAGGAAAGTTGAATAATTGCCTGAAATCCTG